AACACAGCACAGCAAAGATAAAACAACATAACACAATAAACACGGAACACAGCACAACAAAGATAAAACAACATAACACAATAAACACGGAACACAGCACAACAAAGATAAAACAACATAACACAATAATCACGGAACACAACACAACAAAGATAAAACGATATAACACCATAAACACGGAACACAATAACAGGCATACGAGAACACAAGAAACATAACACAATAAACACGGAACATAACACAACAAAGATAAAACAATATAACACAATAAACATATCACAACATTCATAACATATAGGGGCGGTCGGGTAGCCTAGTGGTTCAAGCGATCGCTCGTCACGCCGAAGACCCGGGTTCGATTCCCGACATGGGTACAATGTGTGAAGCCCATTTCTGGTGTCTCCCGCCGTGATATTGCTGGAATATTGCAAAAAGCGGCGTAAAACAATACTCACTCACTCATAACATATAACTCAACACAAGAAACATGAAATAGTACAACACAATAACAGGCATCCGAGAACACAAGAAACATAACCTATGACATGACATTGACATAACAACACTAGTAAAACACAACACTAGTAAAACACATGACAACACAACAAACACACAACACAAGGCATTAAGGAAAGGATATGTTCACCAAGTCTCGTTTCCCGTAGTAACAACATGTAAACTTTAAAAAGGTGCCTCCCGACCCGCTCGACGGGCGCATTGGTTATCTGGAGATGCGGCTGAAATATGTCAGCGCAAATTACGCTTGAAAAGTGTCACTAATTACCTTACAAACGCGCAAAATTAAACAGCGCATTAAACATGCGCCGCCTGGCTATATCTGCAGATCTCCCACGCCGCTATCTTGTCTATCAAAGGGAATTATACGCCTCTTATGTTTTATGGCATTTTCGACAATTTCCTCGATAAAAGTAAACAGCCAATCAGATTTATGGTAGTCACGTGACACTGATGTATTGTACCAATGGGACACGGCACCACTATACTAGAGACTTCAAGTTCCTGGCAGACGTTTCAGGAACCTGTTATCAGGAGATCGGTGCCATTATCTCTTGATTCAAAGTAAACCAGAAGACAATGGATGAAGAAGAAATTCCCCTGAAGTGGTTTTGAAAAATATATTATATTTAGATCGCTCATAGATGGATAGATGTGTATTTATACTATCATTTTCGGATAGAATAGAATTCAAACCTTCGCGGTGTTATTAACATATGCCGAGTTTTTACATTATCAAAATTTGATAGGATAATAACGAAAAAATCTAACACCGCCTATATAAAGTTTATTAAACAGTAAATATTGTAAATACAGAAATTTAACCTACACGTTTACATGTTATTCTCCGGTATCAAATTGAAGCTTAAATCAAATTTACTACCCCATATTATAAAGGTGGCTGGTACACTTCTGGTATTGTCATCAATGTCTATGGGGTCCTTCTATTGTTATAATAACATTCGGGGCAGCTGTGGCACCGAGTTGACCGATTTACTGTCCGTCTGTATATTTGTTTGGGTTAACTTTCTCAAGTTAAGGAAGCAGTAAAATTGTTTATCTTGTTTACGACCTACAAAACACTGACCCTAGATAGGCCCCATGGGTCAGTTCAGCAGATTCAGTGGTCATGATGGCCTCGTCATAAAGCCCGGGGCCATGTGGGGTCCAACGAAATCTGTTGGTGGTCGAGGAGATGACTGGTTCAGATGGCAGTGTGCGCGTTGCGCACTATATGAAGTGAAGACAAGAGCCCAGTCGTTTCGGTCATGTTGGTCTTGGAGTAATTTTGGGACTTTAGTTGGGAATATGGAACGTTCAAATACAGCTGAAACATTTGACTTAAACTTTTGTGATGTAGCACAAGATTTTGTTATCGAGTTTACGGTGACGTTTTATTCATGAAACAGTTTCAGGTACCGGTGATACAGACAAAGTTCAGTTTCATGCTGCCAAGGGTGGTAAACTTATACAACTTTGAGTTTTGTCTATTTCTTTGTTGAATTGAAGGAAACAAAGACGTGTTTTCAAGATACAAATATTGAAAATATTGTTTGATATCTTAACATTTCTGTTTATAGTACTATTTTAAAATAACGGATTTGTTTGCGTAAATGATAAAAATGTGTGTTAAGATTTTAATAAAAACTAACAAAAAATATTATATGGGATAACAGGAACGGAAGGGTTAATAAAAGAATCTGTCTGTCCGTCTGTCTGTGTGCGCGCGTTCGCGGGTATGTGTGTATGTGTGTGTGCGTGTGTGCGCAGTCTACCCCTACATTGTACAGAGGATTAAGGGATTAGGGTATAGTCTGCATTAAACTTTGTTCAGCTTTATTCATTTATTTGCTTTTCTGGCCACAGACTGTTGCATATATACAATTCATATTTAAGATTATTTACAAGTTACAACAATTTTCTGCAATAGAGTGTAGACATTGTTTTTACCCAGAGGACTTTGCATTATGACTGAACAAAATTTTGATAATTCGTTTAGCACACTTTTTTTTGTACTATTAAACACACTGTGGAAGTTTAACCCATTTGGGTTATCCAGGTAGCAAATGAATTCTATAGCTTTCAAAATAATTACAACTGAAAAGTACTTAAAATTCATCACCAACGCCCCACTTCAACTGGAAGCCTGGGACAAGATGTTTTGACCTGATTTAGTGAGAACCACTGGTTTTCACATAAATTATTAAAATATTGTTCAGCTACAAGTTCGGATTTAAATATTGTATATGTTACACCTTTTGATGATTCCAACATTTCAGAAGACCATATTTGTAGATAGTGACCGGACAGTGTTAAAACAAGGTGAATACCATATATACATGAAACCAGTCTTAAAGATAGATTCAGTTGACAATATCATTTTATTCGCATTACACTTAGCACGCGTATCATCTAATAACAATTCTACAATATATAAGAGATATTAGTTGCTTTTCCTGACACGAGACGGGCCCAAATGACACCATACGTGCATATGTTTGGATATAAAGGGATTTTCTGCTAAATTCCCCGTATTTCATATATGACGTGCTCTTTTTTAATTAAGTTTAACTGATAAAAAGTTCAGCAACTTTCACATGAACAATTTGCACATGATAATGATTGTAATTCCTTAATTATTGCATGCGACCACGGTGAGCACCGCCACCAGAAACTGACTAGAACTCACCCCCTTATTTTTCTACGGTCTACGTTGTTTTATCAATGCTGGGCGTTCTAGGTGTAAACCTTATGCTCGTGCGTGTGTACGCACCTTTGGTGTCCGAGAAATGTGAAGAGGGAGAGAGCATTGATATTTCAATGAAAAAATAACATGGAGCGTTTTACAAGGTACTTTAAGTTAAATCATATGTTAAAAAGACTCAATACCATCGAATAGTGTCATACGAATGAAAGTAAAAATCACTTTGACAAAGTGAAAACTGGTGTTTCCATTCCAACACATCGAAGGCATGTGTGGTAAAACCTCATTACCACGTCCTCCTCTGAGGGAAATATATACACAACCTGCACGGCAACTAGATAACTGCTAAAAGCTTATGGTTTCAGTATCAGGAGTAATTTAAGTGTTTGAAAGTAATTGTACCCGACATCGACCAAATGATAGGCTGTTGTAAGTATCCCGCATATGTAAACCAGTTTTACTGAATGTAGTTTTGCGGCGAAAAAATAAATAAAATATAATTCTGACACATTTCAAAGAATAATGTCTTAGATGTTCCCTAATTCATACTTACTAACCTGTTTCAACAAATCGCACGGGAAAGCTCCGTAAACGATTACCAGTGCACTGTAATTAAGGCATTTAAATACGTCCCTCGCAATCGGGTTGTTTCATGAAAGTTCACGGAAATGTCCGACGGGATCTGACAGTAGGATTCAGTGAACAGTTTAACAATACATGTAAATCGGAAAAGTGACGACTAAAGTCGTCCCGGCTACCGCCCAAACATGATGGTCAGACGAGGCCGTAGAGCTGATTTTATGAGCGCTTCATTTAATTATCTGCAAAGTCAATGAGAATTGAATCTAGATTGTTTCGACGATAGTTAGTTTTGTTTGTTGTTTAACGCCACATGAATCAATATTCCAGCTATATGACTTGCTGGAGACATATGTTCTTACCGGGAATCCCCAAGGCTTGTTTTGACGATAGAAGCGGACCGTTTTCAGAGTAACTTTCAAGTGTTATGAATGCTTGAGTAAAGACTCGATGGCCTTGTCCTGCTGCTACAGAATGGTAAGGAATCAGTGAATTCAGCAGAATGAATGGTGCCTATGGAAGCATGAAGCATGCCAGTGTTTTAGGGTACTGTTAACCTCGATTAAATGCAGGGCCTCGAATAAACACCGGGTCTCCATTAAAGTCCAGGCCGCGATTAAACGCCAGGTAGCTAATATGCAGCTATTCTCCCCATTATTTTTCCGATTAAACGGGTCTGAAAGAAATATATGTCCGAGCGTTTAATCGAGGAAATACGGTAATACTTACCCTCAGCCTACATCTAACTTGATCCATTAGATAGTTTGGGTTTATCACCTTTGTAATATTACACATATTACATAATGAGCTGAGGTTACAAATCGTTAAGCAATGTCACAACATGGTGCATGCTTAAATGTGTGAAGTGGGCCCAAATGACTTTCCCAATATTTTAGCATGTGAATTTTGTTAAAGGCCACTTTGAACATAATTTCAGTTATATCACTGTGTGTCAGCTTGGAGTTGGGGGAAAGCCTGGAGTGATAGTGAAATCCAGGAACTTGGGTACCTGCTGTCAAACCTAGTAACACAATCAGGGCGAACTTGTATTCGAACCAAGACCACATGCCCCCACCCCCCAACCCATCCCCCAAACTGTAGACATTTACCCCTGCTACAAAGAAATAAAATATGTCTGCAACATTTTATGCTGGAAGGTCTAACACAATTCTGTAATCTCTCTTGAATCTGTCAAGATCAGGTGAGCTTCAAGAGAAGTCAGGTGAGCTTCAAGAGAAGACAGGTGAGCTTCAAGAGAAGTCAGGTGAGCTTCAAGAGAAGTCAGGTGAGCGTCAAGAGAAGACAGGTGAGCTTCAACAGAAGACAGGTGAGCTTCAACAGAAGACAGGTGAGCTTCAACAGAAGTCAGGTGAGCTTCAACAGAAGACAGGTGAGCAGTAAAGACTGGCAAGAACGTGTACACTTTGATTAATGAATTTATTGCTTCCAACATCACATTTGTTGGTGACCCGCACCAGTTATAAAAAGTCAAATATCGAGAATATCACAGATTAAACAAGGGAAAAATAACCCCAAGCATATTTCAAAGATAAAATATCTGATTGTATGGGCAACATGTGACTATGAAATACAATTCACGGACAGGTCCCACCATTGTCAGGATCCATGTGTCACAGCACACAAAAAGGCACATATCATTTTCTCTGCCTAATTCTATTGTCACGCCAGACCAGAGTTTCCTGTTTTACAGATATTAGCCTAGGTCAGTATGCTAAGACAAAAGATGTGACCATGCATGTATAGCCTTTGTCAGAGCTCAATTGCACAGGAAGACTTACTTCTGAATAAAGGAATAATTGAACTATAATACATAACAAGGGTTGACTGATAAGTTCTAAGTCTTGCATGGAAGGAATTGTAATAGTGAAATCTTTTGTTGTGGACTTACATGATGTCACAAAGGTATATCCACAAAGACCGGAGTTAAATGAGCAAATTGTTTTGCTGTGTAAAAGCAGGAAAATAACCAGCAGTCTCTGAAATGGAGAAACTTGAAGAAAATGTAATCAATGAACCCTTCTGTTATTGTGAGACTGTTTCATTTTCCTTAAACATGTTTTGAATAAACATTGGAATTTGAATACACTCAGCTGAAAAATGACTTCATTTTTCTCCCCAAAATATGGCATATTTTTTTTAAAACGAGAAAAAACATTTAACTGCTCTGACAGCATAAAGAGGAAACTGCCGTCTCATGTGCCTGTAAAATATAGGATATTAGCTCAGGAATAACAAGGAAATAATGTTGACGAGGAAATTAGGCACAATTGTGAGTCATGACTGTAGCTCACCTAGAAGTAGTCAATCAATTAGAATGTTTAACAGTTAAAAAGGACTCCACCAAAAGCAGTGGCATTCATGAATACTCAGGCTAAACTAGTAACAAATAGGAAACAAGTAACTAAATGTTCTCAGTGTTTCAAAATCTGCAAGAATCAATTGGCATTTTCTAATGGTATACATTTTTTTTTAATTCTTTCACCAAAAAATACCTACAGTTAATTCCCAATGACTTAAGCAAACGATGATGTCATCAGAAGGAGAAATATGCCCGCCTCTATACAGCTTTCTCAGACAGGGAATTTCAGTAGACAGAAAGATCTCTTGTGATGAGCCCTACTAATAACTACACACATACCATGTTTCATGACATTTTGAACAAATATGGTAGAAATGACTTTAAGACAGTTCAAGGTCAAATCCTAAGGTCAAATCGAGGTCAATATATTAAATATCGCCAAAAACTAAAAAAAATATATGTTGAACCTCACTACTAACGACAGACCTCTTTGGTTATAATGACTCGTTATAATGACTCGTTATAATGCAACCCTGGTTGTAATGCCATGTATTTTGTCAGAACGGATTTCAGCAGTGCTAATTTCCCAGGTTATTACCACACTGGTTATAATGCCAATGTCAATGTTTTTCAGAACAAACGTTCCACTTCCCTGGTCATAGTGCCTTTTCATATTAAAGTATTTCATGTAATATTGGCAATGTAGTTAATTGTTTTGAAATAATTGTTTCTTCTAAATTAACAAACTAATCCACTGATCTCAGTTGTCATCATAGCCAATCCTCACGAAGAGAATGTTTCACCTTCATCAAATAACAAAACAAATTAGGTGTGTTAATGATACTGTCCTGTTTTGTAATAATATTCTCAATCGCCGTTTTCAAACATTTAATTACAAACATTACGTTGCAAATGGATATACAGTCCTCCCTGATTATAATGCCTACCTGGTTATATTGCCATATTTTCTGTTGGATGAAAGTTGGCATTTTAAGCAGGGAGGACTGTACATATGTTCCAAATTTCATTATATTTTGAACAAAAATGACTCGTAATAGCTGTTTTAAATATGGCTACCATGGCAGCCATTTTGAAAATCAGATAAACATCATGTGCAAATTGGGGTGTCATTGGTGAGAACAAGCATGTGATATAGTTTCAGCTTCACTGGGCAAGTGGTTTCTGAGAAGGTGTTCACAGAAGGTGTTCACAGAAGGTTTTCACAGACGCTGACAATGCCAGGCCATGACATATGCTCACTTGACTTTCAGTCAGGTGAAAGTAAATTTCAACTGAAGGCACAATCATCATCCATTTGTGTTTAAAATTGTCACGCAAAATAAGGCACAGAACATAACTTTCAAAACAAATATTAATATTTAACCCGTTGTTTGGAATTTTTTAAAAACACCACTGTACAAAATAGAAGATCTAAGATCTTTTTGTAAGACATTCATAAGTCTGAATAAATGCAATGGACAGCAAATTATGATTTATCCATTTGTGAAATCATCCACACTCTGAGAGATGCATATTCTTGCCACTGTCTTGGGATGTTCTCTTCTAAGTACACAGTCTGAAAAATAACAGAGTGGTGTAAGGGAGATAACTCCTATCACAAACGAATGCATACTGTATGTGGAGCGGAATAAAACAGACACCTTCAATCAATACCCATGTTTCCCATCACAGCTTGTTACCATATATCTGAACCTGCTGAGCTACAGAATAACTATATGTGTATATCATCATTTTAATATTTTCTGAATATATATAAGGTGAGGTAAAATTGGGTTTAACGTCGCGTCCAAGATTATTGCTGTTATACAGCGACGTGCATGCACGTGTGTGTGTGTGTTTGTTGCGGCTTGTACTAGTCCGGATTGATGCTGATTTATAGTGCTAGCTCACTGAGATACCATGCCACAATTTAACATGAATACCCCACTCAGACACAGTATACTGACTCCGAGCCGACCAGTCCTTGATTTAGCCCCTTAATGCCGAGCGCCAGACAGGGTACCATCTTTTAACGTCTTTTGGTATGACGCGGCCGGGGATCGAACCCCGGACCTTCCGCTCTCCGGGCATACGCTCTACCACAAGACCACGGAGGCGGCCTGTATATATAAAGAGACTAATCCTAAACTTTTGAAGTATGTGAAAATAGTTGCCCAACAACTTTAAGTATTTGAAACCACATCAAAGTAGAGAAACAATTACTTTGTGAAAGTGATTTGTACAAAATTCAGTCAGTGTTGAATCAAAACATTTATATGTATTAATATGGCAATCAGATTTGGCCACTTTGAATACTATGATATAGTTTATGTTGGAGGGAAAACCCCAAATGGTTGTTAACCACCTGTTTGAAAACACGCATGGATATAGAACTCACGAAGCAAGGGTCAAATGATTAGTGCAAATCTGGGATTCAAACACAAAACCAGCAAATCCTGGCACCAAAGGGAGATAACCCTGCATAGTGAACTGAGAAAGAGCATTACAACATGTTTCTTATTGGTGCTTAAATCCTTTTGCCATTTTCAGTGAAGCATTCTCATGAAGAATAACAATGACATGGTCTGTACAGTCGTCTACTAACCCACAGGTCTTCCTGCAGTAGTCCTTCAGGAAGGCGTCGTAGTAGGTTCCATTAGGGGAGCAGCCGAGGGTGCTGTTAGACCAGAACCAGCAGGACAAGCTAGGAGACCGGTCAATACACACTGTAACAAACACAGACCGATCAATACACACTACAACAAACACAGACCAGTCAATACACACTGCAACAAACACAGACGGGTCAATACACACTGTAACAAACACAGACCAGTCAATACACATTGCAACAAACACAGACCAGTCAATACACACTGCAACAAACACAGACCAGTCAATACACACTGTAACAAACACAGACCAGCCAATACACACTGCAACAAACACAGACCAGTCAATACACACTGCAACAAACACAGACCAGTCAATACACACTGCAACAAGCACAGACCAGTCAATACACACTGCAACAAGCACAGACCAGCCAATACACACTGCAACAAACACAGACCAGTCAATACACACTGCAACAAACACAGACCAGCCAATACACACTGTAACAAACACAGACCAGTCAATACACACTGCAACAAACACAGACCAGCCAATACACACTGTAACAAACACAGACCAGCCAATACACACTGCAACAAACACAGACCAGTCAATACACACTGCAACAAACACAGACCAGTCAATACACACTGCAACAAACACAGACCAGTCAATATACACTGCAACAAACACACACCGGTCAATAAACACTGTAACAAACACAGACCGGTCAATACACACTGCAACAAACACAGACCAGTCAATACACACTGCAACAAACACAGACCAGTCAATACACACTGCAACAAACACAGACCAGTCAATACACACTGCAACAAACACAGACCGGTTAATAAACACTGCAACAAACACAGACCAGTCAATACACACTGCAACAAGCACAGACCGGTCAATACACACTGCAACAAGCAACACCCTGGAAAGGATGTGGGTGTGTTGGCAACTTACATGTGGGGGATGGAGTGGTGATGGGGGGACTTTTGGAGCACTGCAGCTCAGGACAACACCCTGGAAAGGACTGAGAGCTGTCGGCTACTTTGTTACAGTTGTCATCATCTGGGTTTTCATCATTTGTGATCTCTCTACATCTGAGGAAGGAAATGTGATTGATAATAAAGTAAAGTTTGGAGTGAAAACAAACATTACATCTTATCAATGTCAAGGATGTAATATATTAAAGGTTGATATTCCCCATGCTTTCATTGTTTGTTTGTTGTTTAAAGCTACACTCAGCAATATTCCAGCTATATGATAATATATGATAAGCATACCTGGATCAGACAAACCAGTGATTGATATTATAAGCAATGTCTCAGGACAATCAGTAAAGTCTTTTTATTGACTATTTATCATCCAACTTTTTTGCATTTTATAAACAATATTATAATTAATAACCAGCATTTTGAGCATAAGAAGACAGCTAAGCAGCTTCAGTGGCAGAGAGATTTGTGATGTCATTTTATTGTGACGTCATGGTAACCAATATTACAATAGTCTGCAAAGCATTGTGTTGCAATTTCATGTTTGATCTCAGCCAAGAGGTTTCTTCTGTGGAAGCCAGTCTGGGATGACAGATATCATATCCACTATATCAATGCAATAAGACACAGTGCATGCAATATCAACACTAACACCAAAGCCCAGTAAATACAATGTTTATTCCTATTAGTATTACAGGATATTTTAATGTTTTGAACAGAATTCCAGTTACAATATTATCACATCATTTCAGCTTGATGTGAGAGGAAAGCACAAAGTGATGCAGGTCTTAGATATCTACCACTTTGGTAAAACCCATGAGCATGGGTATGGTGCTGACAATCCTGGAAACATAGTTGGGTTGAACCAGGATTTGAACCCAGGATCATAGGATTCAGACATGCCTAAGGGACACAACTCCGCACAGACCCCATGTCCCCCATCAATGTTTGATACAGTACATCATGGCACTGAGGTTCTGCTGATGATTCTCAAAAGCTCGTGAAAAAACAGTGGAATTTATCATTAACATAGTGTATATTTAACCTTGTAGGTCTCACCTTAGCTAACATAGTGTATAAATGCAGTTTATATGCCTTCAGGTGCATATTAATATTTTATTACAACATTTTATCCAGTATATATTTTATGCTTGTACAGTCATCAGCACAATTAATGATTAATGCTACTTACGTCTCAAGAATGATAAAGTTAGCCGACTGTGCCATGAAGCAGATGTTGTTGTCACATGCTCCAGGTTGAGAGGGCCAGGTGTCCATGTGACCTTGTTCAACATCAGCGTTATCTCTGCAGACTCCTGCATCATGTCCATACAACACACTTCAACTTACATGTCTTATTGCCATGGTTATAGTGAATCCACAGTAGCATAACTCACATTACAAATCTTTCTGAAAGGACATGGTAGGGTATGGGCCCTTTTTGTCCATTGAAAATGAAAAATATCAAATATAAAAGTTATAGAATACTTGAAATAATGCTATGACAATTATCAGACATGTTCACATGACTGAAAATTAACCTTATTTTCTTTCTGACACCTGCAGGTTTTGGACATCTGGTATGATTAAGTTACTAAAACTGGCAAAATATTAATTGTGAACAATTCATCTCTATCTAGTCATTGTAATAGTCTTGATCTACATATAAGAAAATCAGCAAACTTGCTGTTCTAATATTAGAAAAATGCTTCCCCAAAAGGTCGGAAATATGTCTAATTCAACTTCATATAAACACTTCAGATAACTGTCATAATGATTTCCTAAAGCTTTGTTCATATCTTGAATAAATATGCAGATCTATTGGGTTGTCTTCATCATGTTATCACATTAACTTGTCCAGTTATATAGATATATGTGTGTCTTGATTGTCCTATCATTTTCCCCAAAAAGGGGTAAAAACAATCATTCTCCAACACGGGGTAAAAAAAATCATTCTCCAACAAGGGCTAAAAACAATCAATATTTTTAACCACTCCGCGGCCCATGAAAAATCTCGTGACAGTCTCGCTTATAAGCAAACCTGATACGTCGATTTAACGTAAGACCAATATCTATCCCATCGCGAAAGAAATGACACTAAAGCTGCCTTATTTTTCAGGAAATGAGCCAAGATAAAAATCGATATTCTGACTGAATAGGGAATTTGAAAGAAAGATATTTATCAACAAAGATATAGTTTACCTGTGAGTTTGAGTTGACTTCTTATCTTTGTAATATTAGTGGAGGAGACAGTCTGTGACAACACTTCGTCTCCATGCTGTGTCAAAATGAAGAATAAAGTCGTAAAGAGAATCTGTAAGCAGAAACGTCTGCTCCACGGCGAGTAATTTCCTTCTTCGGTCGCCATGTTGTTTACAACAGGTGCCCGTGCCAACGATAATAATCTCCACGTTTATTTTACTTCTTGTTTGACTTGTATTTTTTAATATGGTCTTGTCTCAATGAATTCATAAATTGAATTGAGGTATTAATTCAAATGCACTTTTCTTTAAATTCGCATCGCTGAGACATAAATGATGGCTTCTACCCAGGTGTCTGTCACTGCCAGCTTGGACTGGTTAGCTGCCATGAGTCGGCTTGCTGGCTAACGCAACTGTGCGTGACAAGAGACTGGGCTACCGTCTGTGATGACTGCGGAAATAAACTTTGAGGCAATATATCACTGGTTAATAGGTTACGCATGATCTGCGAAGATTTCGATACTACAAAAGGTACGCGTTAATTAATTTCTTCAACATATACAAACAGACACAAATATTAAGAACGATGTAAGCTCATCGGATGTATCCGTTATTTGTAGTCTGATGAAAAACAGTATCTCCGCGGTGCAAGCATTTTCGTATACAGTTGGCTATCGGATGCAAACTGAACATTATAGGAAAACAACAAACCAAGTTTGAAAGTATTGAAATATGGATGAGCTTTTTCTTCGCGGATTCAAAATTTGCTTATAATGGACTATAATTTCGACTGGTTTGACTTGTGTTGAGGCCTCCCGCGTTCTTGCTAATCAATGAAGACAAATGCAAATATCGTACAACCAACAAAATTTATAAGTATAAAATCAGGCAGTTACCTTGTTCAAGGAATGTATCCGTCAATATCCACATGAAGGAACAATATCCCATGTATCTGAAGCTGTGCAAAGAAACCTGTTCGATGTCACATGGCTTTGTAACAAATCTAATATTTTCAAAGGTATGTAGCGTTTCGGTATACAGTTGACTACGGTTATAACGAACTCGAGGGGGCCACTAATTTTAGTTCGCAATAACCGTAGTTCGTCATAAGCATACATACAGCATATATACAACAAATGGTCGGGACTAAAAGTAGGTTCGTTATATCCGTCAGTTCGTTATAAGCGTGTTCGTTATAAACGTAGTTTACTGTATCATAACTCGTGTTCGTATCTCAACTGATCACGTAAGTTTGTTTCAAGTGTTTCACATCGGTGTTAAGTCTCATTGGTCAGCTGAGATAGCACACGAGACAACTATGTTCATGATGTCCAGGGGCGGTCGGGTAGCCTAGTGGTTAAAGCGTTCGCTCGTCACGCCGAAGACCCGGGTTCGATTCCTGACATGAGTACAATGTGTGAAGCCCATTTCTGGTGTCCCCCGCCGTGATATTGCTGGAATATTGCTAAAAGCGGCGTAAAACCATACTCAGTCAGTCAGTCATGCTGTCCACGGTTCTTTACAACAAATCCAGTTAGTCAGATAATGAAGAGCAATCAATCAACGTATCATCGGCTAATCCCCACCCTCCAAACTGTGGACACAATACCTTCTTTTTTGTTCTCATTCATGGCATAACTTGTAATGATGTTGATAATTCATGTCTTTTGACAATACAAGTATGTTTATGTTGCATTTTCTCCGAGTGAGGATAAGTGAGCCTTTCACATCACAGTCAACAACTGTTTCAGTCATATTACAGCAGGGAAGGTGGCGTCAATAACCTTGGCCAAGGATACGACACAGTGCCTTGCATGATATGGTATCTTGAAATGGAAGATTTGAAATGATCATTTATAGATAAGGGTTACAGGCATACTGTCTATCATGCTCATGTCTCGATGTCAAAGATTTCGGTTTGCTCACGAAATACTCGTATTGATGAGGATGACCATATTGCCGTCGAGACAAACTATTTGTTTTCAAGCCGATGGATGCTGAGTTTCTTATTTACACATTTATGAGCTGTCGGTCTTTTAAAAAAAATATTTGAGTGAATTTCGAACTCAAACCAAAACAGATCGAGGTACTTACAAGCCTTTATGACGGACGAGACACAGTTTGCGTGCTTCAGACTGGATATGGGAAAACGTCAAGTTACTTGCACAGGTAATGCAATACCTATTCGGCAAGTCCGATCCCTGTATAATTATCATCTTATTCCCTCTAAATTCATTCATGGAGCATCAAACTCGGTCACTATGTGGTAGAAATATTAAAGCTTGCTATATGAACGTGGAAGCTTCACCCACAACTACTTTCCAGTCTCCTACTGACTGTAAGCAAGATCAGGACACAGACATGTCACCTGTACACGAACACCTGGTATCATCACTATGTGATAGTGATTCATAAACATATGCTTATGATTATAGTCGGAATCGTACAATCAACTCTGTACGATCTCCTAAACCACGTCGTATACCACGTCAGAAACTTTTAAGGCCGCTTCACAAAGCCCTCTTAGTGTAAATAACGTCGTAAAATCACCCTAACTCTACGACAGCCCTAGGGCTATCCTTAAGTAGTTACGACCTCGCAATTTTAAACCATCATGGCGACACATGCATTCCATTTAGAAATCATCAGAAGAGAACGTCGTTGTTTTCCGGGACAGAAGTCGGACATTAGATGTTTAAGATGATACTGGTTTGATTTTGCAATATCGATTCCTAATACATGTCATCATTGAACTGGTTAATCGAGTTGATGAACAGCTATCTTGACTGACTCAGCGTCCGTGGTCACTAACTACAGAGGTCCAAGTGTTGTGTAGCTTGAGATACTTTGCTAAAGGTTTTGTTTAATAGCGAGATCGGTGACATTCACGGAGTTAGCAAGTCAAGCGTTCCCAGAGTACCACGTCATCAATTCTAGGTAATGTCCGTCTGATACATTTTCCATCAGTGACCAAGCACAGACAACATATGGAAGAATTCCCCCAAATATGTGTTTCCCGAAGGTTATTAAATGTACTGACTGCATACTCATCCCTATACTGAGGCCTAAATGCAAACGACTGCGACGGCTTTGACTTCAAGATATTCAAAATAAGCGCAAGTATCTCATTGCTGAGAAGAATGCTAGCGCTTTCATCCCCGAGCTAAACAGTCCCATCACCCGAGATGAGTGAGTGAGTGAGTGAGTTGGGTTTTACGCCGCTTTTAACAGTATTCCAGTTATATCACGGCGTGTCAGCTTAATGTGGGAGGAAAGCCCGGAGTGATGCAGGTCTAAGACGTTTACCACTTCGGTGAAACCCACGAGCAAGGGTATGGTGCTGACAAACCTAGAAACATAATCGGGGCGAACCGGGATTCGAACCCACAATCATAGGTTTCTGGCGTGCCCAAGGGACGCAACTCTGCACAGCGAATCGCGGCGCCTTAGACGACTGGGCCACCCGTGCCCCCTCACCCGAGATGAAGTACAGAATGCCACCAACAAAGCAAAAGTTGGAAACCTGCAGGACTTGTTAACTTACAAAGTATTAAATTGTTTGATAGGCATTACTTAGAAGTTGACGGATGACAAAGTTAACACAATTTATGGATAACAACGTCTTTAAATACTGCAAAGGCGACGTTTCAGTAAAGATCCTTAGGCTGGAACTTGGTTCACAACGGTCAGAGACCATATACCGATATATGGTATATGGTCTCTGCAACGGTATAAGGGTTTATACCGAAACGTCGCTGGACGCAGAACAGTAGTTTATCTCACATTATATGTATTGAGAGAAACCAGATGGGGCCAAGGAGTTCAGTCAATACCCAAACTTACTGATATTACCTTTAAATCACGTCTGTATACAGAAGATTATGTCAACCTCCCGCGTTTCAAAAGAACACTTCACTGGTGCCATTCCGGTCAACTACATCCGGGCTAGACCGCGAGTAAAAGTCAGACTTGTCAACAGCGCGCGTAGTATCGCGATCGCCCGCCTTCCTGAACACGCCTCTGGATCAGCGCCCCTTTTGTAATTATGATGAAAGGGGAAGTAACTCCTACCAAACTTTTGCTTTTTTAGGCCACAGTCATAAATTAATCCACTTTCATTTGTGTACACCTCCATATTCATGTGTTTCGTTTAGCTGAAGTTAAGCCAAGTTCCGTGCTGGAGTCTGTCAAAATATTACGCATGCTTCATAAAATAATGTACACTTGTCAGTTCAGCTAGGGTATTATTCAGTATATGACATACCACATTCTTTGGCCATGACCCCATCACTAATAGTTCTGATTCTCTGTGAAACAAACACAAACAACAAAATTATGATAAAAATTTATTTTGACATTTTTGATACACGTTGCTAAAGTGTGTAGAAACATGTCACTCAAAACTGTAATTTTATGTACAGTACACCACACAATCCTGTAACGTTGCAGCAAAAATATCAACATCTCATGTTGTGTGATTACCCAACTCACAAAACGTGAACTCTTTGTACAGCATTGGAATCATTGGAATTAAACAAACTCTGAAAAGCAACTCTCAAAATAATAAAATATGACAAATCCCCAAAATAGTTTACCATAAAATATACACACTTTGCTGAAAATCTTTCAAAACCTGCAATTTACTTAAACTTAAAATACAGGGAAAATATTAATCCTGTTCAGTTTGAAGTTACTTGTGACTTTATTTTTGGAACCTAATTTTTAAATTCTACATTGCAACCGGAAACTAATTATTTTCACGATACTGGACACATACATGTATTCCCCAAACAGAAAACTTTATACACATCTAAAAATATTTTGACAAAAAGTATTTTCACTTAACCCCTTTGAGATCACAAGTTCTTAACATAAATATCTATTGTACAACATCAATGAAGAGTGTGTGTCCGCTGTAATAATATGAAATGAACATAAATATGTCAATATCATACATCGATTGATGAAATAAATTCTATTTTTGAAATGGGATTAATTGTTATAACCACCTTTTTTCAACTAATCTTACTAAAAATAACTAAACAGAATCTACTTTAAAAATTTATCCATTTTAGTTTCTAAAAATGTTACAATTCAGGAGATGCTTCTGAGGGACCATATAATAATTAATCATATAATGGGTAGGTTTCTTGGCAGGATAAAGCCAATGGATAAAAATGGTATCCATTGGGGTCATAAACTGATAAAGATGCAAATATGAAAGGTCAGGTAGGTACTACTTTCAGTGCTTACTAACAAACATGGCATCGCCCTTGTCAATCAAGTCAGAATTACCATCCCCAGAAGCTACTGTGATAATTATTATAGTCAAAACAATAGTCTAAGATACTGAAAATCAATGTCTAACTGGGAGGTAACTGAGGCATTTGAAAGATTTGGCAACTTTGGAGATACAAACTGCAGAACAATTTAGCGAAGACACTAGCATCAGCCTCCATATCTGTGATTGTAGACCTCTTCGGCTCGGGGTCTTTTACCCAATTTCAAACAGTTCGATTTTGCCGAAATATCAGTGAATTGTTACCTTGTTTCATTTTGTTGCTGTGTGTACACCAGACTCTTAACTTGGGAAACGATAAGACAGGGCAGGCAGGCTCCAAACAAACATGATGTCTCTTCGACTTTTACTCTAGCGGGTGAACCGATGCTTTCAACAAGGCTCGCAAGATACAATGTTTATTCCCAATACTGGATATTTCCCATCCCAAACCACACTCGCATGATAACCTCTGTGTTCTATGTCAGTTCATGTGTGTTGACTAATGCTGTATTTCATTGAGTCACTATGGAGCACATTCTACACTAATACTTATTTTATTTGCATTCAGAAAATAAAGACTGAAAAACAACAACAATCTGTTCATAAGTTTGTGTAGTAGTCTAGAAATGTAGAAATGTCTGCACATTATTCAGGCATTCTGAACTCTCTGTATTAAATAAGCCTATAGACCCTCAGACTCCTTTCTTACAATGCCTGCATACAAGCTCATAGTGTATTCCAGTAATTTGATTAAACGTGTACAAATTTGTACACATATTAGTTTATTTAATGAGTTACATACCATGTATTCAATTCCTCAAAGCAAATGCCATGAACAATTTAAGTAAGCTGATATCAACAGAAAAAAACTAAAATGATGTTTGTTAAAAAATCACAAATATATGAGATGGCAATTTCCTATTTCCTATTGGCAAACAAGATTTTGAACTATATGTTTTCATGCATGATTTCAGTACTGTGGGAGGTGGTGCATGTATCAATGAGAATCATAGACAACATTTGTAGTGAAGTAACTTGTCCACTTATCACTGCTTATTTATCTCAGGTAAGTTTGTCTTGTTACTTTCAGTAATACAATCCCTGCACACAGCATGGATAGCAGAAATTATTTAATAAGAGCATTGTCTATTTTGGAGACAAAATATTTCATTTGAAACATGACGGCTGAAGGAATAAAGAGAAGAATTTTGTCTTCAAAAATATTGGATATGAATTAAGGCCTACTCAACATTCAAACAATATCAATTTCATAGTCCAGACCATGAACGTGTCTCAACATTTCCCTTACTTCAACTATGAAAATAAATAACTATTTACATTTATAAGAAACATATAGCACAAAAACAACATTCCTGAATTCTTGTCAGTTTAAATCTACAAACTTCAATAAATTCCTTTGAGGAGGAACGATATCACCAATTTCAAACACTTCCTGCTAAAACGTTAATATATTAAGCAGCTGTAGCATTGCTGTATGTAACCTGCCTCTTTTGAAAGGCTTCTTTTGATTGGGCAAACAAATATCTGTGCAAGGCATTTGATTGGCTTATGCAGGGATGTGTTTCATTACCTGTTCACTGATCAAAGGTGGTACAGCAAAAGGCTATGGGCCAGATACTCAACACATCATTCTCCATAGGGTTTCACATTAATTAGTACAGCAGAGATAATTTTCATTACCTCTCTTTCAATAACATTTGATCAAACCTGGCTACATAAGTTTGCGAACACTATCAACACTAAACAATGGCTCGAATAACATAAAAGAGTAAAGTTGACACAATATATGAATAACAACTTCTTTAATTACTGTAACGGCCATGTTTCGGAATAGATCCTTATATTGTTGCCAAGCTAGACAAAGGATCTATACCGAAACGCCGCCTTTACAGTAAATAAAGAAATTGTTATACATAAATTGTGTCTACTTTGACATCCGTCAACTTTTAAGTAATGACTATCAAACAATAATAGAGTAAGGCTTAAATTATCAAATTTCACTTTTGGTAATTCTTATATGCGAAATGAATAAATGGAAATTTAGGAACTGACATTGTATCCATTTTTAAGCAAAAACAAAATGTGTGAGGTAATGGCATGAAATATAAGATCCCTATGGAGAATTCTGATTTTGAGAACATATTTGTCACCTCAATGCATTTGTCATGTAAGTGTGTAGACTTTCAACAGGAATTCATGAATGAAAAAACGAGAGAATTTACAGCATGTTTATAGAATATATACACTCATGGACATATTCACAGAAAATGGTAACAGCACTGTTGCTATGGAAACATACAAATGTACAATAAGTACAGGTACAACACCCTACATGGGTCACAGGCTGGGATGCAACAACAGCATCTTCATCATATCCCCTTAATGCCTGTCTGTCTTCATTACCACATTACTTGTATCATAATCCTCACAACAGAACCCATTTCTCCCTCCAGTAAACTTGTAATACAGTGATTAGAGAAATTAAAGTCCAATTTTGAATAACACACATATTTTTTTTCATGACATTCCACCAATAACATACTTTATATGTGCCAGAATTCTATCTTGAAATGGAATGAAAATATGAGTATCACATCTTTACAGTATTCAACATCCTGTAATGAAATATTTTTAAATCTAAAAAGTGTTCACTTTTCTTGAAAACACAAAATATTGTCACTTTTCAAACAGGTCAGTTTGGAAATACTCAAATTGAATATTGATGGATAATATTCAAAACTGACAAAACGATTCTGCCCATCCCCGCCCATGACACCATAGTATGTCTGCTGAGGAAAGGTATGGGTTTAAATGCATATATGTGTGTGGCAGACCCTGAGATTGCCTGAATGTATACATGTACACAATCTGAGACACCCAGAACACTCACTCACCATGTACAGAACATGCACAACATCTGCACAGAACGTAACCATCCTAGTTTGGAATTAGAACCTTGAATGATAGCCGTCTTCCATCCTAGGCTAGCTTAAGTTCATCCTTAAATAAAAACATCTCCAACTGAAGTTCATGACTCATGTCAACCTCACATGTATCCTGCCAGTCCCTGTTTGGCATTAACCCAGCTTTACTGAAGCACTGTTTTGAAAGGTGTCATTTTGCCTTCTCTGAAATGTGTCTGTGGCTTTCCCTGTCAAACAAGCTACAAAGTTACAACATATAGGATAAATAATGCCTTGGAATACTGCAATGAACCACTCACCAAAGGCAGCTTAGTTCAGGAGCTAACTGTAAAGGCCATAGCCAAATCTATTATCTCAGTGAGGCCCATGTGGCTGTTGTAGGAAGATGAAGTATCTCTGAAATTACTTGACTACACCTCAGTCATATCTCTCTATAATCCATACCCAACGTTTCTGTACTAGGATATGTGTTAAACGACCTTAAAAGTGGAAAACTAAGAGATTTGTGTAGAGGGAATGTAATTCATGACACTGAATACACACTGCATCGTGTGTGATGTATGACTCTTAAAAAAAGCTTCAGGACATCCCGGTATGCTGCATGACACTCAGTACACACTGCCTGGCGCTCAGTACGCACTGTATGACACTCAGTACACTGCATGACACACAGTACACACTGTATGACACTCAGTACACACTGTATGACACTCAGTACACACTGTATGGCACTCAGTACACACTGTATGACGCTCAGTACACACTGTATGACACTCAGTACACTGCCTGACACTCAGTACACACTGCATGGCACTCAGGACACACTGCATGACACTCAGTACACTGCATGACACTCAGTACACACTGCATGACACTCAGTACAATGCATGACACTCAGTACACTGCATGACACTCAGTACACACTGCATGACACTCAGTACACACTGCATGACACTCAGTACACTGCCTGACACTCAGTACACACTGTATGACACTGGTACGCACTGTATGACACAGTACACACTGCCTGACACTCAGTACACACTGCATGACACTCAGTACACTGCATGACACTCAGTACACACTGCATGACACTCAGTACACACTGCATGACACTCAGTACACTGCATGACACTCAGTACACTGCATGACACTCAGTACACTGCATGACACTCAGTACACTGCATACACTGCATGACACTCAGTACACTGCATGACACTCAATACACACTGTATGACACTCAGTACACTGCATGACACTCAGTACACACTGTATGACACTCAGTACACACTGTTTGACACTCAGTACACGCTGCCTGACACTCAGTACACACTGTCTGACACTCAGTACACACTGTATGGCACTCAGTACACACTGTATGACACTCAATACACTGCATGACACTCAGTACACACTGTATGGCACCCAGTACACACTGCCTGACACTCAGTACACACTGCATGACACTCAGTACACACTGCATGACACTCAGTACACACTGCATGACACTCAGTACACTGCCTGACACTCAGTACACACTGCATGACACTGGTACACACTGTATGACACTCAGTACACACTGCATGACACTCCGTACACACTGCCTGACACTCAGTACACACTGAATGACACTCAGTACACACTGTATGACACTCAGTACACACTGTATGACACTGGTACACATTGGGAGCGTGACAGGCATGATGCTGTGTGTGATGTGGCACTGTTATAATGCTACTAGGCATATGTCAGACGGATTATGAAGGGTTGACTTAATCAAATACTGTTCTTCAATCATTTCAGGGCATTACCTCTTCCATGTAAATATTGTCATACAATAATTGTATTTGTATATCAAGCTAGGTGTCTCACTGATATTTACTACACAAAGAAGTTAAAGAACACCCAACTCTTTCACATGACTATAGTTAATCTGCCATGGCATGACAGATCAACTTTTGTAATATGGAAGAAATGGGTGTTCTTTAACTTCTTTTGAGTAGTATATAACACACTTAATAAGATAAGGAATACCTTGCTATGCCTTCAAATAGTCAAGGTGTGTTGATCACTCCTGAGTGAACTGAATGACTTTGCTAAGATGCTGGCAAGGGAAACAATGGACACAAATAACTTTATACTTGAGGTTATTTTGAAAATATTTTGCTGATAATAATGGTGCTTGATTTTATTCGAAAAAAACTGCCCTTGAAATAATTCAGAGACTAACAAATAGGGTTGATATGGCAGTAAGCACACCTTCAGGCAACGACAGCATCGGCTTATAGACTTTCAGAAACTTTAGTTTGTATCATTCATGCTGAAGAAAATAGTCAAAGGCCTTATTATGAAAAGTTCTGCAAATGTCATGCTGGGCATGTATAGGTGAAGAAAGAACAGTATATACAACCTAGGAAGTATTGACGAACAGGCTAACGATATTTTGAGATTTTCTGATTGTAATCAGAATTTGTCCATTCTTGAATGCTGTCATTTCTCCCACCATTCTAGCATGCAACCAAATGATCAATATGACCTGACTGCCTACACTACCTCAGTAACCCATTCAAGCTGTTGGTCCATACCAGTCACTGCAACAACGTTTCCACTTTCGAACCACCTCCCTGCCATAAGTCATCCAGGACATTAACATATATCCATGTACACAAACAGGTGCTGACAACATTAAACACATACAATATCAGCAGTTGATTCTTGTGATAAAACTTGATGGCAACCGTGCAACATACATCAAACTCCATGTTTCAGAACTTAGAAAAAGCATAACATCATTTTCAAAGTGATCAAGTAGGTGTCTGTGTGTTCTTTCCAGTCCTAACAGATTACATAATAACCTCATGGTCTCTTCATTTCAATGCATTGTTTTTTCATTCATTTGTCCTCCCAGCAAGTCAGAATATAAACATCACATACTAGTATTTCATTTCAAACGGTTCAGTATATTGGGAAAATAGTTTTTCTTGAAACTTGATTCATGCTCATCGCCAAATGTCATTGTTTATCATCTGTACGGGTTAGGATGTAAACAAATAATAACAATTTACTATTGAAAGTTAAACGTTTTGAGAAGAACCTGTCTACATTTGAGTCTTAATTGTTAAAAAATATATATATATATATTACAAAAAATGTCTAACAAGTCATTTCCATGCCTATATTGCCAGTTTGAGCAAAAGTACTGGTACATGATATCGACTAATACATCTTAATATCATTTCTAGTAGTAATCATGGTCAATCTTGAATGAGGTATGTCACTGCAGTAATCAAGTAATTACAGGGGTATATATTAAATATATACATTCCTGGCAAGGTAATCAAGTAAACACAGGGGTATATATTAAATATACAGATTCCTGACACAGCAATCAATACAAAATCCTGACTACAGTTTATGACAATGTCGGTCTTATAATCATAATGCATGATCATTGATGATTCACCGGAATTGCGAATTTGTTACACCTGGTAATGTAAAAGATTTTGTTCTGAACTTCATGTATACATTTATGTTACAATGAAATTGAAATACAAGACCTACACAAAACCCCACATCATTTATGTCATGTCAGAATGGTCAGTAGTCCTTCAACCTAACTTGTGCATACATAAAATATGAGTGAGTGAGTTTGGTTGAACGCTGATTTGAACAGAATTTTAGTTATAGAGTCAGCTTGTTCATTTTGATGTGAAAAAACCCCCTCCTAGAATGAAGCAGGTGTAACACCATTATTGTGAAAACAAACAGGGGGATGGAGATAAGCAGGAAACAATCAGGTCAAATCTGGGATTCCAACCAAAGATTGCATGTATCTGCACTGCCTTAGGCATGTTAGGGACACAACTCTCCACTCTTTATGACTGGGCACCCATGTCTCCACAGCTTACATTAATACCCAAGACTATTTATAAATAGTGAGTGAGAACGGTTTTACGCCGCTTTTAGCAATATTCCAGCAATATCACGGCCGGGCACACCAGAAATGGGCTTCACACATTATACCCATGTGGGGAATCGAACCAGGGTCTTCGGCTTGACGAGCAAACTATTTGTAAATAAAAGAAATATACTCTTAATACTCTTAAATGAGTTTGAAAGACTTGCCACGATGAAAATATCTTCGTCATATGCACTACTTCTGGATATTGAACTTCTCATCAAAGTTAAACTTAATAGAATAATTACTGGGTTACATAAATGTTTTACTTGCATTGGTCATTGTGGAACCGATGTACTGTAAATATCACACCCGATACTGACACTTTAACTGGAGGAACGAAGAGCCCTCTATAGACAGACAGAGCTGATACCATCTCATCATAATGACCATATTATTATTGGATAAAATTGAGCTTTTTGTGTTTACCATACTTCCTACAACTGGAACACGCTTTTATTAAATATCTTCCATGGCCTTTCTATTTCTACTGCAATACTGTAAGTAAAAGAGTTAACTAGAAATGGGGCCTAGCTGATTTTGGCATGTAGTCACACTGTGATGGGACCATGGGAGAGCAAAAACAACCAGGGATGTGGAAATCTTAAAATGTAAATCTGCTCCACGCGCTACACAAAAATGCTTGTTCAGTCAAAGGCAACTTGTACTTTTTTAATTAGGGAATGTTTTTTAATCATGTTTTTTGCGACAAAGTCAACCAGGGTTAGAACTTAACACTAGCCATGGACTGGGCTAGTGCAATGTTTTAACATTACAAGGGCATTTTATCATTACCTGGGCCCCGTTCCTCAAAGCGATCTTAGCACTACGATGATCGCAAACCTATGTTAAAGTATGGGACTTACGATCACCTTAGTGCTAAGATCGCTTTGAGGAACGGGGCCCTGGCCTAATAAATATTTCGAATTCAGTTCTTCAGCTAATCATGAATAGAAAGGACTTAATAACGCTGATACTACAGACGCATATTTGCTTAACTAGCTAATCAATCAATTGTTATTGTTATGTCTTTCTTATAACAAACAGGTCTAAAACAGTGAGCTGAACATTGAGCAAGATGTGAAGATTTAGTGGATTAATGAGACATTATCCCCAGTAAGACCAGCTAAGAAGAAATTCCCAAGTAGTGCAGGTTGGAACCCACAAGTTAAGGATACATATGGTCCTTAGGCCATCATTAGTTGGTTTACAAAAGTCTTGACCAAAAATTCAAAGTAGGTGGTTTAAATTGTCAAAATTATTACCATTACTAATGAATGAAAAACAAACAAGTTTTGTCATGGCAAGATAATGGAAGATATTTCCTTGTTTTGTTTCTGTTAGAATAAAGATTGTTATACATATTATTCACCATTTCCCACAAACAGCGGTGACAAAATATAATGGGTTGTTTTTCCATTTCACCTTATTGTGAAAAAGTCTTCCTAGAATCCCTTGTCAAAAGTTTTTTTTCTTCTTTTGAATTTAAGTATTTTTCAGGGTTAAAAAGAAGAAGAATATCAGGCCAAACAAGAATTCGAAGCCACCTCATTGCTAAGGGACACAACTCTGCACTGCAAGTTGCAGACCCTTGGATAACTCTTGCCCCGTTCAGATCTATGGAAATTTGAATTTTTCAAAATATGTGACATGTTAGTTCCACATCCCTGAGATCAACGTACACTATTTAGCTTATGTCACGATTAAGAGTGTTTGCACCCATACTTCAATTCTACACACTGTCCCAGTCTCACTCTACATTTGTTAAAAAATAGTCCTGAACATTATTTGGATAGAGGAAGCCATGCTGAAGAACGGTTGAACATGATGAACCATAAAGACATTATGTAAAGTGCATTGAAATGAGACTTGAGTGTACACTGCTCATTAACACCTCCACTCCGATCTTGTAGTGTATTGTTGGGCTGGTGTACCTGGTTCAATAGTAAACAGATTGTGCTAGGTCAACAAATTAACAAACTCGTAGTAAAGACTGTGTTATGTTGTGATGAGGCAGGTAACACAGAGCCGAGACGGACCTATGCAGTCATCATGACAGAAAGCACCACATTTCTTGCACATAACCATAGCCTTGAGACTGCAGGCACACGATGAAGGATTAATTGTCGGCGTGCCTTCAGACACGGAAGTCGCTGTGACCGTCGTTCCAACCGCCGTTGATGTAAGCGGCTGCAACATCACGGTAGTCATGTTTGAAGCAGCGGTTATCATTTGCACATTAGGTATTGCTGAGGTTGTTGCCATTATTGACACTTTTGGGTTGGCAAGTAAGTTAGCCACTTGGGTCTCCACGCTATTTGATACAATGGAAGATGTCACTGGCTGGGCACTGCTAGCCGCAGTAGTCTGGTTGCTTCGAAGGGCGACAGTCTGCACACTGAAGCTTCCAGACACTACCGACTGTGGGTTGGGCTTACTATTGCCTTTCCCCACAATAGAAGCAGGTCGAACTACGTAGCGTGGAGACCCTTCACGACCTGCTTGAGTAGGAGTGCCAGCTTTGGATAAAAAATTAACTTCTTCAGAACTTAAGTTGAGGCTTACTTCTCCCTGATTGCTTCCCGTCTGATTCGAGGCGTCACCTCCAACGCTCGCCGATCTCACAATTGTCACAACTTCTGGTTTGTTCTGAGTAGGCGGAGCGCTAGAGGCTCGAGGAGGCGTGCTGCTGGCCAACATCGCCCGTAGATTCTCGTGTGTGAGGACGCACCGGACACCAGATGAAGTCCCACTGGTGTACACCTTGCCTGTAGTGGCGGATGAAGCTTGAACCGAGTTGGTCAGTGTTCTTGTACTGTTTGCACCAGCACAAGTTACCACTGTGCTGGAGGGAGCACTCACAACCAGCACCGTGTTGGGATCTAAAGAATTATTGGATGTCACAATCAGAATCTGTTTCCCTTCTGTGTTCCCAGCTGAAGAGACTGATGGGACCGTCAATACCCTGGTAGGAGATGCTGTTCCCGAGGTCAGCGATGCTGCAGGACTTGCGGTCGATCGACTTGCTTCTCCATCTGATTGGACGCTTTGATCTGACTGACTGCCAGACTGAGAGAACAGCAGTTTTGAGGCACTCATTTGGCTCTGTTGCGGCCCAGTTGCAGGACCAGGACTGTTCACTTTCACAATACTTTTCTCATATTCAGCCTGACATATAGCCAATGATCTTTGTAAATTGATACCATTATTGGGTTCTGTCTTAACAGGGGTTGCAGTTTTGGAAGGTGTCTTTGGCCGTCCGGTGGAGGTTAACAAGATATTTGGATGATTCTTGGATAGGGCAGGACTCAAGGATGGTGCTGGGCGTTGCTCAGTTGTAGTAGGCACAACTGTAGCAGCCGCCTGCTGAGCACGGGCACGTGTCTGTGCCTTTATCTGAGCCAATGTCCTTGTTTGAGCCTGGGCTGGGACTCTCCCTACAGGGGGACTAGGACTCGTCAACAGGCTCCGTACTGATGAGTTTTGGGACACATTAGTCGAAGACCTGGTCTGAGGTGGAGAGATGATTGACACAGTTGTCTGAGCTTTGGCAGCTTGAGTCCGAGCTTTGATCTGAGCTAAAGTCCTAGTCTGCCCAGCGACCTTAATAATTCCTGGGGTTGTAACAACAGAACCAGTTTGAACAGACTTAGCAGACGAAACGTCAACAACCTCTGGAGGAGTGTTCGTTAAAGCTGTCCGTAACGGACTAACCGGTTCAGCTGACTGTGACTTCTGACTCCGAGCAGCCTCAGTCTGAGCCTTGATCTGAGCCAGGGTCTTAGCCTGAGCTTGCCGCTGACTGGGTGACAATCTTTGCTTCTTGGCTGGCGTTGGGCTTACTTCAGCTTTGTCTACTTTGGTCGTTGAAGCTGCAGCATTGGCTGTGGTGGATGTGACGGTTGCAGTCACTGTTGTTGAGACAGTGGTCAGCAGTCCCACCTGGGCACTGGATGCTGTAGAAATGCTGTTGGTTATACTATGTGATCCGGCTGGCATCACTGACTCCACACTTGCTGCTACGGCTTTGGATAATGACTTGTGGCGCAACATGGACGACACCAACATGCTTCGTTTATGGGCTGTATTCTTCTTGGCAGCAGGCACGGAGTTCACAGGCTTGATAGGCGATGGACCAGTGGCTTTCGGTACATCCTTTAATATCCTGCAAGAGACAAAAATGTGTGTCAGCATGTTAAATAAAAACTTTCAAAATTTATCTATAGACAGGATCTATAAAGTTGATAATATCAAATGTTTGTTTGTTGTTCAATGCCACACTCAGCAATATTCCAGCTATATCTATTTGGTCACCTCTTACGACCAGCAGATGTTCCTGGGGACCAGTATTAACCCGGAATCCCAATGGGGATAATATCAAATGAATTCAAACTGAAATATAAGTTTCAGTTCAAATCAACAAATACACCAAGGACTGTTGGTAAAGTGAGTGAGGTTTGACGTTTTGAACAGTGAACTGTTATACAAAGGTGTGTCAGCTTAATGTGGGTTGTATGCCCAAAGTGATTCAGATCATAGAATTTTTCCACCTTGGTAAAAACCCATGGGCACAAATGGAGGTGTTGGTACATCAAGGATCTTTAGGGGAGAATCAAGCATTTATGCCCACAATCAGCAGATACTGCCACAATGAAGAGACACAACTCTACACAGTAAGTCGTGGTGTCCTAGACCACCAAGCCACACAGTTAAAGAACGCTCATCTCTGAGCCCTAACATTTAAATACTGTATATGAACTAATATTTTCATCTCTCAAACCAATCTTGCCACTAATAAATAGTACGAACTTGATATTCTGAATTAAATAAATTAATCTACAATAATTTAAATGATAATGATGATAACTAGACAAATATATGGAACATCTTTTACTCACCTTTGTCCCCAGAAAGTCTCAAAATGTTTAGCCTGAAACATGACAATTCCATTTGTTAGAGTCATTACATTTTGAAACTAGTTTTATACAAAAACTAGAGAATTCCCAAATGCAATAAACGTATAAGACCCGGGAATATATGACATAGATACATAACAAATGACATGGAACCATTATGTAACCTGTGCAAAGGTCTTTCTTATACAGACCTATGGGTAAGGGGAGATAATGTTCAAATTATCTCCCTTTACACAATTAGAATCAATTACAATACGAACAATAAAATGTCATAGAATGATGAGTAAACTTATGAAACAGTTCTCAAGCCATTGTCAAAGAGCGCTTATTAAGTACAAATACTCGCTGCAGGAACATACTGTTTATTATAATAACAGACACTGTCTACAAACTCCTAACCTTCCAAGGGTCAAGTTTGGTCTGTTCCTTCTCCTCTTCTTGCTTCAAGCGTTGCATGTTTTCTGGAGTAAATTCACCTGAAACAAACAGAATTCCTGTCAGCAGGTTCTCACTGCACACAAGATATTGTTTCCCAAACACATACATAGTGAAAATGGATGCAAACGGATGTTACCATGGTTACCAAGTGCCACGAAAAAGTTTGGTTGTTTGACTCATGGAAACTGATCAAAATAGTTAATTACATGTTGATACACACTACTGAAGTTTCTATTCTGGAATGAAAAACACTCAAGGTTCAGCGTGTTAATGGTAGATTTTCTTCAGTTTTACATTATAATCCCCATCTTTTATAGGATCCAGGCTCTGAGTATGTTCAATGATGTGCATCAGCAAAATTCTTGGAGTTCAAGTGAAGTGTACCACATGTCACAGCTAGACATTATTACAGAGAGTCCTCTAGACTCTTAAACAGATAGACCCAGCGAAATCCCTGCTGTCATACAAACACAAACCCTGCTGACAGACTATCTAAAAGGTAAAACTGTTCTAATTAACCAACTGCAATGATGAGCTCCCAATCAAAGAATCAAAGCAATCTATTGTGTTACAATTGTATGTTTCAAACGGTGATGACTAAGTACTCTCTCTCTCACCTTCTGATAGCCTTTCTCTCCACTCCTGTTGTGCTTTGGCAAAGAACTCATTATTCAGTGCTGTTGGACTGATGCTGCATAAAAACAATCAACATTCAGTTTTAATATTTAATATATAATCATTATTTAACAGTTTCCAAAAATGAAAAATATGAAATTTTAGTATAAATTGTAGATTTATACACTTATCCTATCTCACACTATACAATTCTTCTTCTTTGATCCTATGTGGAAACATGCTAGAACCATGTTATCAGCTTCTAAAACAAAAAACACTCACCCGAACACACCCCAGCATCCCTATGGTTACTGACCAAACAACTGGGTCAATTACGTGCTCCGTGCATGGAAACCTTACATGAACTGACCTCTGTCTCTACCAACTCATTCTCTTTCATAGAGCCATCAGGCTAAGGGAACTGAGATGAGGGGGGTGGTCAGGTGGGCAGATCGCATGTGAGATAGGATAAAATTTCAATTTTTTGTTGTAAACTTAACCTATCTCACACTATGCATCTTATCGCCCGGTTGGACAGTAGCCGCAGATTCCCTAGCCTGTATAGACTAAAACCATGAGATATACACGAGGAAGCAGGATCTAAACAGTGCAAAAACTTATATATATAAATAAGTAAAACTAAAACACTGCCAAGTGCCTGAAAGACATCAACTCATGAGCAGGAAAACACAGGAACAACCGGTGATACCGATACGTTAATCAAACGAAACTGCATGAGATCTGGGATACATGCCGAATATGTTTTCACATACGTAATCATTCATTAATTGACCGTGTATCTGTACACAAGCCATACAGCCAACGACTTGAAATTGATAATGGACCGGTATCGATTCTTCAAACAGGGCGCAGCACTATCTCCGACGCACAATAAGGTGCAACTGTTTGGCATCTCTTTTAACGCTTCGTCAAGCTCATTAAAGATTCGAGTGACATGCACCCAACCAGGAGGAGAAGAGAAACGATCGACAACATCCATAAGAGGATCTTTGAACCGATAGCCTACTTTAGAAATACTCAAGTGGTACAAAGGTTTGGGACATCATTTGGAATGGCTGCGCCTTGTGGAGACTTCCAGGTTGAAGACTAAAGTCTCTACAGACGAGTTAATCCACCCTAGAAAAGGGAACTGGGTCTGGGAAAACCTCTAACAATCAAAAACAATCAACACCAAAGTTAATGTTCAAAGACTTCTTTAGTATAGATACCTGTAAAGGTCAGGAACAAGCTTATATGACGTCATCTGTGTTTTTTGGCATGCGACAGTTGTTGCACTAAGAGCAAAGGGCTGAACTTGTGGAGACCCTGGACATCAGTGACTGAAATGCCCCGAGTGAATAGTGAGGCGAAAAGCGTCAGAAGCACCATTTCATGATAGCGGAGAGGGTGCAGTTACTGTATATGGTGGAAGCACCTCTCGTGAGGGTTGGACATTGCAGGTGGAGGCAACCTAGCAAATGTATAGGCCCGGAGTATGATGGAATGAAGCCAAAATGAGAGCATTTTACAGGAAATCTCAGTGACCGACCCAGTCAACAGGGAATGATGAGTCCCTCCTGAAAGTTGGTATCTTTCTGAACTTCCTGATAGGCCTCCTGTGTCCGGTCGAGCGAGAAGGTGACGAGACAACCACAGGAGTTGATACAGCCTGGGTCAAAACTGGTCATCCCAGATACAGTGCTGTAGCACACCACGGCAGTGAAAATCTGTGACTGAGCTGGCGTGATGGGATAGCAGATCGAGAAGAATGCTCGTGATTTTCTTCTAGATGAGGAGCACCACACTTCTAACTAAGACATCCTCTTGATGGGAGATGGAGGCAGAAAGAGCTTCTGTTGCAGACAGAATAGATGAAACGAGTGGCAAATGCGTAAGTTCTCAATTGAGACGAAAGTTCCGAGCACTGTAGGAGAGCCTTCAAAACTGCCTGAATGAATGAGTCAAACTTGCAAGAAGAATCGATGTAGGGGCACTAGATTCCCGAGTAGCCGAACTTGGAGGATCCCCACACGGAGACTTCTGTACGGAGAGAGTGGATGCAAGAATGGCCACTTCTACAATCTAAATACAGTGAAGGATGTCTATCCTCAGGGGGAGGGGACCGATGACGGTCTTCGTGATGAGATCGTTGTAGAAGGACAACAAACTGGAGATTGACTACAGCCTGCAGCCAAACAATTATCCGAGTAACCCGGCGGGTATGGGTAACCAGGTCAAGGATAATATGAATCCCTATGGAGAAGGTAGCCCTCCAACCCAGACGGGTCATCTGAGTGTGTCATTCTGAGTACAGTCCCAATCTCTGCAATCCAAGTGTTGATGGTGGTAATCAAGACAAGGTGAAGGATCCCTGTAATAAGACGTATCTGTACAGGCATACAAGGGTAATCAAACTGGGGAGTGGTCACCAGAGGCCGACCAGGCACTTGAGTGAGTGAGTGAGTATGGTTTTACGCCGCTTTTAGCAATATTCCTTTAACCACTAGGCTACCTGACCGCCCCACCAGGCACTCGAATCACACGGAGCATTCAAAGAGGCCCGGCAATCTGGAGACTGGAAAACTTGATCACCACCATTTGATCATTGAGCAGGGGAGCAGGAGGATCACCCCCTTCGGCGATTCCAAGTGGCTTTCTTTCCACGATCCTTAGAGGGACATTCAAGAGCATGGAATCAGAGCGGCTAACGAGCAGAGGACATGCCATCGTAGAACGGTCAGACGAACTGACTTCCCCCAAACTGAGTCGAGAACAGAAGCAGGATCGTCCGCCACCATTGACTACATAGTCGTCGAAGAAAAGAACAAGTAGTAGACTGAATGTCTGAAGGGAGAGGAGGCTTAGGCTTTGTCGTGGGGGGTCAAGTTGTGTGAAGACATGGTCAGGCAAGAAACACGCTGAACGTAGCTTGTGCCTCCCCCCTCTCCAAAACCAATATATTTGGGTCCAAGAAAGACAAGGAGTTGGCAGAGATACACAGGTGATCAGGTCATGTAAGGTTGCCATGCAAGGGAGCATGTAATTGACCCAGTTGTTGGTCAATAACCCTAGGGATGCTGGGGTGTGTTCAAATGAATGTTTATGTTTTAGAAGCAGGAAACATAGTTCAAGCACGTTTCCACAAAGGTACGGAGAAGATGAAATAATAGTAAGTTTCCAGTTTACAAAATCTTTCCACAAACAACATGCACATAGTAGCAAAAGCATAAATATAAATTTCCTGTCTTCAAGTCATCTACAACTATCAATCAGTCCTGTTCTCACATGTATCCTAAGTGATCCTACCTGAGTGAGTTCTCTGTGTCGGGTAGTTTGTCACACTCAGGCAGCAGTGTGATGAGTTTGTACCGGTATGCAGCAGGCAGCATGTTGAAAGTGTCATAGTTTAGTAATGCCTGCAAAAAAAGAAGAATTACGATGTAATCAACATTGTCAGGAATGGAAAGTAAAGAAGAACGTCTACTAGCCCAAATAGTGATAATAATTCCCCCCTCCAAATGTTTGAAATTCTACTAACTCTTAGGATATCTTAAATATCAACAAAACTGGTCGGGCTGTCGGGCTAGTCCTAATTTCCATCCTCGTTGTGATAAATGATTACCAGGCTGACAGTAATGTTGTCTCCACACAGGCTAAAATTTCTCAGTCTGAAGCTAATTTCTAACTATGTTTCCACAAGCAACAACAGATGGACCAAGAAGAATTTACCATGTGTGATTATGATGTGAACAAATGTTTTTCATAAGGAAATATTTGTCAACCCATTGTCCACATATATAATTGTGATCAATTACATCCTGATGATAACTGGGCATGCTATACTCAGCAGTCAGCGACTTCAGCTACTAGTTAGAAGTCTGAGTCAAGAAAAATTCTGTTCGGTCTAGTAAACTCGGCTAAGAACAGACTATATGAACGTACTAAAACTTAAACAAAGAGCCAAGTTCAGGCTTCCAGAATTTGCAAAGACTGTCTAAGGAATTTGCCTTTGGTATGCAAATTTGGGATAAATATTTTTGTTCTCTAAAATTGGTACGTTTTTAAAGTTATTATTTTAGGAGGAATTTTAACATTACATTTTAACATTGCATTCCATATATTATTAATAATGTCAAATGAAGGCTTTTCCTCTTTTATGGTCTTGTAATCAGTGGAATACAAGCCATTAGCTGTGGCTATATTTACATTAAATACGACAATTTTAATTCCCAGCCTCTGAGGTCTAGATAAGCCCTGATACATTAATTGTGCCAATACCTTGAGGTTTGTGTTTACAAGGATGGAGTCTGGCGTCATGTCAATGCAGCCCTCCTTTGTCTGGGCTATCTGCGCAGCTATACTCTTCCTCTTGTTGGACCGCTTGCGTGGCTGAAAATTGATTTTAATGTTTTATTAATGGATGCGATTATTTATTCAGTAACATTGGTAAAATCTAATACATTCACTTAAACATATAACAAAATACTTAAAATCTGGAAAGTTTAGTGAACAGGAAAATACTGCGAAAACTAAGAGTAGCACTCATAACAGTTTCGTGACACAGTAATGTTTGCAGCAGGGATCCAGAAACTGGTCTGTGCACCGGACTTGTCCGGTTGTGACTGCAAAATGTCTGATCAGAAAAATTAGCCTTTTTCATAGACTCATTGGCCAAATACCTGCCACATACTGCTACCTGATAAACTAAATGGTGACGTGATTGGATACTGCCAAGCCACTTAGCCAATCAAATTGTTGGGCTTAGCTAAAGCACTGGAAGGGAGCTAACTCTATACCAAGTTGATAACATTCAATATGCAGTCAAGGGTGTGCCAGTGTCAATATAGGCATAATGTCCAAAATATTTACATTTTCACTCTTAATTAGCGTTTGTTTGGAGTAACAGTTATTAAAACAAATATTTAAGGTATTATCAATATTTTTTGCTCAGTGCATGACTTTGATCTATGCTTGTATGGGGAAGTAAAACATCATGATCCACTGATGTATTGTCCCACCACTTCCACATCAGATGACAGGTGACCTCACCAATAGCTATCTATCTCAGATCCCTATTGCAGTACAAGTTACAACTATCAAATAAGCACTTCTTGTTTGAATCCCTTTTCGGGTTTGATAAAACCAACATGCTCAATGCAAGACAACCTTAAAACAGTCCCAAGTCTGTAGCTACATTAATAAGGAAATCATATGCACTTCCAGTTTATGACTGTGACCCTAATATTCAGCCCAAATACATGATCTTACGACTGAAATGATGCAACATGTTTGAGAGTATTAGCCTATGACAAGAAATAGATGTTATAAACAGACACAGTAAATACCCCCAATAAGGGAAATAAGCCCAAGATAAAGGTACCAGTCAACACATGGTAAACATGGGACCAAGATAAAGGTACCAGTCAACACATGGTAAACATGGGACCAAGATAAAGGTACCAGTCAACACATGGTAAACATGGGACCAAGATAAAGGTACCAGTCAACACATGGTAAACATGGGACCAAGATAAAGGTACCAGTCAACACATGGTAAACATGGGACCAAGATAAAGGTACCAGTCAACACATGGTAAACATGGGACCAAGATAAAGGTACCAGTCAACACATGGTAAACATGGGACCCAGATAAAGGTACCAGTCAACACATGGTAAACATGGGACATAGATAAAGGTACCAGTCAACACATGGTAAACATGGGACATAGATAAAGGTACCAGTCAACACATGGTAAACATGGGACCCAGATAAAGGTACCAGTCAACACATGGTAAACATGGGACCCAGATAAAGGTACCAGTCAACACATGGTAAACTTGGGACATAGATAAAGGTACCAGTCAACACATGGTAAACATGGGACATAGATAAAGGTACCAGTCAACACATGGTAAACATGGGACCCAGATAAAGATACCAGTCAACACATGGTAAACATGGGACCCAGATAAAGGTACCAGTCAACACATGGTAAACATGGGACATAGATAAAGGTACCAGTCAACACATGGTAAACATGGGACATAGATAAAGGTACCAGTCAACACATGGTAAACATGGGACATAGATAAAGGTACCAGTCAACACATGGTAAACATGGGACATAGATAAAGGTACCAGTCAACACATGGTAAACATGGGACATAGATAAAGGTACCAGTCAACACATGGTAAACATGGGACCAAGATAAAGGTACCAGTCAACACATGGTAAACATGGGACCAAGATAAAGGTACTAGTCAACACATGGTAAACATGGGACCAAGATAAAGGTACCAGTCAACACATGGTAAACATGGGACCAAGATAAAGGTACCAGTCAACACATGGTAAATATGGGACATAGATAAAGGTACCAGTCAACACATGGTAAACATGGGACATAGATAAAGGTACCAGTCAACACATGGTAAACATGGGAAATGGACAAATGACAGCTGAATCATGGATTTTAACTTCTTTACTTTTTCAATGCACTGTTTTGGCATTGTGTGAAAAAAGTAAGTTAATTTGTCTTCATTCATACTACAGCTACAATGCCACTGAACGATGGAAACTGGACACACTGCCATACCTTCATACTAAACTGAGTGGAGGCCAGAAGATCCCGGAGAGTCTGTGTTTTGTTGGGGGAAGCGTGACCTAGCAGGCCACCAATGGCAGAGGCTGTCTGGTTGTTGTTGACCTTTGTGGGGCCATTCTTCTCTGCCTGTTGACCCTGGCCGGACCTAGTCCCTGTGCCCCCAGTCTGGCTGCTGGATGACGATGCTGCATTGTTTAGTGTAGGTGAGAAGCTCACCTTTGCTGCAAATTACAATATTACATACATCACTGTTCACTCTGACTTTTCTGACATGGAGGCTTTATGTGAAAGTTTCAAATATTCCATACAGCACAATGTTAAAATGCCCCATTGTATTTGAAAATGTGGGCTTTTTTTCAAATTTAGGGGCTAAAAGCACAAGGCACTACCTTGGCATTATCCCAGATACTTATATATTAATTTGTTGCTGTACAGCAGAAAATAAAGTGTTTTATGTTTATCATATTTTGACAACCTTGATATCAGGTTTAACCATGTTAACATACTTATTACTTAAGAAAAAATGAATAAGACAAGAAACTATTCCTGTTTGATATCACGACGGAAACCTTTGTTTTTGTGCATGGTGCGCACATAACTGGGGTACCACCTAAAATGAAAACTAAACTGATGCTATTATACTGTGTAATGATTATCAGTGTTCAAAATTAAGCCTTAGACTTTGGGGGTGCCTAGAAAGATACTTAAGCAGAAATCCTAAAGACTCTTGGAGCCTCCTCCAACCAATTCTATCTAGGACACTAAGAGAAGCGATAGAAGTTAGCACTTGTCCTATAGTCCTTGCTAAACTGCCCAGTCGTTAAGGTACCATAAGGACGAGTAGAAATTTGCCACTTTGAAGTGTTTTGCTATGTTATCATTGAGAACTTGTGGACTAAAAATGTTAGTTTCTGTTGCAGCTGACATTCATCAAAGGTCAAATAAACCTTTCAATGTAATACTTCCCCATTGGGTGAACATGGTTGTGGTGAGTGAATGAGTGATTATTGTTTAACACTTGATCAGCAAATCATGCAGCTATCCATAGCTGGTTGAAAGACGTGTAAATGTAGTCAGCAGAAAGAGTGAGTGAGTGAGTGAGTGAGTGAGTGAGTGAGTGAGTGAGTGAGTGAGTGAGTGAGTGAGTGAGTGAGTATGGTTTTACGCCACTTTTAACAATATTCCAGCAATATCACGGCGGGGGACACCTGAAATGGGCTTCACACATTGTACCCATGTCGGGAATCGAACCCGGGTCGTGGTCGTGACGAGCGAACAATTAACCACTAGGCCACCCGGCCACCCCTCAGCAGAAAGAGACAGTCAGCACCTTAAATTAGGGCAAGTTGATTATCGGAAACACGTCACTTTTCTTAGGCATCATCTTTAGATCCCGATTTTTGTCTTACCTTTTTTTGTGCGAAGAGACTGCCTGATGCTCCTGCCTCCGGCTCCCACCGTGACACTTGATCCGCTTCCTGAAGTGCTGGGCTCCATTGTAGTCCATGACAAGTCTGCACGGCTCCCTTGTAACCTTGACAACTCAGGTCATACTCACGTCTGGAAAACAAAGTTAGGATATAAGAATAAAAGTCAAGGTGAAGTCATAACTGTAATGATAAAATTGTAACTTCTAGGGGTCGGGATGGGATGGAGAGATGCACATACTTTTGTTTCCTCAAAAATATCATTTTCCCTAAAACCCCTAAAAATGCTTCATAATCTTTTTCAGAATGTGTCCAGCATAGGACCAGCAATACCTAATAAAACTTATAACATATTACAGACATCTGACTACAAATATAGAATGCAGCACATTGATCATGATCTGGAAAAAAATGTTATTCCTAGCAGGATAAAATCAACATAGAAACTGTTTCCATAGGCGTCCTTTACAGATAAATATGCAAATATAAAATGTCAGGTAATATTTTAGTGTTCATAAGAAAACCCGTCATTGTCCTTGTCGTTTGATCAAAATAATAGTCTTAAGATACCAAAAATCTAAATCTAAAATGGGCGAAGTGAGGCCTTTCACAAGTGTAGACAACTCTGAGGTAATACATTGAGAAGAAATTTAGCAATTTCAGTCGGGATATCAGTTCCCATACATGTGCTTTACCTATGTGGCATGGAGTCTCCTCCTAAAATAAAAACAGTTGGATATGGCTTCCCTTTGACAAAGGGCAATTACTCTAGCCGACAGACCAACAGATTGCCAAAAATCACTGACAAAGTTGAAAAATTGTAGACAATTGTAGACAATTGTCTTTAAGCCCTTATGGTAGCTACATCACTGTCAAAATTTCATGTGAAATGACTGTTGTCACTGTCTGACTGATTATTCATTGACATTGTAACATAAGATTTCGATGCATACATTCCAGGACAACTTGCAATGTTTAGATACCATTTGTGAGAGAAGTTTATAGATAAAATGGTTATCACGCTTGTGTGTTTAGGAATAATAAATATCCAAGGCTCGCTAAATACAATGTTTGTTCCTAATGCAGGATACTTACCATCCCAAAACACACAAGCACACAACTTCTCTCTCTATATATATGCTAAGGCTAAAATCTCGTGAAAGATGCTGAAAGCAATTTCAGACTGGTACTAGGCACAAAAGCCTTTGGCACAGACTACAAACATATGCAAGTCAACCACACCTTCGAATTTACTTTCCGTCTTCCTCTTAGTCTTAAATTGCTCAGTTCAAATAGGAGCATAAATATTCATGTCAGTCATGCCTGGATAATCAGATTAAAATATCATCCTGTTGAATCAACTTGAATGTGAGGTGTTTACAGCCAGCATCAGCCACAAATATTTAGCAGCCACTTGCAGTGTAAGACATAAGCATCTAAGCTACAGCAAATTGTGCATGTTCTGAGGAATACAGTTTTAAAAAATAGTGTTGTGTGAGTGTGTCCTCTTCTGGAGATCCTCTTGAACACTTAACTTCATGGTTATGACAAGGACACCTTGAACTTTCATATTTAATTCACAATACTGGAAATACATGCTGAGGTGTATCTGTGTATCGCTTGGGATTTGAGATGATACTAGGGATGCAAACTGGCACTAAGCCACTTCCTGTGTCAGTTTGTCTAATGTTAAAGGTATCCTGAAAGGCTAGTACAATTTCAGCCTTTTTAGGCATTTTTCTTGTGTTGTTATCACTACCGGGGCTAGTAAGTGTTCCAAGTAAAGATAAGTTTCTGCTATTCGATTCTGATAAAGGAGCATTGACCATGTTGAATGAATACATATGTAGCACTGTTAAGCAATGCTATCTGTTTCTGGAGTTGAAACTGATCTTAATCAAGCATAATCCATCAAAAATCAATTATCATCAGAAAGAAGAAAAACAAGCTGGCTTGCAAAGGGTAATTCATTTCACACCAACATGACCAAGGGAATAATGCTGAAGTAAAAAGGGCTGGCCTACAATGACGGGCAGTTACTAATCAAGCTGAACCAGAGCATAACTGCATGACCACCGATCATAGTTAGATCATAATGACACACAATACCAGTGTTCCCCCTGGCTTTTGAAACTGCCAGTCCTTGTGGACTGGCATCTCTAAAAATTACCAGTCCTCCCTAATTTTTTCCAGTCCCAACTTTCAACAAATAAAAAAACGCATGAAAATTATTTGGTTTTAATTCTTAACATCATGTTCAATGCAAAGATGTCATCTCTGAAGTAACTTAGTTAGATCTATACGCCATCCACATAAACTTCAGTCACAATTTTCTCTTCTTTTTTTTATATATTTCAAGACAAGTCACTACAAATGGATATTTAACCTAGAAATAGACACGGGGAAACCCTGATGGTAACAGACAAGCCGACTTGAATATCAACGATGTTTTGTTCAACAACAAAGATTTATAAAGGTACTTTATTTGCCGGTCCACAGGGACTGGCAGTCACATGAATTATCAGTCCAAGCCTAATTTTGTCTAATGTAACTAATTGTAAGCACCCCTATCTACCTTAGACACCTCTTATTACAAGCATAGGACGCTTGGAGCTATTCTACCCTAAAATCCCCACTGTGGTGCACAGACAGTAGGTTAGGCTTAACACTGATGTGAACAGACATGGTTATATCACAGTGTGTCAGCATGGAAGTGAAACCTGAAGTAATCAGTGGATCATGGCAAGGACACGGGAAACAAATCCGCTGCATAGTGAACAGGGACATCTGTAATCATGTTTCAACTTCAGATTCTTCGTATACTAAGCTTAAAATAGTTAAAACAGTGACATATCAGTGAAATATTGATACTTCATCACAGTGTAATTATCATAATTATTCATCAAATTATAAATAACTAAAATTACCAGAGGAAACAAGATGACATTCAAAACATCTTTTCTAAGACATCCAATCTCATTAACCAAATCAGATCTTTTATGCTGATACGATATATCCCTCTGCAGGATTGGTTGGTTTGTTGTTTTATGCCGCACTCAGCAATATTCCAGCTATATGACGGCGGTTTGTAAATAATCAAGTCTGGACCAGACAATCCAGTGATTGATATCATGAGCATCAATCCACACATTTGGGATCGATGACATGCATCAACCAAGTCAGCGAGCCTGACAACCCGATCCCATTAGTTGCCTCTTACGACAAGCATAGTCGCCTTTTGCGGCAGGCATGGGTTGCTGAAGACCTATTCTACCCGGATCTTCACAGGTCCCCTCTGCACGAAGATCTGAGGACATCTCAATAGGTCGTGCTAGGCATGTTAGGTGAACTATCCAATAAGCATGATCAGCCAATGATCACCCAACACTATGATATTGTTGTGGATAGTGCATACATCCTGAAGTTTCAAAGCTCCATGGCATCTACAACCAAAAGGGAATACTATCAAGGGCATATTTGCGTTAAATAGGTTTTTTTATAGCTAAGATTGAAATTTACAAATCAAGGTGGTTAAGAAATATAGTCGAATCATTTCAGAAAGCTAACATCTGATTAATTCAAGATCCCAATCATCCTTCATTTAGACTTGAGGGGGGCACAGTTCACCCAGGATTCACCAGGTGCTTCTCTAATGAATGTGTCCTTTCGGGATGTCACGATACGACTATCCCCCAAAATGATATGAATCTCTTTACTTAATCCACTGTAAATAAGCGTGAATTTTTATATTTTACAGAGCACAAACACTGTAAAAAATAGACTTGAAACTTCCTGAATATCTGGTCTGGTATTTGAAAATAAAAATGTCTCATTTCAATTGATACAGTAATTTTCAGAAAAAAACGAGTGTCAACACCAGTTAGAAAAAGACAAGAACAGATTTTAAGTCTTAAAACTATGTACTTTGCACAATGTATATACAGTATAAGTTAATAAAGATAAAATTGATTATTAAAATGTAGGTAGGATCCATTCCTTTGCGGTTATAAATGTTCCATGTGTGAAATGATAAGGGATTAAATTATGAATCAAAACAGGATTAAAATATGAATTGATACAGGTAACACTGGGTAAACATGTACCACATAACGTATCATCCGAGAATAGTATTGATGCATCGCTATATCGGTGAATCAGGACATCCCTTGTGTTCCTGGATGTTTACACAGAGAGGTATTATTTCTGTTGTCTCAAACTGTATCAAAGTAAAAGATCTGATATTAATGAGATTGTCATGATTGTAACTTATAAATGTAAGGCATCTGACAGCATTGCTGCTATCATCTTGGCAATTACATTGTTCATATAGCAGCACATTTATCACTGTTTATTCTGTACCAAATCACACCTCCTGTAACTCCAAATTTGGGAAATATAACAACCTTGTTTCTAGTGGTTGGACGATACATTGGTGCATTGGCAGATCGCGTTTTACTTCTTCTCGATACAAATTCACAAAGCATAGCCACAACTGTGATGTAGACAAGTTTGGTTTCATGATGAGTCACGTTTTATGCATTGCAGATGATAGAAGTTGTGCTTACAGGCATCACAGCGATCGTTATGCACGAAACTTCATGCAGGAAGTGGAGAGATTTGGTGGTGGTAGTGTGATGATGTGGGCAGCCATCTCCTACACTGGTAAAACAGACTTGGTGGGGAATTTAACGGAACAATGTTACACAGCCCTCCAGATCTCTAGATTAAAACCCAATCCAACATTTATGGGATGCACTGGATCAACGACTGTGAGCATGTCAGCAACAACCACAGAGCTTCCGACAGTTGGTACAAGCACTGCAGGCAGCGTGGATAAACATTATCCAGGCCATATTCAGGATCTGACTGCTCCCATGAGACAACGATGCCAGTCTCTTTTGGATTCTAATGGTGGCAATACAATCCATTGAGAATAGATGACCTTCACCTTGAAAATCTAATGGTCCATGCATGCCATATGGAACATGGGTCAATGACAATGATGTGTGCTAATTTTGAACAATCGATTACCATCTGTTGATTATCTATATCATCTCCAAAATATACATCTAATATCACTTTCGCGTTTCGTTTCGAGTATATATGGGTTGGTCTTATTTTTCAAGTTTCCTTTCCTTAGGTGTTTTGTGAAAAAACTTTAACATTATTTGAACAATGTAATCATTCTAACAGATCCTAAACACAGTTAAACATGCTACATGGAACATGTTTTGTTTCAAAACACCAGTGGAACAAATAAACATTAGGACCACTCAATATCCTCATTGCACACATGGCATCTGATTGAATTTATAATTAGGGTGGTGTGATTCACCTATGTACCAATACATTGTGTACTTACGCCTGATGATAAGATAACATATGCCTACCAATGTTTTAATTCATGTTCTAATTCTGAATTGAGTAACCGGGCCTGACAACAATTTCGGCTAGTGTTTTCTTACCGCCTGTCACATAAGACAATATTGAATCATAATTCCAGAGCTACCATTAGAACTAGTCTGAATTTACCAGCCATACAAATTACCCGGTTAAGAGAAACTGATTGAAACTTGTCAGTCGGGCCACAAGGAAAAAAATCAAGCAAAACAAGCATCACAATTCATATTGTATCATGACACAAGAATACTACACTGATACGCATAACTGACACCTCTCCCAAATGACAATTAGACCTGGTTACGATATACTGGTCAGGACACCAAATTCTATTTTCTTGTATTTTTGACAGCATTGAATCACAACACAATCGTGACAATACAGACATGTGATTCTGAAACTCAGTTGATAATCTTATCCCTTAGTTTTTTCGCAGATCGACCATGTTGACATTTGCTTGTATCATGTGCATGAAGAAATTTTATTTTTGTGGTTTAGTTTCAAATTCGTAACAAATACGACTAACTCTGGTTAGTTAGCAGCTATGGGCATAATGATGGTAATGACGAGTGAGGTATGTGTATCACGACCACCTTATGATTTGTTATTATGACTAGACAATGCTAAACATGCATGTTCCTCAAGTTTTTGAACTTTCCAAAGGTCACAGACACCTGCTTATTTAATTTACTTTGACAGCGAAACAATACGCTCAATTGATTCATTTTTTGTGTGGATACCTATATGATACCATTTAATGTCCAGAACAAAGGTTTCAGTTATATGCAACTTTTATGAAAAGCTCAGAACTTATCAACATGATCAATCAACCCTTGTACATAATCATGATAATGAGGAGAGTTGTAAAATCTAGTATGAGGGGCAAGTTGTTTATTGGCTTCCCATGCAAAAAATGTAACACTAAAGTAAAATTAATACATTCTTTTGTAATTTATACCATGTCATACTACATACTAAGAAACATAATATCTGTACATCTGGACATTGAAATGCCAGCTGTCATCCATGTCACCTGGTCATTTGATAATATATTCTGCATGAAACATGAAATAAAATAGAGTATGAAGGGTAGACATGGTAGAGGTGATATACATTGTACGCTACTTAGGCATGTCAACTGGTATTATTGTTAATCCTCATTTATTTCACTTGCTCCAATTTGCACATTGTTTGAAGCACTATGACTAAAAGCCATCACCATGTAAACATTCTAGCTGCAAAAGTGTGAAAAACATGCATCATCTAGATAGCTACACGCAGCAACAGCACCATCAACAGTGACAAAGTGGTTAACTTCTATGTAGGATATTAATATCAATGAGTATGATATTCATGAAAAGCCCAGACAAAACAAATTTCATCTGGAGCTGGCAAAGTCACAAACCTACGGTATGTTTTGGCAATAATTTAAGACTAAAAATCTTTTCGAGTTGACAAATGTTTAGTTGGAAAACGCAATCAAAATGCAAAATGAAATGCACATCAGCTGCAGAATGCTATCGGGTATTGATCAGGTGAACCGTTGTTTAATCATTTCTGAAGACGCATTTCGATCGATATGCCGACAAAGACAAAATATAATACGTAACGGCAAATTGCGGCATTTTTTCTGCCACTTAGAAAGTTTTAATACAGCGATTCTTGATAATATTGGCGGAAACTGTTGCATGAAAAACGTTGCAATTTGGGCCTTGCGTGTGTGTAAATAAATGCAAAAATCCGGCTATAAAACTCACAGTTGTGGCAATCAGAGAGTTAATCTTGTTTCTTTGAAAACTATTTTTTCAGTATTTATCCGTTATAGCTGGAAATGCTTGATAGATTCCACAATACAGGACAAAACTTTGTTGTTTATCTGCTTAGAAGTTGTGTGATCGCCGCCATTTTCCTAGGTCAAACAATCGCTTGCATTCGTTAAAACCCGGCTATCTCCGTTTCTTTTTTTCTTCTCGGTATTTTCCGGACATTATACTCGTGAGGTTACGGACGTATCCGGTAAATTCCGCCCGTAGTGACAAACTGGGCGTCAAAATGGCGGCCGAGGAGGTAAAAATATCAACATTGTGTGTTTATAGTTGATCGTAGAAACATAATCTTATCTGTTGCATTTTTTTAAAGAGTTCATGTGTTTTAATTGAAAGCTTTTAATTGTGTGATGTGTTTTAATTTACAAACACTGTTCTATCCCGAAATGTTCACAGCGATGTTTTGAAGTTACAGGCCTAATCCATGTTCACATGTAGTTTCGTGTCAATGTCGTGAAACATTACATACTTGGTGTATATCCTAGAGACTAGGGACAAGTTTACTGGTTTCGTTACGAGTTCTCTGTATATTGACTGATTGTCATCCAAGCTGTCCTGAAGATATTTTCTAATTTGGTAATGATATGGAAGTATGTATTTTAATAAAATATATTATAAAGTTTCATTAGTTTTGATGATTGAAAATAACATGTTTTTAACTTATGAAAGCTTCCATTACAATGACTTGTGTCGGGTGCAAGACCCCCAAATCCCCAGTTAAACTTAGAAACTGATACTATGGAAGGAGCTCCCATACACCCCTTGACAAAATTATGCTGAAGGTTTCGTTACCCCAAGTACGTTTCAGTATACAGAAATGTACCCTAGTCGAAGTCAGAATACAGAAATAGTACCTGGTACACTAAACAGAGGACAAGTAAATTATTCCTCAACCCGAAACCAAAACTGGTTCATGTTGTAGTTCCGGTTCAACTGATTTCCAGTGAATTGGGATCCAGAAACTGAAGAAAATCTTCTATGTTCAAAGTAAAGGAACTGTTTTAGCACACTACGCAATGCGGAATGGATTCATTGTTGGGTACCATTCTGTATTCTGATATTGGCTAAGGTACATTTCTGTATGCCTCTGGTGTCATGGTCGACACACTTATTTGCTATTACAGTAATTCCACTGCATGGTAAATTAACTCAATTATTTTATTCTGTGTGTAATTGTGTGTAGTATTACCTTATTTCAACCCTGATTTTGAGATACTCACCTTCGTTACACTTGCTCAACTCTGTTACACAATGATTTGTAACAGAATTGAATTTTTAATATCTGTTTTACCACATGGTACATAGAATGGAAAAAGATCCTAACTTGTCCATGAACTTTTATTTGTGATTATAAGCATCAGTATTTTGAAAAAACAAAAATAAATTGGTGCTGTACTTTCTTTAGTACATAGGTAACAGTGTTGACTAAGAACAAACATTTACTTCCGACCATTGACATCAAGATTGATCTGGATGTTTCCCTTAAAAAGGTCATTCCAGCCCTTGATTATGGTTGAAAAGTCTTGGCACTTCATCTTTGGAAGGGGCGGTCAGGTAGCCTATTGGTTAACGCGTTAGCTTATCACGCCGAAGACCCGGGTTCGATTCCCGACATGGGTACAATGCGTGAAGCCCATTTCTGGTGTCCCCCGTCGTGATATCGCTGGAATATTGCTAAAAGCGGCGTAAAACCATACTCACTCACTCACTCATCTTTGGAAGAAAGTTGACACATTACTCACTTTTGACCAGGTTGAATCAAAACAAACAAATCTTGTAATGGAGTTGATTATGTCATTGGGACAACATGAATCTGCTATTTTTTCATCTATTTTATTCTTCTGATGTTTTAACCAAATGCTTTTATAATGGCTGATGAGTATTATTTTGTTCAAATGTAGTTTAAAACACCTTATCTTAAAACAAGACTTTCAGCATGTTCAGAGATAATGTTATGCGACAGCTGATTTTCACATTTATTAAAGTTTAAATTACCTAAACAGAAGGTAGAACTTGAATCAAACTAAAAGAAATATGACAAATATGCTCTTCCAGGTACAATTAAGTCCACAAAATCTGATGTTATTTATTACTCTAAGACCAAGTTTCATAACTGAAAAGTAGGGACAGACATATTGATATTAATAATTTTGGGATCACATTGAGATTTTCACCCATCTGTGCTAACAGTGACCACTTCAGCCAACATTATTATTATATAACACATTTTTATAACGCACTTTTCCAGGTACTAGTATCTGCTCAAATGCGCTTTATTTGTTCCCCGACAAGCATCTTCCAGAGGCAAGGGAGTTAACTGACTTTAAAAAGTCCAGTTTCCACCCTTGCCGAACTAGGCTGGAATTCCTGGGCTCGATTGTAGCGCCACCAGTGGCTATTACGAGCTATGTCCCTTCTATGCCTCTCCTAAGGACCAATCAGATTCAACCTCTCGCATCACTTGCATTTGTTTCAAACAAAACGGTGGCGCCCTGTCAAGACGATCTGATCGATAATCAAGATCTATATTGTGATAAAACGAGTCTTACATCGCGAAGTGCATCAAGTCATGTGAGCACCTTGATTAAAAACATGAAAAGATTTAGAAATTATCTGTTGACAACGAGCTAGCGGTGCACAGGCTTTGCAAATCCTGCAGTTGACCGAAATCTACATGACACTTTACAAACCGGATTTCGATTTCGGTGCACGATTTTGATTGGACTATGCATAGACTCGTTAGTCCAGCCAAAATCTAACTTCATAATACCAGCCTAGTTCGGCAAGGGTGGAAACTGGACTTTTATAGTCAGTTAACTCACTTGCCCCGGGAAGATGCCCGACAAGAGGATCTGTATGCATTTCATTTATCATTCTTAACTCCCTGAGGAGTATACAACCCATGCTGCCTATGGGCGCTAGAGGGATTTTACATCTACCTCACACATCGGGCAGGCCATACCCATTCCTTTCTGGGTGAACAGAGGCAGATTTGAACAGTCACTTGCCCAGGGGACACCACATGTTTTGACACTTATGTATGTATGTATTCGTGTTTCCACCATCTGGTCATTTACCATCAGACGAGTGGGTTCTTTCGAGTGCATACGGTGGATGTACTATACACAAGGGGTAGAGACCACACTAAATAACAATCAGGCTTATAAGTGGGATGTGATCGCAGTACCTGCAGCTTGCTAGCCTTGCGCTATGACCGCTACCCACTATGCCCCCGATATTGAAGAGACAAGGAAGGCTCAGGTATACTGCAGCCTAGCCATGGGTTTTGCTATGGTTGTGTTAGGAAAAAGATGGTCCTGTTTCAAAGTTAGAACTGGTCTGAGCGAGCTATGTTTGTCGTAAGATTGTCATAGCAACTATAGATTGGATGGTCAGGCTCAGTGTGGATTGGTTTTTTTCTGGTCCAGACTCGATTATTGACAGGCCACCATCAAAGAGCTCGAATATTGCTGAGTGAGGCATTAAACAACACCTAAAGCAGTTCACTGCAGATGATTCCCATTTAAGCAGCACTTTTCCTTATCTGTCTCAGCCTTGGCAGCCCAAGTAGTTCCATTTTGCTTTTATGGTGCAGCCTCAGTGAAACTACATAGAACAAAGACCGGTTGTTATGTCTACACTTGCAAACAAAGTCACGATTAGCTGGATTGCACATAGCAACCAAGGGAACTTTAATATATATAATTAATGCAGAAGTGAATTCTAATTTTGGATAACTGACAAGACTATCTTCACTTAAATGGATGTGGTATATATTTTTGAAATGTTTTTAACCCAGTGTGTATTGCTGTCACAGTATCAGTGATATTTTCAATTTTCAGTAATACTGAAGTCTACAGCAGATTGAGTTTTGAAAGACATGGCTGGTATACACTGGGAATTCTAGCCTGAACCCAATCTCATTAAAATCAGATCTTAGTTCTCGCTACCGCTTAACAAAGATCTGAGGACATCCTATACCGGGTCAGGTCTGACCGACCTTGCGCGAACTTTGACCGACCGATAGAAGGACTGACAAGAAGTCGACATTAGCCAATCAGAAGGCATCTTTCTCATGCTTTACGACACTAATTTCAAATTGGCAACTACGCTTCGAAACATATTTTGACAAATTCTGGATTACAAATTTGAAACCTGAACAAAAGAACATTCTGGAATGGCTAATAGATGGTCTACATTGTAAGGATTCAGTCGTTAAACCCATAACTATCGTTCAGAATATCCCGTGTTAAGTTTTCGAGGTTGCATTATCAGAATTCACATTCCGACTGTCACTTTCATGATCTGGTAAGCAACGCTTTGATTGGTTGGATGAAAGGTTGTTCTGACGTGACCCCAAATGGGATGTCCTCAGATCTTTGGTGGTAGCGAGAACTAAGATCTGATTTTAATGAGATTGAGCCTGAACCCATTTTTGAAGCAAATTGACCCCCAAATCAAACTACAGGGAAAAGTTCAACACATCTTTAAAAAGAAGGCTTTTGATGCCAAAGAAGTATAGTTTGACAGTTTATTGTTAGGGGTCAAGTGAATATTTTTTAGACTGTAACCCTCCTACAATTTATGTGAAAACCATTGCATGAATGTTACATGTACTGTTTTGTACCCCATCATTCCAGCAGAGTCCTTTAATCTGGAAACTCTGTCATTAGGGATGTTGATAAAGAGTCAGTACTACTTAGTACTTGGCAGTACTTGATAATACCTTAAAGATGAGTCCAACTCAAGTCCAGGATGATTTGGCAAGTCTAGATTGCAAGTCTAGATTGCCTAAACTCTGACATGTTGCGTTGTTCTGGCCTCTAATTGGATTTTATTTTGTATTTTGTAGATATATATTTTAAAATATAACTTTTACTCTTGGACCAAATATTAGTCTCACTTACCACCAACATCTATATGAATGATTTCACTGTCCAGATTGTCAGGGTTTCACTAAAGTAACCAAATCGCTTCATCCTTGGTAGCAACCCATGCTTCCCATAAAAGGCAACCATGTTTATCATAAGAGGCGGCTGACGGGATCGGGTGGTCAGACTCTCTGACTTGGTTGATGCATGTCATTGTATCTCACCTAAGGGCAGTCAGTTAAAAGCATTCGCTCATCACGCCGAAGACCCGGGTTCAATTCCCGACATGGGTACAATGTGTGAAGCCCATTTCTTGTGTCCCCCGCCGTGATATTGCTGAAATATTGCTAAAAGCGGCGTAAAACCATACTCACTCACTCACTCGTATCTCAATTGCGTGGATCGATGCTCATGATGTCAATCACTGGATTGTCTGGTCCAGACTTGATTATTTACAGACCACTGTCATATAGCTGTAATATTGCTGAGTGCGGCATAAAACAACAAACAAACATCCTTTCTGGTCATCACAAGACAATTCCACTCTCATTTTCAGATCTCTGGTCAATGTAACATCACGTCAATGTAACAAAGTTTCCATGATGTCAACAACAAAAGTAGTTCGGTTGGAGGAGGTGAGCTACGCGGAGGGCAGCTTCTCCTCCCCAAGCAAGGCAGGAATTCTGAAGAATGAGGAATCTCCTTCAGATGGCCTGCTTGACAAAGGTGAGTTTTTAAAGCTGGTATATATGAAGTGTAGAGCTCTTGCATGAAGACAAGAGCATTTGTAGAGGGTAGTGTTTTGAACCACTTTAAAACCTGGAGCAATCATATAAAATATTATGGCAACAAAAGAAAGGCAAGATTTATGATTTGTACCTATTTCACATACTTTCATTGTCAAACCAAGATCTAAAGAAATACTGATCACGTATTAACTGACTTGACATTATCACATATATACCTCATGGTAAGTCAATCTAATTAAAGTCAATACAATAAATCTTTTACTTCAATACAATGCCACTCTGTGTAAAGATCTGAAAACACTCCATGGGTAGTCATGCCATGTGAAGCTTCTACTGTTTTTCAGCCAATCAGCATCAATGATTCTAAGTTCTTGGTACTAGTGAGTGAATCAATGATACAAATATGTTTTAGCATGAATTTATTGCACATTAATGACAGTACTACAAGTCGCTTTGTCTCCATGTTTCAAATGGATTGAAGTTTGAACGTATACCAAAAAAGCCCATTTTCTGTACGGACTGAATGGGTAGGGTTTTATGCCCCTTTTAGCAATATTCCAGCAATATCACGGCTGGGGACACCAGTGGCAGTAACAGGCTTCACACATAGTACCCATGTGTGCCTTTGGAGTAATGAGCAAACGCTTTAACCACTAGGCTTCCCTACCGCCCCTTCTAAACTGAGTAATTTTCTCCTCAGATGTTGATGGCAGTCAAGAAAAGGAGGAGACAGAAGAAGCTAAAGGTAGCAAAAAGTGTTTCAGTTTTTCACATTGACCCTTGCCTTGCCCCTTGATGCTGCAGCATGTAATCTGCTGGTCAAATATCAACATGTGTTCTCCTGATGACCCTTTCATTGAGTGTTGAGCATGTTCAATATGTGTTGAATGACACTCAAATGTATGCCACAGCGTACCTGACAGGTTTTAACCAGGTAATGCACTTCCAGACGACAACATGAATCCTTCATGACGAGAATCCTTTTGTATTTGTTATAACAAAGATCGCTCAACATGACAAACTCTCGGAAATTATGTCCTGATGTCAAGTCTATGTACTATGATGTGGTGGTAGAGTTACATGAATTATTTTGTAATTGCTCTAATCACTGTGGCAATTATCCAATAATTGACTGATGACAGACACTAGTTTCATTCTTGCTAATTTATTGTGTAGAAAGATTTAACACATTGTGACCAATCCCCTGTGGGGATTCTGGGTTAAAATAGGACCCCGCCAGCCTGTCTTGTCATATGAGATACAAGATGGATTGACCCAAACATTACTATGTTGTGATTATACAGTAATAGAACAGAAAATTTTCACAGTTCATAATCTGATCATGTCCACTAAAAACTTTAAAAACTGAGGATGTGTAGAGGTTGCTGTGATGAGGGTAGATCTTGTATGTTTTGTCTCAAAAAAAAATTAACATATGTTGTCATGCAGGGAAGGTTTCCACAGTTATTGAGTTATTACAGTACCTCAGAAGAAAGTTTTGTGAAACTTTTCCTATCTCACACTATACATTTCTCCTTCTTCGATCCTGGTGTGGAAACGACCTAGAAGAAAGTTTCCAGCCTTAAAGAAACACCTCACCCCAACACATCCCATTCATCACCATAGTCACCACTGTAAACCATGGGTCACCACTGCAACTCACATCTCTTCGTCGACGCCTCCCTGTTGGTCGAGGAGCACACGTTCAGGACAGGCAGACAGTAGGGCGTTGGTCAGAAGACGACCGAAAGTTGCACATAAACAATCTGGAGTTCAGAGCGATGATTCCTGCCATCAACCATCGGGCGGATTTTCTACGATCCTCTCAAGTCATGATCCAATCAGACAATGCACCAGTGGTCTGGTACATCAACAAGATGGGATCGACCAAGTCAGCATCACTTCTCAGAACAACAATGCAGTTCCTCGACCTAGTTTACTCACTTCACATCCAGGTTTGAACCAGACACATTCCGGGAATCCAGAATGTGATAGCAGATGCCTTATCCTGCCCAGATCATCAGTCCCTGACAGAGTGGCAACTACATCGCAAGTTTTTCGTTGGATTTGCTGCCTTCATCGAACTCCAACCTCAACCTCTTCGCAACCCGTTTCAACAAACAGTTGCCATAGTTCATATCCCCAATACCAGACCAGCAGGCAATGCTCTAGCTGTCTCATGGGAAGGACTCAGACTGAAGGTACCATCATCTTCCTCTATGACCAGACCTAGTACTCCCACTTCACTCAAACCAGTTACACCCATCACCGGACACACTTCATCTTTGTTTTTGGCACATCTCCAGAAATCTCTTATAAGTAGCCAAGGGTTATTCTCTTAAAGTGGTGCGGACTATCACTGATGCGCATCACACTTCTACTAAAGCTCTGTACGATCATATATGGAAGGCTTGAGATCACCTCTCCGACCACGACATCACCTGAACAAATGGCTGAATACCTTCAACACAGTACTTCAGCGCAGTACCAGGAAGCTGAAGGGTTATGCTTTAGCTATCTGTATGGCTGCTATTAATTCCATCATTGCCACAACCAAGGCCCATGGTCTCCACTGTTGCTGAGCTACATTCATTGATTTGCTTCACCCGGCTTGTGGATCAGTTCTCTCGTGTTGGCCTAGCAACTGACAGCAGCCGGTCACCGAGATGAAGATGCCAGCATGCTACAGTCTCACATCTCGTATCCTGTAGATACAGCAATAAATACTTAGAGCTACTTTATTGTTTATTATTATTCCATTGGGCCATTTTATACACTCATCTGTAGAGACTTAGTCTGCGTCTTAGAAGTCACTTTCCAGTGCAGCCATTTGCTTAAAAGGTATCCAAATCTTCCACCTGCTCACCTCTGTCTTTGTGAGCATGATGTCTCAGTAGTTGATTGTAGACCGGTATTGGTATTGTCAGACATTTCCTCTTCATTCTAAACGTACTCAATCTCTGCGGTTGTGGTTGATAGCTTTGACAAAGCGTCCAAAGAGATGCAAAGCTGGGCCGCCTAATGTCCAATATATTGGATCGTATGTGTGAAGTCTGTCTTGTAGAACCTACTAGCCGAAAAGGGGGTGTTTGTAACAGAACACTCCCTCTTCGACGGGCTGAGTTGTGTGCAAAATCACGAAACACATGATTTATCTGAGGTCATGCTGTATCTGTCTTAGTATTTGTTAGTTGTTTAACGCCGCACTCAGCAATATTCCAGCTACCATATTTTCTTGAGTATAGTGCGCACCCATGTATAATGCGCACCCCCCTCTAGCGGGTTCAATATTTTGGAAAAAAAGAACTTTGAATATTATGCGCAGAAAATATTCCATTATTTTCTTAATTATATGCAACCTTTACTAAATATATTTAAAATAATAATAACCCTAAGCGAAGCAGCTGATCGCTATTCCCGGGTATTATTTTTTACATGGAACATGTCTGACCAGTCACCGTCAAGGCTCACGTGCACGTGATCACGTGATCGCGAGAATTTCATGTTGACATAGAATCGTCAAACAAAAACAAATATGACTTTTAACGAGTCAAAGTATGTCATTTATGATATATGTATCCATTCTCTGTCAACTAAAGTTTGTTTCAAGGCGTCAATAGCGGTATTCTGACCGTGGTTGCTGTTAATAACGGTGAGTTGTGCGATCTTCCGATCGCTTCACACACGATTTCGCCGAAATTAATAAAAACAATATTATAAGGAATTTTGAATAAAATCAATGAAATAAGTTACAAACATAAGTCCAGATATACAAAGAACACTTTTTATAGCCAGACAGTGTAATTACATAAGTATTTTGCGTACTTCAGTATGGATTTGTTGACATGGTATTTCCGGTGTTACGTGCTCACGGTAATGTCTTTCCATGGGGGGAAAAAACATCCAAACTCATAATTCGTGTATAATGCGCACCCCCTTCTACACAACTGTGTTTTTTCGAAAAAAAGTGCGCACTATACTCAAGAAAATACGGTATACAACGGCGGTTTGTAAATAATCAATTCTAGACCAGACAATCCAGTGATTTACATCATGAACATTGATCCACGAAATTTGTCTTAGTAGCAAAAAGAGGGTTTTCAGAAGCAACCCTTACACAGGTTCCTATTCAACACTAAGCTTTCTGACAATCATTGGATTTAATCATTGTTTAGTATCAGCTTCCTTGTGTATGTCTCATGGTTGAGGTCCTATTACAGGTTAGGGTATCTGCACCCCACCATCCAACCATGGGATAAATGCATATTGTAAGATAGGATAAGTTTTAAGAATTTGAAATTTTACAATAAATTGTATATTTATATACTTCTTCCTTCTCACACGCTAAACGCCCACCCAACCACCCCTACATCACAGTTACACCACTCGGTATGCTCTAGAAAGAGAATGAGGGTGCAGGGAATGTCAGGTGATCAGGTCGCAAGGGGTCACATCTCACAGGATCGCAGTGGTGTGTGACCCATGGTTTACAGTGGTGACTATGGTGATGTATGGGATGTGTTTGGGTGAGATGGGTTTTTTTAAGCTGGAAACTTTGTTCTAGGATGTTTCCACACTAGGATTAAAGAAGAAGGGGAAATGCATAGTGTGAGATGGGATAAATATATAAATATATAATTTAATGTAAAATTTTCAAAACCCTTTCCAAGTTCGATCATCCATGTAGTTATGGAGACGTGAAACAGTTTATAGATAAAAACTATAATTTTTTAAACAACGTTTCATGTCTCCTTACCCTTTGAGTATCATGTTCTCATGTTTATCCAACATTTAAATGCCTATCAAAGAATTCAGTGCAGTTACGTTCAAGATGTATTGAGAGGTTTGTACATGAAATAAATATTTATTTTCCAACATTTCAGATAAAGTGTATCCTCTTCCTTCCAACTGGCCGAAGATACCTCAGCTTGCCCGACGTCGTAGTTGCGAGCTGACAAGGTCAACAGAGCCATGTGTGAAGAAGGCGGTGTCTCACCTAGAGCTGGTACAGAACATTATCGATGAGTGGTTCAAGAAGGCAGAGGAGGATGTGAAGAGCAGGACGTCCAGTCGAAGAGAGTCCATAGTGTCCCTCCCAGGTCAGTCCAGAGTTGTGTCCCTTTGTGTCCCGTGTTAAAATTGGGCTTCCAGCAGCCTATGCTGATCGTAAGAAACGACCAAATAGATCAGGTTTACAGAGCTCCAGATAAGCTTTTGGTGTTGTGGGTATTTTACCCATGTATTTTAAAATCATTGGGTATCAGTAATTCTATCTGGGTATTCACATTTCTGTTACCCACTAGTTTTTACACATGTGGGTATTTAAGTTAAATATTTAAAAACACTATTCATCTAGTCCCTGCAAACTGGTGTCGTGTGGGTTCGAGAGCTTTATAGGACTCAAAAATACCACGATACTTCCACAGGAAAGTGTGATGGCAAATGATCATGATGTAACTGTCATCGTGGAGTTTGGCAAGGTTGACGGAATGCCCGTTTATAATTTCAAAATAAGTTGCCGTTTTGCTAATCGAATACGCATGGTTACTTCACAATATTTTGATGATACGCACAATTAAAAGCGTATCTGTAATGTTCGTTTGCGTATTTGATACTCTTGGATTTTATTTTACTGCGTATTTCTGCATTTCTGATGCGTATTTTACGCACATACGCAGCTAATCTGGAGCTCTGGGTTTAGAAACTCATGACTTGTGTGTCATACCCTGATGTAAATGGACGAGGCTTATGATATCAATCACTGGTTGGTCTGACTCAGTTATTTACACTCAACCATTATATAGCTGGAATATGGTGTGACATTAAGCAACAACAAATTTGATAAACATGTACAAATGTAAATGTACCAGGGTTCCATTTTATACCCTGACCAGGAACCTCCAGTACTAGATACAATGTCTGTATCGGTTCCTGTTATGTGGTTTAATAGTGTCAGATCTTATTTTTGATATCATATTATTCCAGAAACCAGAAAACAACTGCGGTTTGTGGACGATCAGGCAGCGACAGCAAGTTCGTCAGGACACCGGTCACGCACAGTCAGTGAAGCGTCTCAGGCTTCCTCCCAACTGTCTGTCCCAGAGAACCTGTCGGTCAAGGGGGTCGGGGCAAAGGCTGAACAAGGTTTGGGGAGGATCATCTCTGATCTCAGTACCATGGCAACATGGAATCTATTACAGCAGTGATGACTAGCTTAAAGGCTTTAGATTAGCTAATTATTACTATGAGAAAGACCCTGCAAGCTCTTCATGGTAAAGGAATATTCAGTGCATTTGGTTTAATAGAATTCGAAGCTTATTTAATCTTTTGATATTCCCATCAACCTCTCAAAGACACATTAAGATCAGGGTGGCGTTGTACAAAGCGATCTTAGCGCTAAGGCAATCGTTACTTCAATACCTTAACATAGGACCCGTGAAGATCCGGGCTAGAATAGGTCTTCAGTAACGGGATCGGGTGGTCAGGCTCGCTGACTTGGTTGATACATGTCATCGATCCCAATTGCGTGGATCGATGCTCATGATGTGGATCACTGGATTGTCTGGTCCAGACTCGATTATTTTACAGACTGCCGTCATATGGCTGGAATATTGCTGAGTGCAGCGTTTAACAACAAACAAACAAAAAACAAAACCTTAACATAGACTTACGACAGTCTTAGCACTTAGGTTGTTTTGTACGACACTCTGATGTTTTACTCTGACATGATAGCTCTTTGTGTAAACATCCCAGGACATCTTCAAAGGAAGGGGCATAACTCTTGTAGACCTTCTTACATACCGCCAATAATATAGTAACCTGATAACACTTGTCGTGATTGGTGACTTAATTGATCAGGTGGTCAGGCTCAGTGACTTGGTTGATTGCTAGCCATTGTACTACAGCATTAGACATTACTCATAATATCAATCACTAGTTTGTCTGGGCCAGACACAGTTGCCCTCATAATGGTGGAATATTGCTGACAGCATCATTTGAAAACAATGAAAGAAATATATTTTCTAGCTCAACTGGTGTCTATTTGGTGTTTACAGAGGCTTGTGAGGTCGAGAACCAAGGTCTGGACATTCCTTACCTTGGGGCTGAGGACGTGATTGACGAGGTCATCACTCTGCTGGCCAGGCTGGAGAATGACCGGCATGAGACTGAGGGGAAGCTGGGGCAGGAGAGGGGGAAGGTCAGTAAACTGACCACCAAGATTGATGACCTGTGTCTCCGGAGGCTGAGGGATCTGCCTGTGCTTGTTCAAAGAGGTGAGGTCAGAATCAGCCTCAGATGGCTTAGTGGAGTTGGTCTGGCTGCACTGTATTCTAATTTGGGTCACCTGCATGTTATTTTGCTGGTTGTTGTTGTCTTTCAGGACCTGTCATGGCAAGAGTTGTCTCCCATGGCTACTTTCTTAATTTGCTTTCATCTTTTGTAGGAATTAGTCCGCCTATATCTTGTGTTTGAATTTATTATGCTTTTCCCTCAATGTATTTGAAGGTCGTTTCTATACAGTAAACATGATACCGTATTGGGCGTATTAAGTGTTCTGCTCCAATAATCGCCCCTGACCAACATCTGTACCAATCTGTAAGTACTCTTTATAAGCGCCCCCACTGAGACCAAAAAGTTTTGTTTATTAATCCTAAAAAGACAGCAGGGTAGGAGGCGTATATAGCTGCCTAGTAACTATTATTAAACAAGTTTTAGATTTCATCGCCGTTTGAACTAATTTTGTTCACTACCATTCAATATCTGACAACAAATTTGACTCACTTATACTTTTAATAAGTGTCCCCATTGTAAATTTTCAAAGTGCCCAGGGCGCTTATTGTGGCAAATACAGTAATGCTTGTTGGATTGACTCTTTTGATACATGACTTTGTTGTGTGACACTTATCAGAGAGGTACACAAAGTATGTGATCTGGACTACCAGTTGTCAGACTTCTATTTCTGTAGAAGCTTCAGTGGCTGAGTTGGCTACAATCTCATTAAAATCAGATCTTAGTTCTCGCTACTGCTAAACAAAGATCTTAGGACATCCAATTACGGGTCAAGTCAGACCGACCTGGTGCGAGCTTTGACCGACCAATGGAATGACCAATCAGAAGGCAGCTTTCTCGTGCTTTACGGCACAAATTTCAAATTTGAGACTACGCTTCAAAACATATTTTGACAAATTCTCGATTACAAATTTGAAACCTGAACAAAAATACATTCTGGAATGACTAATAGATGGTATAGACTGTATGGATTCTGTCGTTTAACCCGTAACTGTCGTTCAGAATACCCCATGTTAAAGTTTTCGAGATTGCATGATTAGACTGTCACTTTCATAATCTGGTAAGCGACGCACTGATTGGTCGGATGAAAGGTTGTTGTGACGTGACCCCTAATGGGATGTCTTCAGATCTTTGTTTAGCGGTAGCGAGAACTAAGGTCTGATTTTAATGAGATTGAGTGGGCTAGATCACTGGTTTTGTGTGCTGGTGATAAGGTGCCTCACTCTGGCAGTGTGGGTTCGAATCCTAGATGGTGCTCAACCCCAAAAAGAACTAGAATTTGTACTTTACAAGTGTTATGCCAAATATAACATTCCTTGCTTCTGAGAAGTTTGTAATTTAGTAGCTATTGGAGTTTATTGGTCTCTTATTACTAATTAAAACTGTACAAAGAATGATCATTTAGTGTAAGTGTAAGATTGTATTCCGTATATCGCTGTGTATAAAGCGACCCCACGTATAAGACGACCCCCCTGTACACGCTTTGGAAATCAACCCAAAATCCTATACTCCGTGTATAAAGCGACCTGGAATGAAGCACATCACAAGTGTGCACATAAACCTTATATTTGCAATGAAAATTTGTTTATTTTGCTTTGTTTTTTCTACGATGATTGGGGGTGGTCGGGTAGCCTAGTGGTTAAAGCGTTCGCTCATCATGCTGAAGACCCGGGTTCGATTCCCGACGTGGGTACAATGTGTGAAGCCCATTTCTGGTGCCCCCCGCCATGATATTTCTGGAATATTGCTAAAAGCAGCGTAAAACCATACTCACTCACTCTACGATGATTGTTCGAGTGTGTAACTCCAGCACACGTCGTACATGGTTTGTGTTTACACGGTGCGACACCAAATTGGTGCCCGTAAAATAAAATTCATAAAATAACATAAGAACATATTTCAAGTTACGAGATAGTGGGACAACTGTAAAAGACGAAATTGACTATTGATAAAATCAGCAGTTTGAAGCAGGTTAGCTACAGACAAAATTTGTCTCTTTTACTATATTCCTTCTCCACTCACATCAATGTTCAGGTATTGCATGTCTCACCTGCACTCACATCTCTGTCCCCATCAGAGCATGAAGCATGTATACTCGACCTCAATGAGCTGCAGTGGCATGTTGCGTACCGAGGTCGCAATGAGGCACGCATACAGAACAGGAGAGAAATTGCAGATGTTCTCAATAACAGACTCAAGGAGGACATCGCTTTTGTAGAGAGGCATATGTAAGTGATATGTAAAATGTTCAGTCATATGTAGAATGTTCAAGTCATATATAGGTCATATGTAGAATGTTCGGAGACATATGGAAGTCATATGTAGAATGTTCAGAGTCATATGAAGAATGTTCAAGTCATATGTAGGTCATATGTAGAATGTTCGGAGACATATGGAAGTCATATGTAGAATGTTCAGAGTCATATGTAGAATGTTCAAGCCATATGTAGGTCATATGTAGAATTTTCGGAGACATATGGAGGTCATATGTAGAATGTTCAGAGTCATATGTAGAATGTTCAAGTCATGTGGGTCATATGTAGAATGTTGAGAGTCATATGTAGAATGTTCAAGTCATATGTGGGTCATATGTAGAATGTTCAGAGGCATATGGAAGTCATATGTAGAATGTTTGGAGTGATATGTAAGTCCTATGTAGAATATTCAGAGGCATATGTAAGTCATATGTAGAATGTTCTGGGGCATATGTAAGTCATATGTAGAATGTTCAGGTGCTCATTTTGCAGAGAAATATTTACGAAATATTAATTTTACTGAATAAGCTTTCTGTATTTGGTAGTGGTCTGTTTTGCAGGATGATGTTTACATTTACAATTAGCTAATCAAGTGTTTCTTCATTTCCTTATGTTTTTAAGTCAGATGTTTACAGCAATAGCTTCAGCATTATAGTCTGGAAGGTAATTTAAGGTACCGATGTTTACTACAATATCTGAAAAACTATTGGACCTACTCCAGTCAAAGTTGGTATGGGATTATTAAACAGTCATACATAACTGGATATTACATTTAAAGACAATCGGTGCATGAATAAAAAATCTGTCTATTTAGCTATCACTATATTTCATCAACAACCAGACCTGTTCGTCACGGGTGGAACGAGCATTCATTGAAACAGCCATCTGCATAATGCTATCCCTGCGTCACAGGGCCATATGACACAGTTGAACCAATCAACTCAACTCGAAAGGGTGCACGGGAATCAGGCACGCACGAATACGGTGTTAGCGTTGGGCGTCTCAACGTGCGTGATTCCAGTGCACCCTTTGGAGTACTGGAGTAGGTCCGATAGTTTTTCAGATATTGTAGTAAACGTCGGTACCTTAAATTACCTTACAGACTATAGTTGTAGTAGTAATACACTTGTTCTGTCAGGGATTGAACACAGAATCAGCAAGTGTCAATATGCGTTGTCAGTTTGGAGAGTACTCACACATAGAGACTGGAAATTGTTGTTCAATCTATTCAATATTATGAAAACTCAAAATCAAAATTACTGATTCGACATAATAAGCGCCTAGGGTGCTCTCAAAATTAGAAATAGGGGGCTCTTAATAGAATATAATTTCGGTGAGAGAAAAAAGCAGAGTTGTTAGATCGTAAATTTCGTGGTTTGTGCTGACAGCCTGAAATGACAGGTATATTTTCCAGAATTTAATTGCCCATAATTAAGGGTGCATATAACACAAGAGTGCGTATTATACACGAATAAATAAGTCTTGTGTTCATTGATCAATCGGAAGGGGTGCTAATTGGGATTGTTCACTAGCCAATATATTAAAAAATATCGCCGTGGGCACTTATTAGAGCGGGGCGCTTTATACGTCGAATATGGTTAGTGTTGTAGCCTCATTGACAACACATTGTTGAGCTGAGTCCGTTGAGTCAGCTTGCTATAACAGTGGACTGAGGGTGTCATGAGATAGGGTTCTGTATGGATGATAGTGTGAAGTGTATATGACTGTGTCTGCAGACCCCTGGTGCAGGAGAAGCTCCTTCTGGAGATGGAAGCCATGGACAAAATCAAGAAGGCTCAGGCCGAGGTGAGATTGCATACACTATAACATCAATTACTACAATTATACCTTATCCTGATTCATAGTTATTGCTTATCTCTTCTCATCATCCCTGAAAGGTAGTGGAAACTTCCTGTGCTGTGTTCCCCAAGAACAGAAAAATATCTCCAAACGCACCCCTGCCACGGGCAGACATACTTGAGCCACGTGACCATGCTGGCTTGCTTACTGTCTGTCTCTCACTGTCTCATTTTTGAGCCAACGAACTAGTTGGGAAATTTGTTCTCTAAATTTCTATCAAAATTATCAAATGACAACACTGATCTCTCAGCCACTGAACATGCTGAAGCTGGTTCGCTGTACTTTGTGGACACAGGAAACTAGGTTATTACTGTTTACAAGCTGAAAAAGTTGGAAGTTGTTTTTGATGATAAATAGAATCTCACTCTTGTGTCTTTTGGTACTAAATACAGTGATTCATTGATATACCGCTGCCATCGGGGTCCAAGATCCTGTATATATATAGACACTCATCGATAAAGTTTAAAATTTCTCATCAAGCCTTGGAATTTTTTACATGATGTATATTTGATATCAAAAGACTCTTGGGCTGAGATTCTTTGTCTCATTCCGGGGGTAAAGGAGTGAATATATAGACCTGGGTTGCCAGTATCATTCAGTGTAAATTCTGTTGCCAATCAGAAGACCTGTGACAAGATGACCCGTTGATAAATGTGTATGAATCAACTGCCTCATGTTTCCTGTTACAGACTGACCAGGAGCTGGAGATGACCAAGCAGCGACAGGCCAAGACTGAGCAAAAGTCCGAGGAGGCGGTCAACAAGGCGGAGAATGAACGTGGACACATCAAGCGAGAGCTGGACACTGTCCGAGACAATCTTAGTCAGATAAGGTACACAATGACTTCGAACCCTTTGCTTGTAATAACGGAATAGGTATTTTCGCATAAATGGTTAACCACTTGGACAATATCTGATGTTTATGGCTCGGTACACTGACAAGGATCAGTGATGACAGTGACATTCATTGGTTTTCTTGCTGCAAACTTGCAAAAGCAAGTTGTAGATTTTTGTGATTTGCAGATGCATAGCATTTTTGTATCTTTAAAGCCATGATACAATATATTAAGACTATATTTGTATCTTCTGATGTGATGCCCTGCCACGAAGTTGGTTGCAGTACACTATCTATTGAGAATCATTACAACCCTAATACATGACTATTACAAACTTCATACACAAACTTTGAGAAGGACCTCCATCATTGGGCATCTTCCCGAAGCAAGGGAGTTAAGTAACTTTGAAAGTCAAGTTTCCACCCTTGCTGAATTAGGCGAGAATTTCTGGGCTACAATCGTAGCCCCACCAGTGGTTAGTACGAGTTATGTCCCTTCTATGTCCCCGCTACTGACCAATCAGATTCCACCTCTCATATCACTTGCATTTGCTTCAAACAAAATGGCGGGACCCAGTCTTGATGATCTGATCGATAATCAAGATCTGTATAGTAATAAAACGAGTCATCCCCCCTGAAGTGCATCAAATCACTTGAGCACCTTGATTAAAAACATGAAAATATATGGAAATATCTGTTGATGCCCAGCAGACGGTACACATGCTCTACAAATCCTGCATTTAAACGAAATTGGCATGGCAGTTGCCATTTTGTTTATGAACCAGATGTCGATTTAGTTACGGACTTTTGATTTGACTATGCATGAACCTTCCATCCTAGTTTGGCAAGGGTGGAAACTGGACTTTTAAAGTCAGTTAACTCCCTTCCCTTGAGAAGATGTTATTGAGGTGAACAATCTACACCAAAGAAGAATCATGTTGCTGATGATGCTAACAGTCACTTTGTCCCCTCCAGTGAGGATCTGTCGGAGGCGAAGATGACGTACAATGCATACGTCCACCAGCTGAACGACATCCGGCAGCAGCTGAAGGACAATGACCAGGAGATGAAGATCCTGGAGGTGAAGAACGAGAATGCCAAGGTGGCAGAGGAGATGCAGGCAACCAAGGTACAGTCCGTATTTCGGGGTGTCAAGGGCAGGGCCATGTTCCACTCACTGATTGTAGTGCTAAGATGATCGTAACTCCCATACTTTAACACAAACTTACGACTGTCGTAGCGCTGAGGTAGCTTTGTGGAACAGGGACGTGGCTGAATTAACAGTGCCATATGCTTCATCCAGGATCATCCAGAGTATTGTATGTCCATTCTATATGATATATTCCATGGACCCATTGACTTCCATAGCTTTGTTTGGAAAGTGACCTTATTACAGCGTTCGAAATACCTGCCTGCCCGACCGTCCGAGACGGGTTGACTTTAACTCGGGCTGCCAGATTTTCAAATCCCCCTGCCCAACGGTCATGTTATATTTCATATGTGAAAATATTCTAAATATTTCCCGATGATAAGCATTAATTCACATGTAAAGTTGAATGATAAAATGTAACCAAAAAGAAACCCCGTTACCTTTTAGACAACCTAAAATTTAGGCCATATTTAGGAATAAGGATATTTACATGATGTATTCTAGGATATTAAATACAAATCTGACCTAAAAAGTGTTTGCTATTTCTTTTCTTGCATTACTTCATGTTCAGTGAATTCGATTTAAAGTTTTAATTAATTTATCCTGAGAAACGTATGATTATAGTGGGCAGGCAGGTTTTGGTCAGGGCTGGCAAGTATTTCAGCTAGCCAGTCCTGTGGTCTGGCTGAAATTTTTGGGAGTTTCATACCCTGCTTATTATCTGTTTTTCTCTTATCACTATTTTAGCACAGGAGGGTGCTTGAAGTCAACAACCAATTAAAATGTCCCTTCTGTATCTTTAAGTGGAGTTATACTTACACACAAGAAGACAAGTACTGTTGATATCACTGCTTATTTCAATTATGAAAGGACAGTGTAATTTGGTTGGACGTCTAATTTTGGAGTCATGTCATTTGAACTAGTCTTAAATGAAAATTATGGTGGCAATGTATCATTACGGGATTGATATTCTTGCACAAGATAATGGAGATTGCCCATGCCTGTCATTTGGTGGTGATAATGTGTCATCATAGCATATTATTTATCCATGAATCTTTAGCGCTGTCTCACTCACTCACTCACTCACTCACTCACTCACTCACTCATGTTTCAAACATCATCTATTCTTCACCAGGTCCGAGATTTCCAAACAAGAATCGCAGAGACGGAGTTCGAACACCGCAAGTTGAAGGCAGACAATCAACAGCTGGAGCAGAAACTAAGGACAATGGTGAGGGGCTCACACATCTTTCAAGTCATTTTTTATCCAGCCAATTCAATCAATCTTTCTAGTCATTCCTTGTATCTATCCAGTCATTCCTTCTTTCTGTCCAATCAAGTCATTGCTACTGTGTATCCAGCCAATTCATAACATCCATCCAGTCACTTCATTCCATTGATCCAATCATTCTTTCTATCTATCCAGTCATTCCTTCTATCTATCCAGTCATTCCTTGTATCTGTCCAAACAATTAATTCCTTCAGTTTATCCAGCCAATTAATGTCATTGATGCAGTCAATTTATTCCATTGATCAAGCCATTCCTTCTATCTATTCAGTCATTTTTTTCCATCTATCAATTCATCATATCATAATCAATTCCTTCCTTCTAATTGTTCATTCCATCCATCCAGTTATTCCTTGTATCTACCCAGCCCTGTCACTTCTATGCATCCAGTCAGTTCCTTCATTCTATCCACTTATTCTATTCATCTTTTATTCTATTTTTTTCAGTCCTTTCTTCTATCCAGTCAGTTCATTCCATCCATCCAGTCTTTGATTCCATGTGTCAATCAAATCATTTTGCAGAATATTCATTTAGTTGTTCAGTTGTTTGTCTATTTGTTTGTTTGTCCCTGTCTTGATTCATTGATCAAAGCATAGTATAGTTATATTCCTTCAATTATTTTCTCAGTCAATGAGAGGAGAATGTCAAAAATATAGTGGATATTTCATGTGTTGAGTGAAATATCATGTCCCTCTTCCCCGATCACAAGATGAGAGAAACATGATAATTACATTAAGTAATACGTTACCACTGTTATACCGAGGCTGTTGTCTCCCACAACTGCTGCTATAGCGAAATCTACCACAGAGATCTCAATTACCTCATGCAGCACGTGCGTAGCCACCCAGCTGCCATGTGACACCCTTCACTCTTGTCTCCTTCGTCTGCTTAGCAAGACGTGTTTTCTGCTGCTGAAGCGTTCCTTGAAGATTTGGTGATATTTATTATAGTTTATTCTCTAATAAACTGTGCTTTTATGGGGCGTTGTGGTAGCTACGCTTGGTTATAATTTTCCCGCCAAACGGAAAATTTTTCCCGCCCTTTTTTCTATATACTTGCGGGGTTCGCGTATGCACGTTGTGTTTTACGTTTCCCCTGTTCTTGTATGTTTTGGGGGTTAACATCACTTATTTCTTTAATAAAAGTTATATGTGTATGTTATATGTTCACATTGCTCGTTTATTTTCTTGTGAAAATGTTCGTTTGTGAATCATTGTGGTGCGTGCGTTGTAACCATGTTTTGTTCTTTGTTTATAGCAAACAATCAATGTCTGACATGGATATGTCCCCAGTATCCACCCCCTCTACCCCTGCTCCTCGGAGTTGTGGGGTGTGCAGAAAGTTTTTGTCGTCCCGGGATCCCCACGATCGTTGCCCGCGGTGCAGGGTTCCTTGCGGGGACACCCGGTGCATCCTGTGCGAAGGTCTGGGGCCTGCGGAGTTTGAGCGGTACCGGCTGTACGTACAGTCCGTCTCCACCCCTGTGGTGGCCGGTTCGTCCGGTCGGGGTCCCCGTGCAGGAACCACCTCCTCGGCTGCGGCGGATCCCCTTGCGGCCCTCGGGCTGTCTGGGGATTCCGTCGCCGCATTGTTGTCGAAACTTGTGGTCTCCAAGCTGGCGGCCTTATCGCAAGATAGGCCGCTGGCTGTTCCGTCCCCGGCCTCTTCGGTGGCCGCGGGGTCGGACGCGGGGTCCACCGGTAAAGCGGCGGATCTCTTGGCGGCCCGTGTGCTGTCCGGGGATTCCGTCGCTGCATTACTTGCATAACTTGTGGACTCCAAGCTGGCGGCCTTATCTCAGGATAGGCCGCTGGCTGTTCCGTCCCCGGCCACTTCGGTGGCCGCGGGGTCGGACGCGGGGTCCACCGGTACGGCGGCGGCTCCCGTGGTCACCGGTCCTTCCCCCGAACCGTTGCTCCCGCTATCGGTTTAGGACCGCGTGGCCATGGTTTATGACCTCTTTGAGGACATGCCCCGGCCGGTACCGCGGGGAATCCACGACTGTGGGTTCCTCCGAGGTATACGATGAGTCTTCCGACACGGCTTTCCCCGCATCAACCTTGCTGCGCGGTTTCAAGCCTTCCTTGGAGAACGCCTTCGCGGCGGCCTCCGGTCGGGGTCTCCCGTTGCCTCCGATGTCGTGGAGAAAGGGTTTCTTCCCGGTACATGACCTTGCCTTTCCCGAGGCTGGTCCTACCGCGGAGGCCCATGTTGAGCGGTTGGGTGTCCGTGCCCCACCGGCTGCTACGGTAACGCAAGCTACCTTGCACCAGCTGGACGCCCTTGCTCGGCACTCCATGTCTCACGGAGACACTTACTTGGCTGCAGCGGCCCGTCTGGTCGAAGGTTCTCCCACGGACCGTGACCAGCGCATTTACAACTGCCTGCTCAGTTTAAATGCTTCCCTGGAGTACGTTGCCGAGGACTCTCGGCACACACTTGCTCTTGTTGGGTCCCTGCATAGGCGCCTGGGTGCCGCTCCTAACCGGAGCGCGCCCCAGGCTGCTGCGGCCGGTAGGTCTAAGGGGTCGGGTTCTTCTTCCTCTGGGAAGTAGCCCCGCCCTGAGGGCTCCGGTATGGGCAATCAGCTGCCCTTTCGCGGGAAGACGGGGAACTGGGGGAAGCCCAAGTCGTCGACGGACGGCAAGGGCCCCTCCAGGTGACTCTCATTGGAGGGGTTCGTATGCCGACAGCGCCAACTTCGGTTGGCCCTTAGGCGAACCCGAGTCACTTGGCCCTGGACAGTTGCGCCTGCCGCAACCTGTCAGGGCCCCCTCTCCTTCCCCAGTGGGAGCCAGACTCCAGACTTACTGGGAGAATTGGGAACAAGTGTTCGACGACCCGTGGGTGGTCAACACGATTCGGTACGGCTATCGGCTTGATCTCAAAGCGAATCCGCCGCTCACCGTTGCCCCGTTGGCAGGTTTCGATTCGGAAACCGATCTTCCCATCCTCGCCGATGCCATCGGCAGGTTGGTGGAGAAGGGGCAGTACGGGAGTTAGCTCTACCAGAAATAACACCGGGGTTTTACTCCAGGATATTTCTCGTTCCCAAGTAGGACAGTGCCGAACTCAGAATGATTCACACGTCCGCTCCCTGGCTGTTCACCCGGTTAACCACCCCCATAGTGGGGTTCCTCCACAGGAGGGGTGTCCGGTACTTCGCGTACCTGGACGACTCGCTAGTAGCAAATCGAATGACGGACACCCTGTCACGCCATCTCGTTTTCGCACGTCGGCTCTTGGAGCAATTTGGGTGGATTATCAATCTCCCCAAGAGCGAGTTAACCCCTTCTCAGAACTTGCTGTTCATCGGAGGTCGGTTCAACACGGTGTCCCATCGCCTCTTTGTCCCCCCAGACCGGTGGCACAAAATTCAGGCGTTGATTGCCAAAGTCTTAGTGGTGCAACAGACTGTTCACTTTTGGGAACAGCTGTTAGGGCTACTTGTATCAGCCCAGGACTGCACCGCACGGGGTCGTCTCCAACTCCGCCCGCTGCAACGGTTTTTAATCCAGTTGTTAGCAACGGAGGTGAACAGTGCGACCGTCGCCCTCCCGGATCGGCTCCGACCGCATCTGGAGTGGTGGACAGTCCCTTACATTGTCTTATCAGGAGTCTCTATGCGGCCCTACCGGGCCACGTTGACCCTGTATACAGACGCCTCTCTAGTGGGCTGGGGCGCCCATCTAAAGGGGGAGGTGAGCTCGGGGCTGTGGTGCGTAGACGAACTAGGTCTTCACATCACTTGTCTCGAGTTCAAGGCAGTGATCAACGCAGTCAATCACTGGAAGCATCGTCTCGTCGACGCCCGGCTCATGCTGGCGACCGACAACACGACGGTAGTGTCCTATGTGAACAAACTGGGGGGAACCCACAGTCACTCGCTACTCGATCTCACGTTCGAGTTTTACACTCTGGTGGACAGTGTCCCGTGCCAGATACGCGCCCGTCACATCCCAAGTGTGCGGAACGTACTGGCCGATGCTCTATCGAGGCCTCAGGATCCGAGCCCCACAGAGTGGATGCTGAACCCAGTAGTGTTTCAGTGGCTGTGCGAACGTTTGGGTCGTCCGATGGTCGACCTGTTCGCAACGCGGTTCAACAATCAACTCCCGTTGTTTGTATCACCAGTCCCGGACCCGAGGGCCATCGATCACGATGCTCTCGCGTTAGACTGGACGGGCTTGGTCGCTTATGCTTACCCGCCGACAGCGTTGATACCACACATTCTAAGCCGGCTCCGAGGAGTTCGCTGTCGAATGTTACTGATCGCGCCCATGTGGCCGAACAGATCGTGGTACCCCGACTTGCTGACCCAGGTCACGCAGTCGCCACTTCCACTGCCTGTGAGACCGGATCTCTTGATCCACCCTCACACCCGTCAGCTTCATCCAAACGCAGGGCAGTTCAATCTGCACGCGTGGATGTTGTCACCGAGCGTCTGAGGAGTAAAGTTTTTTCTCGCCGGGCGTCTCGGGCATACGTTAGTATGCATCGTGATTCTACCCAGAAGGTGTATAATGCACGTTGGGTTATTTTCACGAAGTGGTGTTGTAAACATCACATTCATTCGCCAGATAAGGTATCTGTGCAGGATATTGCTCGTTTCATGTCTCACTTGCGAGAGACCTCGAAACTCTCCGGGGGTTCCATTGCCAACTATGTCTCGTCCGTTGCTACGGTACGGGACGTTGCTATGGGTACCAGTCTCTCCAAAGAGCCGGTGATACGGGGTATTATCAAGGGTTTCAAACAGCACGATCTTAAGAAGGGCCGCCTTCGGGCACCGGCCTGGGATCTTTCCCTAGTGTTGCAATCACTTACGGAAGCTCCGTATGAACCCTTGCATAGTGCTTCGTTCCGGCATGTGACTTGGAAAACAGCATTTCTCCTCTCCTTTGCCACGGCGGCACGTGTATCCGAAATTCATGCACTCGATGTCGCCAAGGTACGATTCGATAGGGGTGACGAAGGAGCGGTCCGCCTGGGCCTGCTCATGGGCTTCGTCGCCAAGAATCAGAGAGTCGGGCAAAACGGAGAGAGAATTCACTGTAAGATCACTCAAAGAAATCTTACATCCTGCTGATACTGAGGACAGAGCGCTGTGTCCGGTTAGGGCCCTTAAGTATTATCTTAAGGCTTCGAATGAACGTAGACAAGGGCGTGACCGTCTGTTCATATCGTGTAACCCTAATCGCACGGTTGACGTAACTCGCAACTCGATTGCGTTGTGGCTTCGTTCTGTCATCAATCTGGCGTACCGGTCTCGGGGGTTACCGGTAGCGGGGTCAAACCCGCACGAGATCAGGGCGCTAGCGGCAACATTTGCCCTACACTCGAATATCTCTGTTCGCAGAATATTACGAGGTTGTTACTGGCGTTCTGACTCGGTTTTTGCCAATCATTACCTCAAACAGGTCGCTGATGCCGTCGTGGAGAGTGTGCACCGTCTTGGCCCGCGGATCGCGGCGCAAGCGGGCACCTAAGGGGTGTGCCCAGCGCAATTCCGAACTCCTCAGGCGTCTGACCTTGCACGGTGGTCAATCTGGGTCGACTCCAATGTTCCCACTGCCGTGGGTACAGGAGTTGGGGTCCCGCAAACCAGCGCACTCACACCACAGGTGAGGGCGGCTTTTTGTGTGCTTTGTCCTTATTTGTATTTTGACAATTATGTCTTTAATTGTCTGTCGTGTATCCCAACCTTGTGATGCATGCTTACAAATACTGGAATTAGGTCACGCGCCTAATGCATACTTTAAGTAGGCTTGCTCTGGGATATACGGTCTGAATGAAATTAATTTCCCTCTTTTCGACTGTTTAACCTGATCTAAGATTAAGCTCACGCGGATACAGTGTTCTCATCCGCTGCGGCGATGAAATACCTATCCAGTGGGGCCGTTTGGAGTCACCAATCGTTTTGGCAATGACGATTGAGCCTTACGGTATGCGCTTGACAGTGCTTTGGTATTCCTATAGGGTAACGCCTAGCTAGGTGCATGCGCATCGAGTGCTTCCGCCTTGGTGTTTACTTCCGCTGGTCGGAAGGAACGCTAGCAGTCAGGATTCGGGTTGTAGGTGCTCCCCACCGCCTACTGTGGTAGTCAGCCTCGGTATAACAGTGGTAACGTATTACTTAATGTAATTTGTAGAATTTTCCTATTCGGAATATTCTATAAGTAATACGTTACCACTGGGCTGCTGCCCGCCCGTCCGTCCCCCGAGCACTTGCTCTCGCAGGAGACAAGAGTGAAGGGTGTCACATGGCAGCTGGGTGGCTACGCACGTGCTGCATGAGGTAATTGAGATCTCTGTGGTAGATTTCGCTATAGCAGCAGTTGTGGGAGACAACAGCCTCGGTATAACAGTGGTAACGTATTACTTATAGAATATTCCGAATAGGAAAATTCTACAATTTTACGAGACACATGGAACATCCTATTTATTATATACTTTTTGTGTGGTTGTCTGCCGGAATATTAAATTATTTCATTACAAATGTAAAACCTTGAAACATAAATTCTCCCTACCTGACACACAGGGACGGCTCACCACCCCTTGTATCTGCGACCTAAAAAGTAGTTCATGTTTGCAAAATTTAAAAAAATATAAACCAAAGAATGAAAAAATATTTAGGGTCACGAAAATTCATTATCATACATTTAGATATGATTAAATACAATATCAACTTTAACAAAAATATTCTTGAAAACTTTTTGACTGCTGTTGGAAGTGAAAGAATACACACTGGTAAAGAAACAAAAATGGCGCTTTGCGATATGAACGGTCTCGATAGATGAGTTAAATGAAAAACGAAACATTTTCGAGAGAATATTAAACGCCAAGAAGTGATATTAGCTCCATAAGTGATCATCTGTCAGTATTTTACCTTGTCAATGTGGAATGTAAAACTAGAAAAAGGACGTCAGCAAATTGTTTGAATTGTTTGATTGGCATTATGTCAGCAGTTTGTGAAACTATGATAAAGGGAGACAATATAAGGGGAGGTAACTCTTGTATGACAATAGTTTCATGTTTACTACAGTGAAGTATCAGGTGTTATGTACACTGCAATGAAAATATCACTTTTCTCAACTTCAGAAAACTCAGTCTTTCACACTGAATTATATAATAAATGAAACAAATGAAGTAGTAGTCACTGGAGGATCCAGACGGGGTATACCCCCTTCTTCAAACGCCTTACACATTAACTGTGTACTCGGCAAAGTCACCTAGTGACCTCTGGCAGTGTGTGCACTCCACTGTTTCCAAATCCTTGATCCACCTGTGGTAATTAAGTTGAGGGGGCGGTCGGGTAGCCTATTGGTTAAAGCGTTCGCTCGTCACGCCGAAGACCCGGGTTCGATTCCCGACATGTGTACAATGCGTGAAGCCCATTTCTGGTGTCCCCCGCCGTGATATTTGCGTAAAACCAAACTCACTCACTCACTCACTCACTAATTAAGTTGAGTCCGACACTGTTTCCTCTGCTGCCACCAGAAAGCCCAGAACACTCACAAGCGAGACGAGCTGAAGCACAAGCTCAAGCAGCTGGAGGGGAAGCTGAGGACGCTGCTGAGGGACACGAAGGAGGCCAAGATGGACAAGGAGGACTGTGAGGACAAGCTGGTCAAGTGGTGAGGACACTCTTTGTTCTGTAACTGTTCTGTCAGTATAATAATGCTGGTCAGTGTGTTTCATACTAGGGCTGGGGTGAGTCCAAAGTTACTACCCCGGTACTCACCCCCCTATTACCCGACCTTACCCGTGTACCCGCTGTAGGTCTCAAGAGATAGGTACGAAATGTCCGAATAGGAATCGTTTGACCGTAGCCTTTCAAAATGTATTGAGATACATGTATAAAGTGATCTGGTCATGCATACACTGAAGTTTACTGACGTTTTATCTTATATATTCAAGCATAAAAAAATCAGAAGGAATGGGTGCATTGTCAGAAAGAGATGAGAATGTTGTTGACTTGATGTGTTCTTTTCAATTGTTGTATTTAAACAATATAGGCCTATCACGTGACTAACCACAGGTACGGGTAGTACCCGAGTACCCGAGTTACCTGTCCCAGTCCTATTTCAAACTATCACCTTTGAGATTTGTAGATTTATTTAGATACACATTAAAGAATATTAGTTTATAGAAAGACCATGTAATGTATGATTTCACCTAACCTCAAGGCCTCTTACAACTGAATGATATCAATAGTGGCCCTGTACCTGTACATGACCCTGACCTGTATCTGACACTGACCTTGACCCAAACCTGAATCTGACCTTGAACATGACCCTGACCACGACCCTGACAGTTGACTGTTCTCAGACTAAGATGATGAAGTTTGTAACAAGTTGTTTGTTTGCTGGACATAAACAGTGTCACTAAGACTGACAGCATTAAATTATGTGTATACACTTAAAAAAACTGTGGGTTGACATGTTTCTTTTCATTGACACTGGTCAATATTCTGTGCTTGTCATAATGAAATATTTATATAATAAAAAAATATTATGCCTTCAGTGACAACAAGAAGGTGTATGATGAGAAAAACATGGTGCGCATCAATAAGGAGATGCGACGTACGGACACCTTGTTCAATACAACTATGGAGGAATACTCTAAGGTTGGCGCCATGAACCAACACATAAGGGAACAACTTCGAACTGAAGAGGACAAGGCTTTCAAAACGGAGGAAATGATCAAAGTAAATAGTTCTACTTTGTGTAATAATCATTCTTATCTTGAAGTATACATAACAAATATATGTAGATGAAGGTTCTATTATTTAAGTATGCATGTTAATTTTACTACTTCCTGATTGATGGCACGGATGGCCCACACAATTGGCTGTGAGTTGCGTCCCTTGGGCATGCCACAAACATATGATTGTGGGTTTGAATCCTGGTTTGCCCTGTTTATGTTACCAGGTATGTCACACCATACCCCATCTTCCCGAGGCAAGAGAGTTAACTGACTTTAAAAGTCCAGTTTCCACCCTTGCCGAACTAGGCTTGAATTCCTGGGCTCAATCGTAGTGCCACCAGTGGTTATTACGAGATATGTCCCTTCTAAACCTCTCCCATTGATCAATCAGATTCCACCTCACTTGCATTTGATTCAAACTAAATGGTGACGCCCAGTCAAGACGATCTGATCGATAATCAAGATCTTTATTGTGTTAAAACGGGTCTTACATCACAAAGTGCATCAAATCACGTGAGCACCTTGATTAAAATCATGAAAAGATTTGGAAAATATCTGTTAAAAACAAGTTGGCGGTGCACATGCTTTGCAAATCCTGCAAGCGATCGAAATCAGCACGACAGTGTACGAACCGGATTTCGATTTCGTTGCGAGATTTTGATTGGACTCATTAGCACAGCCAAAATGTAACTCCATAATACCAGCCTAATTCGGCAAGGGTGGAAACTGGACTTTTATAGTCAGTTAACTCCCTTGTCTCAGGAAGATGACCGTACCCCTGCTCATAGGTTTCACCAAAGTGGTAAATGTCTAAGACCTGCATCACTTGGGGCTTTCCTCCTGCATCAAGATGACATGACGTGATGTGACTGTTTTACTGTTCAAAGCAGTGTTAAACCCAACTCACTTACTCACTACGACCTGATGCTTTCTAAGACAATGATTGCTTGAGAAAGACTTTGTTGTGCCTTTCCTTCTACTGATCTACTGATAACCCTGGAGTCATCTTCCCGAGGCGAGGGCGTTAGCTGACTGTAAAAGTCCAGTTTCCACCCTTGCCGAACTAGGCTGGAATTTCTTGGCTTGATCTTAGCGCCACCAGTGGCTATTACGAGTTTTGTACCTTCCATGTCCCTCCTATTGACCGATCTGATGCCACCTCTCATATCACTTTCATTTACTTCAAGTAAAATGGAGTCGCCCTGTGAAGAAGATACGATCAATAATAATGATCTATGTTGTAATAAAACGGGTTTTACTTCACAAAGTACATCAAATCACGTAAGCACCTTGATTAGGAACATGAAAAGGTCTGGAGAATATCTGTTGACGCCAAGTTGTCCGTATACATCTTTGGCAAATCCTGCAATTGATCCAAACCTGCCCATCATTTTTCTGACTGGATGTCAATTTCCTTACATGATTTTGATTGGATTCTGCATAGACTCGTTAGCCCAGCCAAATATATAACCCCATAATTTCAGCCAAGTTCACCAAGGGTGGAAACTGGATTTTTTTATAGTCGGTTAACTCCCTTGACTTTGGAACCTGCCCTGAAGTAGACCTTAGAGGATTGTGGATGCCTATGGCAATCTAGCAGAAAAACAAGTGTAAACTGTAGTGTCACCATGCTCAAGGCATTCCACATAAAACTATTCTGATGTCCATTGGTCTGTATTAAGAGTATTAAAAAGAATAATGATAAGTATTTCTTAAATCTTTTCTGATTTAATCTAAACTATTGCATTTGGTTTCAAATTTGAATCAGATTTCAAAACCTATAAATTGGAAACACAAAAACTCTATTCCACCAGGACAAACTGTCAAAATAAATGCCAACTCTTTGGTAGCAGCAGAAGTGATGAGTTATGTAGCGTTGGTTGAATAAATATTTTTAAAAGGTTGAATTGATGATTTTAGGGATTAGTGAAGATAATTTTGATCCACATATATTTTGACTTTCATCTTTCGCCCACCCATCTGCTCTGGGACAAATTAGTTAGAAAAATTCTTTTTTTAATAAAACACTCTGATGTTACTGGTCACAATCTCAAATGAGTTGGAAAATTGCATGCTTATCGAGGTGGTACCTGTCAAGACAGTTGACAAACTGGTGCTGTAAATTATTTTTTTACAGTTACAGCCCTTCATCCATGTAATTTTACTTAGAGCATAGTGGCTGCAATGGGGACAATATGAACAAACAAAATTCTAATGTGCCGTGGGCGGGGGATACTGATAACACTGTTTACTTGTTGAGAGTAATCCCAACCCTGAGTATCCCATACCTTCAGAACCAGTGTGAGACGCTGAAGAAGCAGGTGAAGGATGAAGTGCACTCTCGCACCGTACTGCAGGCGCGCATCAACTCCGACTCCTCCGAGATTGACAGGACCCGCCAAGACTCAGCCAAGAAGCAAAACAAGGTACTGTAGCACTGATGAGGGTGTTGATGGATCAATATGTTAGGTGCTAAACTGCCTGTGATACACGTCTCAGGGATGAAACAAGAAGGCATGTAGTTGTTAAAATGTCTCAAATGCTCAAAAGCATAGCAAGGGTGTTGTGCTCTTGTGGTAAAAAACCAAGTCACACTTTCTACAGTATAAAACTATTACCCTGTTCTTGGGTTATCCTGGCAATCACTCATATCAATATACAAAATTAGAAATCATATCAATGCAAAAGCAGATATTTTATGAATACTAAAACTCACAATAGATATGTGTACCCAACTCACACACATGAGTCCCAAAGAGGGACGGGTCAGCCGAAATTGCTAAGGCAGAAGGCGACCTCTTAAACACTTAAAGTAACAACAACAACAACTATATGTGTCTGCTGACCCCTCAGGCCCAGAAGGTAGCGGACGAGGTTGGGTCAGCAGTCAACAATGTCCTGGAGAAGGTGCAGAAGCTGAGGAACACCAAGGATGAGAAGGTCAAGGTGAGGAGGCGAATGCATAGAACAGGACAATGACGCCTTATTCAAAGCCTTAATGGTCCTTCCAAGTTCTACTGTGTTGTGACTGGTGTGATTCTAGCATTGGCAATACCCAATCAGCCTGCATGTCGTAACTCTGAACTTTATCTTTGAAAGGTCTACACATTTATGACATTAGACCTTCATGTGGAAGAAAAGATATGATTTATTGTTTCCTAAACACTGCTAACACCTTGGAAGCACTATTACTGCTAGTTATTGTAATATGAAACGTGATATCTGCCAGTGAATGTAATATGAATGGTGATCTCTGCTAATGATTGTAATATAAATGGCGATCTCTGCTAATGATTATAATATGACTAGCGATTTCTGCTAATGATTGTAGTATGCAACGTGATCTCTGCTAGTGATTGTAATATACATGGCAATCTCTGCTAATGATTGCAATATACATGGCTATCTCTGCTAATGATTATAATATGACTAGCGATTTCTGCTAATGATTATGATATTAAGGCTGATCTCTGCTAATGATTATGATATTAAGGCTGATCTCTGCTAATAATTGTAATATGAAACCTGATCTCTGCTAATGATTGTAATTTGAGCGGTGATTTCTGCGAGTGATTGTTATATGAATGGTAATTTTTGCATATGATTGTTTTGTGAATTGTGATGAGGTGATGATGTGTGTTCCAGCTGAAGTCAGATCTGGACACCAAGATTGGCAGCATCCAGAAGCAGCACAGGGAGAGTCAGACCACCTTCCTGGAGAGAATCGGCCACCTGGAGCCGCGCCACAAACTACTCAAGGTCACTAACTTACACCCAGGGGATTCACTGTTAGAATTGGTCCTCATACTGGTCATCAGTGGCGACCCAGTGGATCATGCTTGCCGGAAAAGGCGACTATGTTTGTCATAAGAGGCGACCCAGTGGATCATGCTTGCCGGAAAAGGCGACTATGTTTGTCATAAGAGGCGACCCAGTGGATCATGCTTGCCGGAAAAGGCAACTATGTTTGTCATAAGAGGCGACACAGTGGATCATGCTTGCCGGAAAAGGCAACTATGTTTGTCATAAGAGGCGACACAGTGGATCAAGCTTGCCGGAAAAGGCGACTATGTTTGTCGTAAGGGGTGACTAACGAGATCGGGTGGTCAGGCTCACTGACTTGGTTGATGCATGTCATCTTTCCCAATTGCGTGGATCGATGCTCATGAAATCAATCACTGGATTGTCTGGTCCAGACTTGATTATTTACAGACTACCGTCATAGCTGAAATACTGCTGAGTGCTACGTTAAACAAATAAACAAACAAACAAACACTTACAGCCATGTCGCAGTATATTTAGGACAATAAAAGAGTTGTACATGAATTACTATGGGAGAGTGGACTGTATACAACAGTTGGAGGCTTGTATTCCATAGACAAGTTGCCTATATCAGTCTGTGGTGATAACTGTAGTATCTACTGGCATCATTTTCAGTCGAAGTTGGTGTCATTATTGAGAAACTATTGTAAGTTGAGTTTACAGAACAGAGAGAAATGTCAGTAGGCCCTGTTTATGGACAAATGGCTAAAGTCGCAGGCTGAGTGTTCCATTGGGTTTTAATGGACTACACAGGGCACCTACAGGGTTGTATTGAAGTGTTGTTTAGGGCTGGTATTGATGTATACCTGTGTTGGTCTCTGTAGGACGAGGTGTTGAAGCTGGACAAGCACCTTGACCACATTCAGTGGAAGTCAGACATGATGAACAAGAAGATCGAGGACATGGATGCCTCGGAGATCATGATGAAGAAGATCATCAACAAAACAGAAAAGATCATTGATAAACTCACGTATGTCCGACTGCTTTGTAAACTTCCCATTAGAAGTCTAATATATAATGCATGCATGTTTTCGATGATATTGGTAAACAACCAGCTATGTTATCTTTAAGCTGGATGTTTTTTGTAATTTTGTTTTCTGAAAACAATACTAAGGCTTAATAACTGCTGTGTACAAGATTGGGATTGAGGGGAATAGAGTTTGTGAAAAGATTTATATTTGTTGTTAACTTGTTTAAAAAAACACACTCATTATCAAGGGATCACAAATTATTACAACTGACACTGGTAAACCAAGCCATAGTTCTACAGCACTCACATATATTATTGTTCTGATATTTTCCTTCTTCAGAGATGAACTAGATGAACTCCAAATTCAGCTGGCTGCTGCCAAGAAGATAGAAGATGACCTTCGCAAGGCCTACAACGAGGTCCTGGGTAAGATGTGTGCCATTTTTATGAATTAATTGTCCTAATGATGTTATACATGTAATACAGTATCATTATAATGTCCATGGTCAAGGTCATATTCAAGTCATCTTCACTTATCCAGGGTATTGTATCTTCATTCTCGTGTGATAAATATTCTAGATCCATGTGCTACCACAGCTTTATTTTTAGCCTAAATGGAATGGCATGATGCTAAAAAATAGCCATCTAATCAAATTATTCTCATAAGCGAGAGAAATTCTGTGCCATGTTAGACATGGAGATAGAGACATCACTTCTGAAAAGAAGCTGTGGGAGAGCATAGGTCCAGGGTATACCGAATTCGACATAAAAAGCGCCCGCTCTAATAAGCGCCCACGGCGATATTTGCTAATATATTGGCTAGTGAACAATCCCAATTAGCACCCCTTCTGATTGATCAATGTACACAAGAACTAATGTTTTTACAAATAATACGCACTCGTGTGTTATATGCACCCTTAATTATGGGCAATTAAATTCTGGAAAAATATATCTGTCGTACATAAACATTTGAGGCTGTCAGCATAAACCATGAAATTTATCTTTCAACTCTAATAAGAGCCGGGTGGTCGGGTAGCCTAGTGGTTAAAGCGTTCGCTCGTCACGCTTAAGACCCGGGTTCGATTCCCGACATGGGTACAATTTGTGAAGCCCATTCCTGGTGTCCCCCGCCGTGATATTGCTGGAATATTGCTAAAAGCGGCGTAAAACCAAAACTCACTCACTCACTCTAATAAGAGCCCCCTATTCCTAATTTTGAGAGCGCCCTGGGCGTTTATTACGTCAAATACGGTATATCATTATGGAATGACGATGTAATACACATGATAATTGACGATGTATTCAAGGTAAACGCTTTAACATCTTTTCTCATATGCATGTCAATGATATGAGGCATTTTGCATTTGCGATAGAGCCAACATAGAGATGGTCATATCACAGGGGTGTAATAACCAGACCCGTTTTAATTCCCTGCAAGGCTGAAATACCTTGTCAGTGCTTTTTTTTTATGGGCAATCAATATTGCAGAAGTTGTAAGAAATTGGAGTTATGTCCCTTTGTGTATTGTCTGTTCAGCTGGCTGTCCCATGACAATGTCTTCCAAACAAGGTGAAATAGATACACTTGCAAATAGAGACACTGCCACTCTTTGTACAAGACTTACCTAACTGTGAGCCGTGAGTTTTGGGGTGATCATTTACAGGTTGGGATCACAGTAAGGGTTATAATCAATAGGAAGCATGCTAGATACAGATTGGATTTTTGTTTTCGCATATATTACAAATACTTCCAACTTATTCATGTATTCTGTTTTCTTATTGCAGAGCGTATCCGTGAGAACAAAAGTAAACATGAACACCTGTTGGAGAACAGACAGGTAGTTCATAAACAGCACGAGGTAAGGGAGCCTTGACCTTCAGTTTTTTTCAGAATGAGGACCATGAAGTAGATTTTCTCATGTAGTAAGCTTTAGGTAGCTGGTGACAAAATGTTGTTTATGTTCATTACTGTTTTGATTATTCATATAGTTATCCTCTGTTAACAGGAAGAAGACTGCTTAAGATTCAGTTTCATATTTGTGTTCTTAGTGTTCCGTTCCAAATTTCTGTTTTTGTTATGATGAGTGTTTAATTTGCAATAGCAGAAAGCAAACAGTAAACCCTGTTTTTCTAATGGTCAATTATTATGGGGTGTGTGGTGGGATGTGGTGTTCAGATCAGTCTTTGAACTGTGTCATATTTTGCTGTCACACCCACGCACCCACCCTCATTTTATGTAATTTTGTTTTCATGACCCTTTTCCTAAATACATGTAGCATTTTGTCATGACCTCCCCCACTCCTTATAATAAGTGACCATACCCTAAATAATGTTCAAAATTTTAACTATTTATTTGAAAAAAATTAACTGTCATTTTTGTTCATGCCCCCTCCCCCCATAGTTCTGATAAATATTAGTGTCATAGTCACCCCCACACCCCCACACCCCCACATCCCACATCCCACACACCCCCACACCCCCACACCCCCACATCCCCACACCCCCACACCCCCACATCCCACACAGCCCATAATAAATGCTAAGTCCCTTATTCCAAACCCATTCCTACAAGGTTGTTTTGTTTTCAATTTAAATAAACCACATTCTTTCACTTGATACACATTTTCATAATAATATTCTGACAGTTAATTCTTATGTAAATAAATTTACACTGTGTTTGTGTTTGCATGTTGCAGTTGACCTCTTGTCAATACTGATATGACCATGAAATAGTTTTGTCTTAGACAGAATAGCAAACTGATCAAGAAAATTCAAAACAAGAAACAAAAGTCTGTTCTGTAATTGAATCAACTTTTTTAATGGTAAGGACCACCAGTAAGGGCTGTGTTGTTAATGTTGCATTTTTGGTGCACACAGTCTGAGAAGAGGCGTTGCTTGTACCGGAACAAGGACTTTGCTTCCCAGTACCGACAGCTGCAGAACGACTTCATCATCATGAAGGAGAAGCTTCTACGAGGGTACGAGGACCGGGTCAAGTTAGAGAGTGCCATCACAGACACTAAGCAGGTAAGTCCAGACCATGGCTTAGAGTGCTGTCACATCTTTAAATTAAATTAAATTAAAATAAATGTTTAAAAAGTGACTTTTCAGTTGCAGTCAAATTGTCCCACATCAAGCTGATATGTCACGATAGAACTGTAATGCAGTGTAGATAGCTCGCTTGCTCACTCACTCACTCACTCACTCACTCACCCAATCTCATTCTCATTCACACTGACTCACTCAACCACCCACCCACACTCACTCACTCACTTACCAACCAACCCATATCTCACCCACACTCACTCACTCACTCACTCACTCACTTACCCACCCACCCATATCTCACCCACCCACTCTCACTCACTCAGTCACTCACTCATCAACCCACCCATATCTCACCCACACTCACTCACACTCATTCACACTCTCACTCACACTCACTCACTCACTCACTCACTCACTCACTCACTCACTCACTCACTCACTCACTCACTCACTCAAATCTAATGCTTCACTCCTCTTCCATCTCCCCAACAGTTACAGTCTTTACAGAAGAAGCTCCACGGTGCCCTCACAGAGTACTTTAAACTCAGTGGACTTTACAACGAGTCTGAGCTCTGCAAGTTGGAACGAGAGTCCAGTCAGAACGGTGTCCGAGTGTCCCAACTCCAGGACAAGATGGATGAAGCACTGGTCAGTATCACCCACTTCCTCCAGACACAGATGGATGGCCAGACAGCCCGGAAGATGGCCTGGAACACTGTCCGGATGCAGGACGAGGCCCGGGCACAGGGCCTGAAGACACCACTGCCAGACTATGCCAGCAGACAAAGCACCGTAGTGTCTGCATGATACTGAATACTGTTATGATAATGTACCCATGTGATGGCTTAAGTACTGTTATTTTGAAATTCCTTGACTTTGTTTGATATTTACCAACAACCCATTCAGAAACCAATCATAATGTTGAGTTCTTATTTACTCAATATCCAAAGACTGCATTCAAAAGAAGAAATAACCTTTTTTTTAATTGAGGTGTCCTCAAGATAGCAATTTGGAATAGATGTCTATTGTTTCTAAATAAATTCAATCATTTCATATCTATTGAGAATAGCATCTTCAATTCGTCAGGCAAAAAAGCAATAAGTTGCATATTGTTTCATTATCAATAGGTTTTTTTATGTTGCATGAATTGTTGTGATCTCAAAGAAGGGACCTACATGATAAGTAATGCTTGAATTGCATTTGATATTATGCCAGTTTGAAAACCATATTTGGTACTGAGTAAATGTATGTTTAGATGTAGTGATCACTTTGTTGTGTCCAAAGAAAAGACTGTTATTGAAGAGGTTGATGTTAGTCGACATGGCCTTCTATCAAAGTTATGTTTTCTATGCCAAAAAGTGGAGTGGAAGTCATATTTTGTGCTGATAATAACTATCTGTGATACAGTTTGCTATGACTCGATGTCATTTGTTATGGTCTATCTTTACAGTGTTTTCCGTCCAAGGTTTAAGTGCCTTTACATCTTTTTGACTTTTAGTTAAACTGTGTTTCCTCATTCCAGATATACTGGTAACGCTAACTTAGCCAAACATTCGGATTATACCTTATACCTTCAGGTTTCCATAGAAACTGTCAAAAAACCTTGTTACACTGACCAATCATATCGCTGTGATTAACATACAGTATTGTACTATTGTACTATTACAGGACTGGTGAAGTGATATGATTGTCTGATGCTGCTTGGGTCTGAAGTATTAATATTATGATTGCCTATTTATTGATATAATGTTGTCATTGTACAATTAAATTTTAACTCTACTACTTTGGGGTTGTGTGTTTTGTATCCTTCACCTCCCATTGTGTAACAATTAGAGAGTTATCAACGAGCTACGAGAATTACAGGTTATCGGTCCCAAGTAAATGCATGGTGTTAACCCCGAGCCTATGGCAAGGCACTTACAGCATTCATTCATGACATTGGTTGGTTGGCTTGTTGTTTTACGCCGCACTCAGCAATATTCCAGCTATATGACGGCGGTCTGTAAATAATCAAGTCTGGACCAGACAATCCAGTGATTAATATCATGAGCATCGATCCACGCAATTGGGATGGATGACATGCATCAACCAAGTCAGGAGCCTGACCACCCGATCTCGTTAGTCGCCTTTTACGACAAGCAAAGTCGCCTTTTACGACAGATTTCATTTTATAGATCACCTGAATGGTTTTGAAGACTTAACAGTATTCACAAATTCAACTCCTGTGTCAGTCGCTAGTTTCACATTTAAATATATTTGCACCAAATGTCTTTGAGTAAACTTATGACCATGCACACTCTCTTTCCTGTGTTCTACCAATATCAGACCCTGTCTGTCTTTACGTTTTGACTTATCCAAAACAGCTGAAAGGTCAAACCTGAGAATTTCGAGGATGTCTTGCACAATAATAGGACTAATAAATTTATATTTTTGGTTTTGTTATTTTGTTAAAAAGAAAAAAAGTCAAAATGTGAAGTTGTTTTAAGAATCTTCTGAGAAACTTACAAGATCTGGGAATCTAAAGAAACAATGATAAAATATGTCTCAGCACAATGTCATTCAGGCCAGTAAAATATCATAGATGGTTGTTTTCATCAGTTCAATAGTTTAAGTAAATATAGTTTAAATTGGCGTGATCATGTTCTGTGGTATGGTGCATGTACAGAAACATGTCATGACGAAATGATTGGAATTACATTGGGAAAAGTTATTTTATTGTGAAATATGTCAGAGTGCCTTGTGTCGTGTATTTTATCACATATACATATGCAATGTTTGTTAAGCTTATTTGAAAAAAAAGATTCAAGAATTCATTTAGTCACAAGGTGAGGTGAAATAGGGTTTAACATAACGTCCAAGATTATTGGACTTATATAGAAACGTTCATACAAGTGTGTGTGCGTGTGTGTGCGTGCGTGTGTGTGCGTGTCTGTGTGTGTGTGTGTCTGTGTGTGTGTGTCTGTGTGCATGTACTAGTACTAGTACTAGCCTGGACTGATGCCGATTCATAGTGCTAGCCCACTGAGAAACCATGCCACAGTTTAACATGAATACCCCACTCCGACACAGTATACTGACTCTGACCTGTCCTTGTTTTAGCCCCTTAATGCCAAGTGCCAGACAGGGTAACAACAAGTACCATATTTTAACGTCTTTTGGTATGACGCGACCAAGGATGGAACCCCGGACCTTCCACGCTCTACCATTTGACCAGGGAGCGGTCCATTTAGTCACAAGCTGTCTCAGGCTAATCAGAGACAAGGACGCTACTTTGTTGTCCATGAAATGGAATATCATTTGGACATGTGTTCCAGTTTCTGTAAATAATGAATAGTCTTATTCATTAAATATGCTTACAACTGTGCTAGTTGTCATCTCGAATGTCCAAGCAACCAGCCCTTTTAGACATGGAAGATACAACTATCCTGGGCCCACTTGCACAAAGCGGTCTTAGCACTAAGATGATCATAACTCCCATACTTTAACATAGGCTTACAATAGTCGTAGCGCTAAGATTGCTTTGTGCAAGTGGGCCCAGGTCATGTCTGGCTTCTTACATGCATCTTTTGACAATTCCTGCAGCAACACATACTGCTCTCTGTATGGAGGTAGACTAATCTTTTTCATAATTACATATACTGATGGACATAAATAAGGAAACACTTTGTTTTAGACACAGTAAAATTATATGCTATCATGGATTTCCAGCATTGTCTAACAAATACGCATTGGAAACAATGCACACAAACCCATCTCAACATTTGATTCTGACATGTGTTGAATTTGTATGCGTGCTATACAGAAAAGCTTATTTCACTATATATTTCATTGTTCCCTTATTCGTTTCCATCAGTATATCTTCAAAATAAGAAAAAATCCAAATGGAACCCAGAACAAGGCTTAATTTCAGCTGCGGCAATCTAGACTAGCCAAAGTCATCCTTGATTTGAGTTGCATTCCTTTTTACCATATTCTCAATGGTCTGGGACACAGAATAGTATGGAGATTGTATGTGGTCATAGGCATTTACTACTGTGTCAACTGTCTCAGGATCCTTATCAAAAGTCTAGTAGTATACTATAACACAGGCAGTTGGTCGGAGTTCTGTCAATCGATACATGTCGAATGTTACTAGCCTACCCAACCAAGAAGTTGTGCATAAGACGTTCTGTTACACCGACTCTTGGGTACTAGCGATTGGCTTTTAGTCCCGTTTCACCATTGAGTGTAAGAAATGAGGGTGCCAACCCCCTCCTCGAATAACATCAAATTCTTCCCTCTCGTCCTCATTGTTCACCCCGAATACTACTGAACAAAAAATGGAAAGTCATTGAGAAAATGGTTCGATTTGAAGTTCAATTACTGAACAAATAATAAACTACACTCTTCAAAAAATAAGAAACGCATAGTTGAAAAATAAGGATATTTATTAAGCGGATGTAAAGATATCTACAGAGAATATGCGTGAACACAATCAGATGAAATTAGACACAGTGATCGACAAAAGCATTGTCGTCATTGTCAGCATTAATTCAGTTCAGTCATTGCACATGTGTAGCCACAAGGGGGCGTCATGGTCAGCACCTGGTCACACCACCTCTTGCAGCCGCCACTGCTCGACATCTTTGGCACAGTCGTCGGATTTTTTCGTGGGGAATTCTTCGCCTTTCCTACTGTAAGGCGTTGGCGAGTTGTGCCAGTGTGTGGGGGACACTGGTGACGTTGACGGACGCGTCGATCAAGTTCGTCCCACAAATGTTCAATCGGGTTAAGATCAGGCGATTTGCACGGCCATGAAAGGACATTGATGTTCTCATTGACAAGGAAATTAACTGTTGCACGTGCTATGTGGGGCCGAGCGTTGTCATGTTGGAACAACTCCCTCTGGCGGTCGAGGAGGAGGTGAGGACGCAGAATTTGGTCGATGTATCGGTTTGCTGTAAGATTGCCCTGGACAACCACTAACTGTGATCTACCCGTGTCGGATATGGCTCCACACACCATGACATTCCCTCCACCAAATCGGTCCACCTGTCGAACGCAGTTCGGCGCAAAACGTTAATGTCTACGTCGGTATACACGTTGTCTTCCATCCCGTCGTTGAAGAAGAAAACGTGACTCATCGCTGTACCAAACGCGTGCCATTTCCTGAGATCCCATGCCTGTACTCTGTTGCACCACCGGACACGTCGTTGACGGTGTAGACGTCGCAAGACAGGTCCAACTTTTGGTCGTTTCGCTCGAATTCCCACTTCCATCAGACGATTTCGGATGGTTTGGTCGGAAATTCTTCGCATACCAGGCACTTGTCCTGCAGTGTCGGTTGCTGTAGCAAATCGATTCCGAAGGTGATGCAAACGGATGTACCGATCCTGAGCGGGGTGGTCACTTTTGGTCTTCCACTTCTGGGATGATCTTAAGTCGAAATAGTGCGGGTATATCGATCCCATAGTCGAGATATGGTGCTTTGGTGAACGTTGAAGTGTCTAGCAACGGCAGACTGGGACTCCCCTGCTTCCAAACATCCAATTTCGGTCAGCTGCAGTTTATGTTGGCATTTTTCGATCTCCGTTCACGTTAGAAAATTCGCAATGAACTGATGAGTTTTGTACGGTCTTTTATAGTCAGTGTCTCTACTCTTGTTTCCAACATTTTGCACGTGCATTGTGCTGAAAACATTTTCTGAAGGCAATTTCCGTGCATCATTGCATTTTTGCTGATAAACGTTTACAAAAAATATTTTGATATGTGTTTGCGCCAAATGCACAAGAAACATGACATGATTAACGGGAATCCAACATAAGAATTGTCTTTATGACGATTGCTGGGGAAAAAATATCTAATTGAAATTCTCAAAACACCTATGGGTTTCTTTTTTTGAAGAGTGTATATGATGGAATTTTTTACGTACATCTATATTTTTTTATTAAAATGTTTTGGTACTGCGTACCAAACACGATTATCTGCGTACAGCATGCCACACTCCTGAGTTCCGAATACCCTCTGAATAGACCCCCGAATCCCGAGTACCAAAAGGGGGTTGGCAGCCTTAGATATAGGCTACCCGTTTCACAAGGCGTGCACCGTCTTCATAAATATTACGGAAGGCACGGCGTAGCGCCGCGGTCAGTTTGTTGAAAGGACCACATGCTTAACTGTTTTCCAACTGGGGTGCCTTGTGAGGCCTACCATTTGTGACGTCACAGTGCTTATGACATCACAGAGCGATCCCGCCCACACAGTGTGTCACAAATGATATGATGTCACCATCGAAGTAGGATGACGTCACTCATACATTTACGTCACAAAGAACAACGACATCGCGCCAATACAAACAGACAGGGTAGAGGTCCCCAATCAAACATGCCATCTCCTGCAGTCATGGCGCCTGTTGGCACCATGGTGGGGACACAAGTCCGCCAGGACTGGATGATGGATCCGACAAGACACCCACGGCGCATGTTCAGACATTCTTTGTCCCACATCAAAGATCTTTCGACTGATGTAAGTCATGCATGTTATCTGTAGTCATGGATACGAACTTTATGTTGCCAGATAGATGTATGCTGGGATTCTATTATTATTATTTTTTAATCGATCTATCTAAATAGGCGACATTTGTTCCATTTAGAGTACTGAATTCACATACATTCTTTTTCTCTCTGAAATATATTACCTATTTTTCTTCTCAAGAATCCACAACACGAATTCTAACACATATTGGGATATACCATTTATTAATAATCTCGGGGGCACGGGTGGCCCAGTCGTCTAACGCGTTCCTTGGGCACGCCAGAAACCTATGATTGTGGGTTCGAATCCCGGTTCGCCCCAATTATGTTTCTTAGTTTGTTAGCACCATACCAGTGTTCGTGTGTTTCACCGAAGTGGTAAACGTCTGAGACCTGCATCACCTCGGACTTTCCTCCCACATTAAGCTGACACGCCGCGGTATAACTGTAATACTCTTAAAAGCGGCGTTAAACCCAACTCACTCACTCACTATTAATAATCTCAGTATTTGAAAATGCAAAATTGCCTACCGGACGGTTTTGTTAAAGAAATCCTTTCAACTAAAAATGTTCTTTCCGGGTTACCATCAACATTAGTCTGACGTAGATTTCATACCACTGGCAGAATGCAGGATTCTACAATGTCATAGTAGGGTTGGAATTAAATTGGTCCAGTCTTATGTTGAGTTGCACCCAAGACCCGTGTACTGATGCTTGCTTCAGGAGCCGGGTATGTACAAGGTGTACTGTAGGATGTGTGAAATGAAACTGCCCCGCAAACCCGTAAAGGAGGTGACGAGCCCACCAGCGCCTAAAGAGAAGGTCGAATTCAAAAGTAAGACTTGTATTCCAGGACCCGCAGTAGCGCTACGGCTGCCATAAGCCGGTGTTTAAGTATGAGAGATACGCAATCGTCTTAGCACAACGAAGGCCTCAGATTTGCACATTTCATCGTACGTGTTACGTCCACAATGTTTGATGCTACTAATATAGATTCACGCTGCAGCATGACTATTTGAAAAATGTGACGATAAAACTCAAAATATGTAGAAACATGTACTCTTGCTTGATATCGTATGTTATAATATGGTTTATAAACATTGCAAATTGGACATTAACATTGAAAAATGTTCGTAAATAGAAGTTCCATAATGGCTTTCAAGAACCTTATCCCTGACATACATCGGGACTACATTTCAACAAACACGTATTAATTTCCGTTACTATTTATTTGTTTGTTGTTCAACGCCGCACTCAGCAATATTCCAGCTATATGACGGAGGTCTGTAAATATCGAGTCTAAAGAGGTCGAATTTAAAAGTATTCGAGGTGGGGTTGGCACCCTCATATCCACTGATTGACACCATGAGCATCGATCTACGCAATTGGGATACGATTACATGCATCAACCAAGTCAGCGAGTCTGACCACCCGATCACGTTAGTCACCTCTTACGACAAGCATACTCGCCTTTTACGACATGCATGGGCTGCTTATAGACCTATTCTCTTTGGTAAGTAAAAAATACATTTACTTTCGAAAGCCGTTGTGTGAGGAGGCAAGCCCCAACCACCCCACCCCCCACTCCCAACCCCTGTTAATGTAGCGAGGCAGTTAACATTGTGGCAGAAACACTTAAGGAAGGAGATTACCAAAATGTCGGAAAATATCCGGTAAACCGCAACCTAACACCTATTAAAAATCCCCGATCCGATTTAAAAAATGGCCGCCACGGCAGCCATAGTGGGTAAGTGGTGCCGTTTACATGTCAATTTTACAGCAATTTCTGTGTGTTTCGTGCTGTATGATACGCAGCAAGTTTATTTTACGTATTTCACTGGACCGCCGTTTCCTCTGAAACTTAACGGCTAATATGAAGCTTTGAATACATTATCTTAGAGACAGGGTCGTCATCACAACTTACACATGCATTCAAGACGAAATTTACCATGTTATTTGTACAGGTGTTTCAGTGTTCGTGATGCGATCATCATAACGCTTGATAGTTGCTGAACCATTAACACGATAAATAAAATCCTGTATATATTTGAACATGATTGTGCTTCTTTACATATGTGTTTTTAAATTATTTAGAATCTAACCCTCAGGTGAACGTCGTTGGCAGGGGAGGCCAAGTCGTCGAAGGCGCCGCAATTCGATGTGCAGAGTTGCGTCCCTTGGGTACACCACAAACCCCAGTTCGCCCCGACTATGTTTCTTGGTTCACGCATGGTAAACGCATAAGACCTGCATCACTTCGGGCTTTCCTCCCACATGAAGCTGACACGCCGTGATATAACTGGAAAACTGTTCAAAGCGGCTTAAAACCCAACTCACTCACTTACTCACTCGCTCAGGTGAACTCGCTTTTGACTTTGTTTATACAGAAAGAGAGAACCAGTAAATTATCACTTTTATGTTTAATTTGTGATGATGATGATGATTATTATACTGATTATTGCCAGTGCCGGCTGCCCCAAAGCTCCCCGCTCCCCTACTTCACGACCAGCTGAAGTGTCAGTGCTACCAGAAGTCTCTGAAGGTTCTCCGTGACATCCAGCACTCCACCACGCCCCTGGGTCGGGACAGAACCAGTTGTGTGCCTGACAAGTAAGATGCCCAGCAAGGGTTTAATTCTAGACAAACATCCAACTTCAGATATACCCATAATTCATCAGAACACTTGAGTAAGGGAAATCCTCTGAATAGTCTTGTTCTGAAGTGATGAAACCTAACAGTATAACCAGCATACATCGGGGAAATCAAACACGTTGCTAAACCTTCTGTGGAGAATGTAATATTCATTAAGATAAACTCCATTGAGGTGTGTGTGTGTGTGTGTGTGTGGGGGGGGGGGGGGGGGGAAGCTGTCAAATATTTGAGTCGACACCCTCCAATATCGCCTCCTGCATAAAAATCACATTCTACATGCCGTGGGAAGAATTCAAATTTAGGTGCGCTGAGATAAGGCTTACGTCGCGTTCAAGAGTGTTGCACTTATATAGCGATTGGCATTCACGTGTGTGTGTGTGTGTGTGTGTGTGTGTGTCTGTGTGCTTGTACTAGTACTAGTGTGTGTGTGTGTGTGTGTGTGTGTGATTGTACAAGCCCGGCCTAATGCCGGTTTTATTGAGATTGACTCCGAGGTCACCAGTCCTTGTTTTATTCCCATAATGCCGAGCGCCATCAGGATAACAACAAGTACCCTCTGTTAACATCTTCTGCTATGACCCCTGGCCTTCCGCTCTCCGGGCAGATGCTCTATCCACCATACCCATCCTATCTAATTGTACGTGGTGATCGCCTAAGATCTGCATTACTTGGGTCTTTTTTCCACATCAAGCTGACACACTATGATATAAACCAAATTCATTCATTCACCGCCTCCGTGGTCTAGTTGATAGAGCGTATGCTTGGTGAGCGAAAGGTCAGGGGTTCGACGCCCGGCCTCCTCATACCAAAAGACGTTAAAAAAATGGCACTTGTTGTTGCCCTGCCTGGCGCATTATGGAACTAAAACAAGGATATGTCTGCTAAGAGTCAGTATACTGTTTCTGAGTGGGATATTCATGTTAAACTGCGGCATGGTATCTCAGTAAGCTAGCACAATAAAACCGGCATTAGTCGAGACGAGTACAAACGGACACATACGCACACCTGCGCGTGTGTGCACGTCGCAAAATACGTGTAATAATCTTTAACGCGATGTAAACCCTATTTCATCTCACCTCCACCACGATGCTCATGATGTCAATCACTAGTCATGGCATCTTTTATCATAAGAACAAAACGTCTACATGTAGGACATATGTAGGATTGTACAGAATTTCACTCAAATATGTGCATGTTAAACAATGTGACCTGACAATGTGATCATGAATTCCGTGTCACTCATCTATGTTGTTATTGTCAGCAGCTTGGAAATCCCCGTGACGTCACTGGGTAACACCCCGCTTTTTCAATCTCTAACACAAATGAGTTCTCTGTCAGAGTTACGACAGGTATCGTAACTCTGAACGATCTGCGACAGGTTTACGATAGTTTCGAAAATCTATCTTATTTTAACCTTAAAATATCTTATCTTTGAACGTATGTTGTTAAGATTTATCTTAGCTAAGATCGTTTCGAAAATCTAGGCCCTGGTCCAGACGTGATTATTTACCGCCCGTCATATAGCTGGACTATTGCTGAGTGCGGCGTTAAACAACAAACAAAAACCTCCAGCACTGTTGCAGGTTGATGAACATGTTGTGGGGCAGCTATGTGTCGAATGAGCAGACGCAGCTCCCCCTCTCCACCCTGGTAGTGCGCTGGCAGCTCCGGCGTTACATCCCCAGTTACGACATGCGCGAGCTCCACGCCATCCTGTCCTGCTTCGGCAACATCACCACCATCTACAAACAGAGTCCCAACAGCGCCATGGTCATCTTCGACGACATCTCCTCCGCGTGCCGAGTGATGCAAACGAAACAACTGGGACAGCTCCGGAACAAGATCCATTGCAGCTGGTGGCATCGTCTAATGACCAACAAGAGCTTCTATGTCGCCAAGAGGGGCGTCAGTGTTAAAATGGACCGCTATCAAAAACTGTTGAATTAGTTGGATTTTTTGCGTTGTTTGTTGTTTTGTAGGAAACAGATATATAAATTATTCATTGCTGGGCATGGACACAACTCAATACTAATGTGGGGTAGCCTAGTGGTTAAAGCGTTGGCTCGTCGCGCCGAAGACCCGGGTTCGACGCTCCTAATGGTGTGAGGACCATTTTCCAGTGTCTCCTGTCGTCATATTGCTGGAATATTGCTTAATGTGGCGCAAAACCATACTCACTCACTCACTCTTATTTATGTTGATAATTTGTGGCCCTGGTCCCGTTCGTCAAAGCGATCTTTGCGCTAGTACAGCCGTAAGTCTAAGTTAAGGTCGTCTTAGTGCTGCGATCGCTTTGTAGAACAGGGCTCTGGTTTTAACCAAAACGTCATCCTTTGGGCGATACACGCTCGTGGACGTATGCTTCAATCTCAATAACATCAGATTTTTACTCCGATGCAGTACGTCTCTCCTTTCAAGGAGAAAAAGATCTGATTTTAATGAGATTGTGTGTACATTAACACGAAAAGATGTCCCCACGTTTGTTGTTGTTTGGTGTGTGTGTGTGTGTGTGTGTGTGTGTGTGTGTGTGTGGTTAATAGTAGTTGTGCATCCATTGGTCTAGTATGAAGGTCAGAAGTGTCTGATGATCAACTGATGACGGTTCATTCGCATCTGATGATGGCTTTTTAAATCGTGACCTTTAACCGTTACGGTAGATGGATTCTAATTTACCATGTTACGGTGGTGAGGTTGTAATTTACCATGTTACGGTAGATGGATTCTAATTTTTCATCTGTGATATTCTAGTAATTTTACTGTCCTTTGTCGACAGATTTTAATGTCTATCTTTATGTATTATTAATGTACAACTTGATTTAGTCACGATATGGCTGAAATATTGCCGATGTGACTTTAAATCCTAACTCACTCACTCACTAACTTATTTTTCATGTTACGGCAGTAGGGTTGTAATTTACCATGTTATGATAGTAGGGTTGAAATTTACCATGTTACGGTAGTAGGGTTGTAATTTACCATGTGACGGCAGTGGGATTGTAATTTACCACGTTACGGTAGTTGGATTGTAATTTACAACGTTACAGTACTGAAGTTGTAATTTACCATGTGACGGCAGTAGGATTGTAATTTACTATGTTACAATAGTGAGATTGTAATTTACCATGTTACGGTAGTAGGGTTTTAATTTACCATGTTACGGCAGTAGGGTTGTAATTTACCATGTTATGATAGTAGGGTTGTAATTTACCATGTTACGGTAGATGGGTTGTAATTTACCATGTTACGGTAGATGGTTGAAATTTACCGTGTTACGGTAGTAGGGTTCTAATTTACCACGTTACGGTCGTCGGATTGTAATTTATCACGTTACGGTACTGAAGTTGTAATTTACCATGTAACAGTAGTAGGATTGTAATTTACCATGTTACATTATTTGGGACACTATTAGGCGCTATTCTTCAACAACACGATATTTTAAAACTGTTTTGGAAAGATTTGATCATTGGAGATAGAGAACCTACCCATTGAAGGTGACAAGATAATAAGTTTGCAATTATTTGATTAATATGCCCAGCTTGGAAAAAGAGATTAAGTGAAAAGTGAAGGTTAAAAGAGATAAGGTTCAGTGTTTATAACATATTTAACGATATATAACAGGATAATGCTAAAATATAGAAAATCATAGAAAAGCAATTCGGCGGTGTTTATTCAATATCCTTGATTTTTTCACGTTTCTGCTCATGTCCAATAAGTTTACGTGTATACTTTAGAAACATCACTGGAATATACACACAACATTGTTTTCGATTCTGTTGTCTTTTTTCATGAGAACGTACATGTTTATTTGTTCTACTCTGCTATCATGTATTGTGTTTATTAATATTCCATTGTATAAATCGGAGTAAGAAGTCAACTGCATAATAAAATGATTAATGGACACGTCACGTTTTTGTATGTCCCTAATTGTATAAAAGCACTGGATGAAGATGTTTTCTTGTTGAAACAGAAATATCAGTCAGTCAGTCTGTCAGTGATGACAAAGAAAGTGCCAAGGCATTGTTGCCTTGTACATTCAAAGTGAGCTGGAAGTCTTGGGCCATCATGTGAGGAAAGTGTGACTATTCTTTATCAGTGTTGGTTGGTTGGTTTGGTGTTTAACGCCGCACTCAGCAATATTCCAGCTATATGACGGCGGTATGTAAATAATCGAGTCTGGACCAGACAATCGAGTGATTGACATCATGAGCATCGATCCACACAATTGGGATACGATGACATGCATCAACCAAGTCAGCGAGCCTGACCACCCGATCCCGTTAGTCGCCTCTTACGACAAGCATAGTCGCCTTTTGCGGCAAGCATGGGTTGCTGAAGACCTATTCTACCCCGAATCTTCACGGGTCTCATTATCAGTGAGTGATTGAGAAGGCTAAATGTAACAAATGAATTGTACATGCCAAGCTAGATATGCTTTCAGCTTATATTAATCAATTCATTTACTTAACTAAAAATCTGCCAGTTTTTAATATGAAGTTTTTAATAGAATCTAAACTTTGGATTTGATCTGCTTTACTCAAATATGAATTTCCGTATAGCATTGTTTGTTAAGAGTAAGCATGTTGGAATAAATACATTTCATTTCGAAGAACATAGTAATTTGTACACACACAAAAAGAGTGTAAAGCATCTTCGGTATAATATCCACAGAAACAAATTTTAGTATCCACAATATGTATTTTATACTGATCTGTGTTAAGATCGCTGCAGTCAAGCCTGTGGGGCCTGTTTACATAATTTAAATCTCAGTGTATAGCATTATCTCCCCTTCCATGTGTAACGGTCTCTGCCCCGTTAGGTTTTCTGGTAGTGTATTCCAAAGTTGTAGCTGGTATAAATGAATCTGTATATCTTTTTGTTTTACACTTCACTGTTTGAAGATTAGCTTTATCCCTTAAGTTATAATTTGTGCTTTCGGAAACTGTATTAGAAATAAACCTACAAAGATATTCAGGTGAGAGATGATTATTCATTTTGTGAGTGAGTGAGTGAGTGAAAGAGTGAGTGAGTGAGTGAGTGAGTGAGTGAGTTGGGTTTAACGCCGCTTTAAACAGTTATATCCCGGTGTGTCAGCTTAATGTGGGAGGAAAGCCCAAAGTGATGCAGGTCTCAGACGTTTATCATTTCGGTGGAACCCACGAGCACGGATATAGTGATGATAAACCTAGAAACATAATCGGGGCGAACCGGGATTCGAACCCACAATCATAGGTTTCTGCAAGCCCAAGGGACGCAACTCTGCACAGCGAATCGCGGCGCCTTCGACGACTTTGCCACCCCTGCCCCAGTTATCTAACTGTCCGAGGAGACAACTCGGTCGTTTTTTCCTTATGGGTTTCTAACAATCTCGTTAAAATCAGATCTCAGTTCTCGCTATCGCTACACAAGATCGGGTTTCTAATGACAGACCCTATTGCTATTTTCATGTAGGCGGATCCATAAATAAAGAAACCAAACCATTAATCGCTTTATTGAGTCTGAATCAGTGGGCTGAGAGCATGTTTTGTTTGTTTATTTGTTGTTTAACGCCGCACTCAGCAATATTCCAGCTACATGACGGAGGTCGGTAAATAGTTGAGTCTGGACCAGACAATCCAGTGATTGACATCATGAGCATCAACCAAGTCATCACCCGATCCTGTAGTGGCCTCTTACGACAAGCATAGTCGCCTTTTACAGCAAGCATGGGTTGCTGAAGACCTATTCTACCCCGAATCTTCACGGGTCTCATTATCAGTGAGTGATAGAGAAAGGAAGTGGAATGGGGCAAATTGTTGCATGTCTCACACGTTTACTACTTTGGTGAGACCGGCTCGGCAATGTTCCGCATCTTTATTCAAACATATAAAGTCAGAATGAATACAAATATTAGTCATTTATAGTGTAACCATAAAGTTCTAGATATTTTTTGTCATTAAACAGTATATCACGTGATTAATCACGGGTTCGGGTAGCTCGGTGGGTACCCGGGTACCCGACCCCAGTACCCGAGTTACCCGTCCCAGCCCTACGACAAACCTGGAAACATGATAGGGGTGAACCGGATTTCGGCCCCAAAAGTTTCTGGCGTACCCATAAAGTACTGTATAAATATCAAATCCTTTTTATGTAATATGACAAATTGCTTCTAGTTTGATCATAATTGTAACAAAGTAGTGTAGCGGGTCTACATAGTGGTGACCACAGGAACAACCAGGGCTGTCAGTTATGAATCTGTTGAATTCATGACCATTTACAGCGTGAGCACAAGGGCCTTGCTCTTGAACATCTGTGTTCCAAGTAGTGGGGTGGTATGCCACACACATAACGTACAGTACACCGACAGATAAAACATATGTTTATTTTTCAATTCTACAAACTGTACAGATTAGTATAAAATAATCAATCAATTGTAAAATCAAGAGCACTACATTTTACTTTGAGCATTACAAAGATGAATGCAACTACAAAACATGTTTGAACCAATTTCTAAAGTTTTCATAAAAACTAAACTTCTGTCAGCCATTTTTTTCACCACTTTTCATCATTCATAAAAAAATCCATTATTTTTGGGCACGGATGGAATGTTATGATGGTTCTTACATTATGTACAGATATAGCAATGGCAGATAAACTGTCCAACTAGAAAATACTATGAATATCCGGACAAAACAAATTTCTGAGACAGAAAGAGTGAGTATAACCATCAGGTTTTCATGGGATCTAATTCAGAACAAGTCGCTCGTATGATAGTATACGAGGTGTGACACAGTGAGAACAGTCATCATGACTGCCCAGACATATTTCTCCAGTACCTATTGTTCTGTGATCTCAATATTCTTGCACTGATGTGGCCAATGGATAGCAATTAAAGCACAATATGGTGCTAATGGTTTTCATGAATGAAAAACAATAATATCTTGAATAATATCAGTACAGCTATTTTGTACATAAAATGTAAATGTGCCTTTTTTTCCTGAGGACATAGTTACATAGTTTTGTATTTTTACTTTTTATCACAAATTTTAAAATATCAACATAATATTAAATAGTGATGGCACTAAAAGTTGTAAAAATATATACAATGTTAATTTGTATGTACATGTGCAGTTTTGTGTGGTTTATTTGATATTGACGAATGTTGGTGCTGTTGCCACGCCGCAGTTGTTGTCTTTCTGAGCCATGAGGACATAGCCGTCGTTCCCCCAGTACGTGGACCACGAGTTCTTGATGAGCCAGTAGGCCTGGTTGTTCATCACACCATAACCCACAGCCAGGACAGAGTGATCCAGGGAATCAGGGTCGCTGCCTGCAAACACCAATACCATTAATAAGAACCTAATAATCTATTTTATATAGTGCCGAGTTCTAGCTAGGCTGTTCACAGACGCTTTAAATTATTATTACCCCGATCAATGGGGTAAATCTCAGCTCCCTGGGGATCATACAACCCATGTTGCATGTGAGGCGCTAGAAGGTAGGCCATCTCCTCCTACTGGGCAAGGGCGGGTCCAGCATTTTTAAAAGGGAGGGGTCCAAAATATCAAAATCCTCTCTCAGATAATTTACCGCCTACAACATACTACATTTGCTTTTCAAAAATGGGGGAGGGGGGACCCGGGTCCACTGGATCTGCCTATGCTGGGTACCCATTCACTGCTAGGGGAACAGACACATGTTTTGAACAAAGTAACATGCCTATGGGAGAGATTACTGGGTATGAATACTGTCCTAAGCATCGTGTTCCAAGTGTGGCTAAACTTGCATTCAGCATGTGATTTGAATAACACATCTCCCATACATTGCTTTGATAAATGGTTATGTGAAAATATGTTATGTTACCTAAACATGCTAAATAATTATCAAATTGATTTTTGTGGCATGTTTTTTTGATATGGTAATTAGGATACAACCAAGAGAAATTGGTCCCTTTTCTACCCAGGAATCCCCTTTAAAGATACAAGCATGAGTAAGGAGGATCTATTCTAAGCAGGAAACCTCAATGATAAATGAGGACCTATTCTACCCAGGAATCCACATTAGGGTACAAGCAGGAGTAATGAGGACCTGTTCTTCACATGAACCCCCTTTAAGGGTACAAGCATATGTAATGAGGACCTGTTCTACACATGAACACCCTTTAAGGGTACAAGCATATGTAATGAGGACCTGTTCTACACATGAACCCCCTTTAAGGGTACAAGCATATGTAATGAGGACCTGTTCTACACATGAACCCCATTTAAGGGTACAAGAAGGAGTAATGAGGACCTGTTCTACACATGAACCCCCTTTAAGGGTACAAGCATATGTAATGAGGACCTGTTCTACACATGAACCCCATTTAAGGGTACAAGAAGGAGTAATGAGGACCTGTTCTACACATGAACCCCATTTAAGGGTACAAGCATATGTAATGAGGACCTGTTCTACACATGAACCCCATTTAAGGGTACATGAAGGAGTAATGAGGATCTATCCTGGACACAAGGGGATGGACAAATGATAAAACTTACCACAAGCAGGTTCATAATAGACTCCATTAGCGTAGAAAGACAGGGACTTGTGGGAGGCATCAATGCTGACAGAGACTGGACCTTCATTGGCAATGGCCACTCTCAGTGCTTCTTGATCATAAGGTGTGACATTGACGTAGCCGGACAGCTGGACAACAGGTGACACTTTAGTGCCATGGCAGGTTCCATCGGCACCGAGGTAGGGGCCGTACTGCTCCTCCGAGGTGAGACCCCCTGTCTTCATGATGTACATGTAGGACCGGAAGTCCTCGCCCCCATCACAGGCATTGTTGCCCTCCCCCCAGGAACAGTCCATCAGCTCTTGCTGGGAAAGGCGCACCAGGTTGCCAGTCTGTGGGGACAGAGAAGGGGGTGAGTCACTGATAGAAGAAAAACAAGGGAGTCCTTGATGTGTATTTTGTCAGTATTTAGTTGAGTGGGTGGGTTGGTGGGTTTGAGTGAGTGAGTGAGTGAGTGAGTGAGTGAGTGAGTGAGTGAGTGAGTGAGTGAGTGAGTGAGTGAGTGAGTGAGTGAGTGAGTGAGTGAGTGAGTGAGGTTACCCTCTGTTTAGTTTTATTCCAAAGTACCACAATGGGGGACATCAAGAATGGTACATGTAGAGAACTGAAAATGCTTAGTGATGAGTCTGCCGCATAACAAGCCAACGCATGGACCAGGGAACACAAACAATCTTCAGTTCTTACATTAGGTTTGGATCAAGGACTCTTTCTGTTCCTTCATAATACCCGACCCGTGAAGATTCCGGGGTAGAATAGGTCTTCAGCAACCCATGCTTGCCGTAAAAGGTGACTATGCTTGTCGTAAAAGGCGACTAATGGGATCGGGTGGTCAGACTCGCTGACTTGGTTGATGCATGTCATCGATCCCCATTGCGTGGATCGATGCTCATGATATTAATCACTGGATTGTCTGGTCCAGACTCGATTATTTACAGACCGCCGTCATATAGCTGGAATATTGCTGAGTGCGGTGTTAAACAACAAACAAACCAACCAATCATAATACCCAACATTGAAAAGAAAGAGTTTCTACACATAGATAGATCACATGTCTGTGCTTGCACTAGTCCGGACTAATGCCGGTTTTACAGTTGCCACAAAATAAGATAGATACCCCACACAGACAGAGCAAGTATACTGACTCCGAGCAGACCTTCTTTGTTTTATCCCTTTAATGCCGAGCACCTTGCAGCGTAACAAGCACCATATTTTAACATTTGTATTGCAAAATAATGCTATACAGTGTTTGCATTGAATGAAATTCCAACTTGTCTGCTGACATTGTTGTGTTTGATTATCTAATGCCTAAATACCCAGAAAAACGTAATTTGATTTCTGTGGCCATTTTTCTCAATATTACAAAAAATTGAATATTAGTTGGCAATGACACACATGAGGTACTGGGAGACTTTTTTTTGCCCGTGTCTATACGAGTAGGCAAGTGAGGAAGTGAGGCAAGTGTTTCAGCAACACTGCAGTCAACTCAAAACAGGAAACACCAATGCAGGGTGTAACAGGATTATCATATGGGCTATTCAAGTTTTCTTGACATATTTTCCTTGTGAAAATCATGTTTCACAAAAAAATATTCTAAACTAGTTGACATCAGACAGGATCATTCTCATCACGTCAAAGGACAGATGTTCAAAATGTTTGGTCGTGTAAAAAGGAACTGAAGATGCACTGATTTGTAGTTTTCAAACTGATTATCTCCCCTTGACCATGGCTGAACCATCTCACAGTGCCCCTCACCTTCAGAAAGTTGGCACCTTCGATGGTGCCAGTTGTACCAAAACTCCAGCAGGAACCACAGACAGCCTGGTCTTTGACTGGAGTAACAGCACCTGAAGACAGAAGATGTTACATCATCATGTCAATAGTTCAACTGTGACCAGGTCGGTGGAGGTCATGCATCAAAACCTTTTGTTTGCAGATGGTAAATCTCACACTCCGTCGCAGTGGTGACTCAGCATAACACCACTGCCACAGGCTAATTTGCATATCACGTGACCGGACTTTTCTCTTGTTTGTAAACAAAAACGCTTTTTCAGAAATCAGTATAGAACGGACTAATGCAAGTATTTGGGGGCGCTTTACATATTGTTTTGCATAACTATATAGATATGCTACTACAACTGCGACAGTGAGTTGCATGACAATATATATTTATGCATCAAAGTGACAGTGTTGCTAGCTCTCCGTTGGGCTTCGATGACAGCACGTGGAGCCGTACAACTAATGTAAACATAGGATAACTACGCAAAAACAAGTAGATTTTTACGTATTTGCATACTTTCTCAATGAAAGTTAACCATTCTTTGACATTTGTTTATGAAAATGTGTAGACTTGTCAAACATGAAACGGATGAAAAGCATATGCAATATCTTGAATGGACTGTGAAAGATGTGACGAATCGTCACATGGCGCTGGCCTGTGGCAGAGGTACTATGCTAGCTGGCTGCCGGCCGCATGGAACTCTGGGTAGGAGAGTGGGTAAATCTGTGGGACTTATATATGAAACATATGTCTCTACACCTACAATGATATTCAGTTCTTCACCTTTAGTAAAACTCTCCAACAGTCATCAAAAATTGTACCAAAGTCTTAATTTTCATTCTTTTTTGTCTTAATCCTGTTTCAACATCTCTTTATGTCACCATATTTCTACATATATTTCCCCTAGCAACTACCTTTATTCTTATGTTCTGACAGTTACATAAATATATGTGAGACACCAAACGGTTAAGAATTACTTCACCTAGCTTGACTAAATCTTAGTCCATATATCGTCGAATTGGTCTTAGGTCTGTGTCATATTTTTCTGAACCCCATCCCCAATTTTTCATGCCCCCCTATAATAAAAACCTGACCCTAACTAATGTGTTAAAATTTATAACTTTTTATTTGGAAAAAATAGAAGTGCGTCACACCAAGCCCCCCGCCCACATATTATAGCTTCAGTGTCATTTTCTCATGATCCCAAAATTAACAGTCCCTAAGAACAGCCAAAAAAGACCATTTACACTCCCAATATTCTCAGGTTCATGTCAAATTACAGATATAAACAAAAAATAACACAACATTGGCAAATACTTTGCATTCATTATATGCATGATAAAAACCTGGAATACATGTAAGCATTGTTTGCTATATATTTATCTGTAATAAACGCCATTTTAAAAACATAATATCCTGTATTTTTTTCTCATGAAACACATTTGTATTTGTTCATATCTGTACAGGTGGTGAGGTGGAAATGGGTTTAATCGTCACGTCCAAGATTGTTGCCCTTACATAGTGAGGTGCATGCATAGGTGTGTGTGTGGCTGCTTGTACTTGTCCCGACTGATGCTGCTTAATAGTGCTAGCACATTGAGACACCATGCCGCAGTTTAACATGAATACCCAACTCAGACACAGTAAACTGACTCCGAGCTGACCAGTCCCTGTTTTAGCCCCTTAATGCCGAGCGCCAGACAGGGTAAAAACAAGTACCATCTTTTAACATCTTTTGGTATGACATGTCTTGGGATCAAACCCTGGACCTTACGCACTCCGGGCGGATGCTCTACCTCTAGACCACGGAGGTGATCCTCATATATTTTAAAGCCACAGCCATAGTGAAATACAGGAAGCAAAATCGTTTATCAAATGGCATGTTTCGTAACAGTTATTTGACCACCCTTTCAAATGTTTCCCCTTCTTCTTTGCGTCATGTGGTGACTCAGTACTTATAAATCTTTCCAACTTCTTACCAAACAGCCTCCAGTCCACCTGGTCGGGGACGTCCTTCAAGTTGTACTTGGTCTTGTCGAAGGGCAAGCCTCCGTGGTTGCCGGGGGTGTAGTGGTAGCCGTTCATCAGCTTCATCTCTTCATCGGTGCGATCGGCCATGTGGTTGACAGACAGGTGGTAGCTCAGGTTGTTTCGGTTCTTGGAGTAGATGAATCTGTAGACAGAGTGCGGCATGTACTGTTGTTCTCTTGCCATAACTTGAATTTATCAACACTTCTTGCTGTTAGGGTGTGATGAAAGTTTACATATTTCTGATCAATTACAACAGATTAAGTTTGGTCAGCCCATTTGAAAAACATGATCGGTTCAGTCTTTTTAAACATTTCAGATTGTTCTTCTCCCCTTTCCCTCTTCAGAGGCACCTATGGCCGAGTTGTCTTTAGTGCCGTATGTGGACTTTCATTCCATGACCCACATTAACCTGGCTCATCATGATATAAATTAATCACTGCTCAAAGCAGCGTTGAAACCAAGCTCACTCCTCACATTCTCTCCAAAACTTTAAGAATTAAAGTGATGAAATAAGTAACACATAAACTCATGTCTAAAGCAGCCCACCCACCTGACATTTTGTCTGAAGATATGTGTTCTCTGTGCATGTTCCTTGTCAGACACGTAGCTCCTCTTGTGCGTCTTCTTAAAGGTGTCAAACAGTAGATTTGTATGGCTGTCATCGTGGTGGATAAACTCCCTCATTGGGTTCATGTTGAGGTGATGACTAACTCCAGGCCCGGGGAACCCACCACAGGACAGATCTGCAGGGGAAGTGAAGCAGATACAGGACTTTACAATGAAGACTTTGTCAGCGGATAATTAGAATTGTTTGTTTGTTTGTTGTTTAACGCCGCACTCAGCAGTATTCCACCTATATGAAGGCGGTCTGTAAATAATCGAGTCTGGACCAGACAATCCAATGATTGACATCATGAGCATTGATCCACGCTATTGAGACACGATGACATGCATGAACCAAGTCAGCAAGCCTGACCACCTGATCCCGTTAGTCACCTCTTACAAGAAGCATAGTTGCCTTTTACAACAAGCATGGGTCGCTGAAGACCTATTCTACCCCGGATCTTTATGGGTACAGTTAGAGCGAGCAAGTATGGGTTACGCCGCTTTTAGCAATATTCAAGCAATATCACGGAGGGGGACACCGGAAATGGGCTTCACATATTGTACCCATGTCGGGAATCGAACCCGGGTCTTCTGTGTGATGAGTGGGTACAATATGAAATGCGAGAAGCCTGTTAAAAGTGTCTTCATATTTCTCATTGCCATGTCCCCTTCACACATGCCATCACATGGGTTACCATGGTTACAGGAGTGAGTGAGAAAGTGGATGTTGTGGCCAGAAGCCCATTATAAGTGTCTTCATATGTCTCATTGCCACGTCCCTCCTACACATGCCATCTCAAGGGTAACCATGGTTACGGGAATGAGCGGATGCTGTTTTAAGTTGTCAGCAATAATTCACCCATTTAATTACAACCTTTGAATAATCCAGTTTGGATCAGACAGAGCAGGTATACAGCAGGACCACCAATACTTGCTGTCTGGATGATGACCCACAACAAGCCAGGTTACCAACATGGGGGTGAGTTTGGTTTAACATGTTTAACATTGATCTGAACAGTATTCCAGGAATATCATGGCATGTCAGTTTGCTTTGGAAGGGAAACCTGACGCGATGCAGGTCTCAGATGTTTACCACTTCAGTGTAATCCGTGAGCACTGGTATGGTTCTGGATTTGAACCCATAATCATAGTGAGTGAGTGAGTATCGCTTTACGCCGCTTTTAGCAATATTCCAGCAATATCCCCGCGAGGATACCAGAAATGGGCTTCACACATTGTACCCATGTCGGGAATCGAACCCGGGTCTTCGGCGTGACGAGCGAACGCTTTAACCACTAGGCTACCCGACCGCCCCCATAATCATAGCTAACAGATGCAACTCCACGCAGACACCTTAGTAGTAGCTCCCTAGACGACTGGGCCACCGGAGTAGTGGCTCCCTAGACGACTGGGCCACCTGTACCCACTGCTAATATGTACCCATCACGCAAGACCAAGATATTTAGCTTGACAATCTTCAAATGATCTAATGGTTACCCCAAGCCTTCAAACAATGTGAAATAATACAAAAGAAATGGAAAATTTGGTTTGCAATATCCTACATTAAAAATGTGCGCATGCAGATTGATAATATGTTATATCCTATTTGTGAAACAGTTAATGAACATTGAAGTACTCAACATCATCCAAAAGGTGAGTTGAGTTTTATGTCGCTTTGAACAGTATTCCAGTTACCGTATTCGACGTAATAAGCGCCCAGGGCGCTCTCAAAATTAGAAACATGAAGCTCTTATATTATTTCGGTAGAAAAAACAGTGTTGAAAAATAAATTTCATGGTTTATGCTGACAGCCTGAAATGTTTATATAGAACATATATATTTTTCCAGAATTTAATTGCCTATAATTAAGGATGCATATGACACATGAGTGTGTATTATAAGCGAATAAATAAGTCTTGTGTATATTGATCTATCCGAAGGGGTGCTAATTGGGATTGTTCACTAGCCAGTATATTAGCAAATATCGCCATGGGCGCTTATTAGAGCGGGGCGCTTAGTACGTCAAATATGGTATATCATGTTATATCATCATGATCATGGCATGTCAACTTCATTTGCGATGTAGGTCTCAGATGTTTACCACTTTGGTGAAACCCATGCACTAATATGGCACTGACAAACCTAGAAACATAATTGGGGTGAACCATGATTCGAACCCACGACCATAGGTTTCTGGCATGCCCAGGGGAAGCAACTCTGCACAGCAAATTGCAGCATCTTTGACGACCGTGTGGCGTAAGAGTAACTGATGTGCCTTATTCAAGTTCCCCTTATATCAAACTTACTCTTTGGTGTCTCGAACGTAGTCTCCTGTATAGCCATTCCACCTTTGTAAGATTCATAGTCGAGGGAATATTTATCATAATGAGACCCCAGCAGAGTGTCATATCCCATCATTTCATATCTAACAGGGTATTTTGATTTGCTGTCGGTGTACATCACATACACATTCTCCTTTGTGCCGACAACAGTTCGCTTCATCCACAGGTCAACCTGTACACCGCTCAGCATTTTAGTTTCGGAGAACTGAAAGAAAACAACGTCAAAAGTTACAGGCTGAAAGGACAGACAACTTGTTCTCATGCAATGTCAAATCGGTTTGAGCTGTGACTTTCTCTTTTCAGAGTAAACGGTGTATTTCTCATGGGTTTGTGAGTAAATGTGTTTCAAGCCATATTACCATGGTTACAGCTAAAATAAAATACCAATAAAAAAAATGATGACAGCTGTCGTACTCGTTGTAATAAGGACTGTGCTCCATCAAGTGCCTCCTTACAAACATCTAGACCCATGTAGCCTCTACAAAGACTGAAAATGTGTGCAACAGTCAATATTTTTGTGTGCATATAACCAACTTATTACAAACAACTGCAGTGCAGATGGGGTATAGAAATGCCTTGTAACTATTACCGAAAAACTTTTGTGTCACCAACGTCAAAAACCAAACATAATTCATTGTGTGTGGTTATAAGCTAACAATCACCACTCCTTGTCAATTTTTTAAGCTCCCATGGCACTTACTACAGGGAATATGGTACATAACATTGATTCATAATGATCAAATCTAGGCAAGGCAGTTGTCTATAGAAACGTCCCCCACTTTCAGGTATTATTAAACAGCCATGAAACCATCCAATCCTCACTTTAGTCGTCCCTTTGACACAAACACAGGGCAACAATAGGGCATAGGGCAACAGGGTCTGGCTACATAACAGTAAACATAATTTGCGACAACATCTGTTTAAGATATCTGTTGGCTCCTAAAAACTTAAGTTTGGCTCCTCAAATATTCATGTTAGGAGCCGCTTGGCTCCCTAACACATAACAAATTTAGACTAGAGGGCTGTTTATTTTGAATCGGACACCTTGCTTGAAGAGACACGTGGGAATCAATTCAGAAAGCGTTTATATTTCTATGTCAGAACATAAAAGGTAAAAATGGTAAACACGGTAAAGGTAGCAGTGTCCTTTATCATGTCTATTGTAACTTCTAAGTCGAGTACACCACTGAACAGTGCCAAATAAATAGTAAAAATGTTAATCTTGTACAAACATAGGAACAGTGTTAATCGTCCAGCAGCAATGTGGGTAAATGGTAAACTTGTCAGGGGTGGCTTTGTGTGGGTTTACCTTGAATCCTGTGAGATCTGGCAGAATTGACTGTATTGTAGTGACAGTGTCATTGGTGCCATTAGTCTGGAAGCACATCTCTGTATTTACAGTGTAGTTGGACATTGGCGCCAGCTTGTAAGTAATGCCATACTTTCCCACATCAGCTCTCAGGATTGTGACAACACTACCTGAAATAGGGACAAGAAGTAGGGCTGGCTAAAAAAACATCAATAATTGGAATTATTGTCGATGGAAAGAAATATTAACGATAATCGATACGAAAATTGTCATTGATAATATCTAACATAAACTGTTGTGATGAAATTAACATTTTAGGTTACCTAAGCAGATTTGTTTTTGTCCATTGCCAAAGACGGAAACCAACTGATTTTGTTATACCTTAAATGTCCACAAAGTAATCCATGGGTATTATGCCATCTTTAGCAGTTTTCAAGCAATATAACGGTGGTGGTCATCAGAAATGGGCTTCACACACTGTACCCATGTGGGGAATCAAACTCAAGCCTTCAGTGTGACAGGCAAACACATTAACCACTTAGCTACCCCACCACCCTAGCTCTGACTTAGAAATCAGGGTGCAACTGTGGTAAATATTGCATTATGATATTAACAGGTTGGTATGCAATAACAAAGAATTATTCTGAATTTGTGCTCAACTTATAGTACATTTTGCATATCTAGTGTCTATCATAATATGACATATGACCTAATATTGACCTGTTTTTACAATGACGTTATCACTGAATCACCAACAGTATTTGTTTTCTGGCACTAAGTGCACTATTATAAGCATGTATACCCCATGAAGATCCGGGGTAGAATAGGTCTTCAGCAACCTATTCTTCACGCAAAAGACTTGGTTGTCATTGTATAACAATTGCGTGGATCGATGCTCATGATGTCAATCACTGGATTATCTGGTTCAGACTTGAGCTGGAATATTGCTGAGTCCAGCGTTAAACAACAAACAAACCCCTAGATTGACACCAAATCCAGCACACAATTCCATCATTAAGGTTTGTTTGGTTTGTTTGGTTTGTTGTTTTACGCCGCACTCAACAATATTCCAGCTATATGACGGAGGTCTGTAAATAATCAAGTCTGGACCAGACAATCCAGTGATTAATGTCATGAGCATCGATCCACGCCATTGGGATCCATGACATGCATCAACGAAGTCAGCGAGCCTGACCACCCGATCCCGTTAGTTGCCTTTTACGACAAGCATAGTCACCTTTTACGGCAAGCTTGGGTTGCTGAGGACCTATTCTACCCCCGGAATCTTCACGGGTCCATCATTAAGGACTGAATGAATGTTGTTTTAGGCTGTGGTCAGCCACTCTATAGTGGTATCACTAAAGCCTGTGAACAAGCCTGGATACCACAAACTAGTGGCTGACGTCATGAGCAACAACCCACCCTGTCCAGGTGTGATGCCAAATAAATAGCAAGGGCTAAAACTTTAACTACCTGAGCCATTGTCCCTGTGCACTTTAGATAATCATTAACTGTAAGATAACTACAGTCAAGTCTCGTTAATCCGACATCGTTGGTTGCACATGATTATGTCGGATTAACGAGTATGTCGGATTAACGAAATTAAGTGATTTGTGAGCGAAAATCGGACATCTTCACGATAGATAATAACCGTGTGTACCTTGTAATAAAATCATTAAAAACGAAATATTTTTATTGTTATGTTGTTTATTCATTCATTCCTTAATTTATAATTAATGACATTGCAATAATAATAATAATTTTCCTATTTATACGTAACAATAGAGACATTACTCACTGAATATATCACATCAACCACACACGTTTCCTCGTGTAAATGCAAGTGCTACTGTCTTAACAACTTGCTTCATCTACTTAAAATAGTCTGTCAGTGTTTTCTGTTTCTCACATTTTGAAGGCACATTTCTCAAAGTCCCCTGTTCGCTTGACGTCTAGGGCTTGTGGTTCTTCAGCATCAGCATTGTCGAGGTGTAATTTCATTTGCTGTTTCTTATAATAAAGCTTGAAATTTTTTATGATCCCGGCATCTAGTGGCTGAATGTGCGATGTGGTGTTTGGTGGCAAAAAGTGACATTTCACATTAGTTGTGTCGACAGTAGCATGGGATGGGGCGTTGTCCAACAGCAATACCACGTGGCGTCGCTCCAATCGCATTTGCCGATCCAAGATCAGTAGCCAGGCTTTGAATATTAATGAAGTCATCCATGCTTTCTTGTTTACATACCAGTCGACCATGTTTTATATACCTGTTCTTATTTTAAACTGGCTAGAATGCACATTTATCTGGTTTCAATCTGTAAACTACATTTGTATAGCTTTGTACATACAGGTTTGAATAGCTTTTCCTGTTAATTGTTAAAGTTAATCTCTGCAGCCAGTGCGTGTCAAAACACGGGGTTGTGTACTCGCGGGCAGATGACCACGGAGTACGCTGACCACTGTGTCGGATTAACGAGACTGATTAATGAGCGATTTCGGTAATTCGTTGCAAATTAGGTTTGTCGGAGTCGGAGTGAGAGAATGTCGGATTAACGGGACTAAATAGCACTGAATCAATCGGTTCCCATCATTTGTGTCGGATAAAGCCGAGTGTCGGATTAACGAGTGTCGGATTAACGAGACTTGACTGTATATACTATATGTATTCAACACAAGTTAACGAACACCCACAATAGGAAGGCTGTGTGTTGCAATATACGTCAGCCCTGATTAACTATAGTCATGTGAAAAAATGGGTGTCCCTTAACTTTTTTTGAGTATTTATTTGTATATATCATAAAGATTGAGTTAGGAAACAAACAAAGTAGAGTTTGAATGACTTGAAAGCCAAACACAGAACTTGAGCATCTTATCATTAACACATTTCCCACAGAAGAAGCTTTCTCAGATAAATTTTCAACAAATAGCCTTCTTTCACTATTTACAATCCTATCAGGCAGATGGTGCACACTGGAGTGACGACAACCGCATTAGTTCACCCCGCGGCTGTGTCAGTACCAGGATGTACATGATTCATATATCTGTCACATCCTGTTCAACAACACACAGGCAGGCCATCACAACAATACTGTCTACCATGCAAGACAGAAGTGTCCTGACACGAGGCAGTCAACAGAGGCAAGATCTGAACCAGCACCACCTCCCCATCATAGTGCAATGCAGGGATTGAACACGGCAATCTCCGGGGCCAATTTCAGGCCTAGACATACCATGTTATTTGCAGGAAATGTTGTAAAACATTCAAAATTTGAAAGTATTTTTTGGTTTCACCATAGCTTTTATCGCCATCACAGTACTGTCAGTATTTCCTGCCACATCGTACATTTATTGCATGTTAATACAGACAAACCAGTCAATGCCATGTTTAAAGAGAGCAAAAAAAACCAACCTGGACCAACAGACAAGAACTTTGGATGAGCTCAATATGTGTTGAAATAAGAAACAGTTAAACACATAATTGGATTTGTTCCTAGACTAGTGCCAGTCTCCTATATGACATACCTCCATAGTAGTCGATCCTGCTCCTGTTATTCTTGCTGTCAAAGTAGGCTGTGAAGGGTTCATTGATTTCAGCATACGGCAGTCGGAGGACGCCATTAATGATATAGGTGGAGTTGAATGTAGGTGGAGTGGCTTTCACATGGGCGGAGGCACAGAGGCCTAGGTATAACACAAACACATATGCAATAATATCATCACATCCAAACATGTCAGCTGCAATAATATAATATGCTAAATCTCAAACATAGAAATGTTGTGGTTTGTATTACCTGGTCAACACAATACTTAGCTTCTACCTGTTCTACATGTTCTATGGATGACTGAGAGTATAAAAAACACAGAATAAAAATATCAGACCTGCAACATATTGGAGCATGTGGAGGTTTTGCGGGTAAGAGATCCAGATAAGTGAGTGAGTGAGTGAGTTGGGTTCAATGCCGCTTTTAACATTATTCCAGTTATATCACGGTGTGTCAGCTTAATGGGGGAGGAAAGCCCGAAGTGATGCAGGTCTCAGACGTTTACCAATTCGGTGAAACCCACGAGAACAGGTATGGTGCTGACAAACCTAGAAACATAATCAGGGCGAACCGGGATTCGAACCCCAATCATAGGTTTCTGGCATGCCCAAGGGGCGCAACTCTGCACAGTGAATCATGGGGCCTTAGACAACTGGGCCACCCGTGCCCCCAGACCCAGATATGCCGTGTATAATATGCAAAATAAATCACCATTATCCAATTAATTATATTGCTCCATACAAATGCACATAAAAATATAAAAAAAACAATAGTATAACAACCCTGTGCATAATTACTCCCATGCAGTCTTTCCAGCTTGAATATCTGTGTCTTCACAGATCTACATAGCCTACATTAACTCTACTGCAGTGAATAGTGAACAAAGGCTCAGTCATCATAAAGCATCTTCCCAAGCCTGTGTCAAAGCCTAGTTTCTGGAAACAAGACATTGATAAGAAGGCTGGTGGACACTCCTGCCTTGGGAAGATGTCGTAACGTAGATGTGTACATCGCTGTTGTGAGCCAATGTGACACACTTGGGGCAGCACATGAACACATGCAAACTAGAGCCCTGCATTCTAGGCACTACCCATTGGTTAACAAATACCCCACCGACTGGACCTAAGGGAGTAAAAAGAAATTGAATACCTAAAATATAACTATCAATAGTTGAATGCATCTTCCCGAGGCAAGGGAGTTAACTGACCATAAAAGTCCAGTTTTCACCCTTGATAAACTCGGCTGGAATTCCGGAGTTTCATTTTGGCTAGTTTAATGAGTCCATGCATAGTCCAATCAAAATCATGTACAAATTAGACATCCAGGCCGTGAGCCCGATGGATTTCAACAAGTAGATTTAGGTCGACTGCAGGATTTGAAAAGCATGTGTACGGTCAACTGGGTGTCAACAGATATTTTTTTCAAATCTTTTCATGTTTTTAATTAAGGGGCTAAATTGATTGAATGCACTTCGCGAGGTAAGATCCATTTTATAACAATATAGATCTTGATTATTGATCAGATCTTCCTGACTGGGATCCGCCATTTTGTTTGAAGCAAGTGCAAGTGATATGAGAGGTGAAATCTGATTGATCAGTAGGAGGGACATAGACAATGAGTTCACACAGTAGCAGACAGTGTTACATGATCCAATCTCATTAAAATCAGAATTAGTTTTTGCTGCCGCTAAACAAAGATCTGAGGACATCCCATTACGGGTCACGTCAGAACGACCTTTCACGAACTTTGACCGACTACTGAAACGACTAACAAGAAGTTGACATCAGCCAAATAAAAAGCATCTTTCTCGAGCTTTACACTGCACTCGTTTCAACCTGTCAACTTCCACCTCAGACTATGCTTGAAATATATGTTGACACAGTTCTCGATTAAAATTTTGAAAACTGAACAAACGGACATTCCGGAATGACCAAGATATGGTTGCGATTGCATGGCAGTGCTTCCCACGTACTGTGCAACACCTCCTCTGTTCGCATGTTTATCCCAGGGAAGCGAGAGATAGACGATAAATTTGATGGAATCAGTCGTACAGGCCTTAACTGTCATTCTGAATACCCCATGTACCCCATAACGTTTTCGAGGATGCATGATTTGAATACACATTCCGACAGTCACTTTCATGATCTGGTAAGCGACGCTTTGATTGGTCGGATGAAAGGTCGTTCTGATGTGACCCGTAATGGATGTCCTCAGATCTTTGTTTAGCGATGGCAAGAACTAAGGTCTGATTTTAATGAGATTGTACATAATCCTGACTGAAACCTATACTGTGATAATGGGATGGTTGTTAATGATTCATACTACTTTGATACTGTAACTATGGTAACACAAGCATATTGCACAACTACTTCATTGTTAAATCGCTCATTGCCTGCTGGCAGTTTTAGAAATTAGTATCCACAGAGCTAGTGAGAGTAGAGGGCCACCAGCCCTGAACATGTCATGTTCCCGAGGCAAGAGAGTTAACTGACAACAAAGCAATAGTTAAGCTAGAAAACATAGTTTAGAATAATATATGAGTGAAAGCCCAACACCTGCTTCAAATTTTAACCGCAACCTTAATCCAGAGACCATATACCGATTGGTATATATGGTGTCTGCCTAACACTGAATATAAATATGTGCAATTTTGCTTGTTCCATATCGTATTTAGTAGATATTGCATAAATGATTTTTTAATACTTGCCATATTTTTTTTTTAAATATTCGCGAGATGCGTAAGAGAATGAAGTTTTACCAAGCTGCAAATCATGCGTGAATGTACAATCTGCCCCCAATTTTCATGACACAGAATGGGGATAAACACGGTCGCAAAAGTATCTGAAAACTCAACTCAAAGATGCGAAAACGACCCACCCCCATCGGGCCGGGCTTGTATAATTCCAATAGCATATATATTATACCCTCGATTATATCATTGTCACTCTCGCGTACAATTAAGGTTTTAAACATATTCTTCCAAATGATCTAGGTTTCTGTACCATAATCCAAGATACCACCACTACCAAGCAACGAATGCAGCTATAGAAACTGTACAAAATCTATCTTACCTGCGACTGCCAAAACGATCACAACCTGCAAGCTGCTCGCCATGTTGTTGAGTGAAGTCACATGACTAGTCACGTGGCCTTCGCGTTCTCGTCATGTGATGACTCACATGCCGTGGGCAATCTGAAAGGCTTGACGACTGTAATCAAATACACACAATGCTATATATCAGTGTAAACGTTTAAAATCACATATGTGAAACCGAAACCGTTTAGGACAGGAAACAAAGAAGTCTTATCTGTGCGCGCCCGAAAATCATTGTTTTAAAAGAGAACATATACACGAGGCTTGTTCACAGGACTTTTTAGCGAAATTCATGCATACCGTTTTCATCGAAAGCCTAAACCACTTCAATCTCATTAAAATCAGATCTTAGCTCCTTTGTTTAGCGGTAGCGAGAACTAAGATCTGATTTTAATGAGATTGAAACCACCTGCGTTTAGCTTAGACAAACACGAGATAGAACCATTTGTCATATCATACATGTATGTGGGTGATTCTACCAAAAGTGGCAATACTGACACACGCTTTCATCACAAATTGAGTCAATAAATGTATTTGTTTAGCATGATAATTGTAACCTATGTTAATTTGTGTTTATAAAGACAAACTCAGCTGTGAAGTTTGCTCAATATTAATCTATACAAACATGAAGAACATAAGAAATCAATATCAAATGTAATTACCACAACATATATAACTAATACCATAAATCGTAATTAGTTTGATTTAATCTCAGAATTATTTCTGCACACACTGTAAGTTGCAATCCGGTCATTTAAAGTGTGTTGATATAAAGTTTGATTATATATTCTAACCAAAGGGGAAACAAATATGAATAACTCACAAACTTTATACTGTACATGCTTCAAAAGTGTTTTGTTTTATATATAATACATATATAAATATGTTTAAAGCAAAATGAACTTTTCACTAATACCACCCAAATTAGAAACAAAATCAACAGGAACTTGAAATTATTGATGCATTATCCTGCATTTATATAGACAATTAAGAGAGACTGCAAGCATGCTGTGGTAATGGGATCGTTTTGGTAATGACAACACAGTAATTGTAATGAGAACACTGTTCAAAAAATAACTTTCAGTTTTCATTTAACATGTAGGTTGAACATTATCACTGGTTTCAGACCCGTGAAGATCCGGGGTAGAATAAGTCTTCAGCAACCCATGCATGTCGTAAAAGGCGACTATGACGGGATCGGGTGGTCTGGCTCGCTGACTTGGTTGATGCATGTCATCGATCCCAATTGCGTGGATCGATGCTCATGATATCAATCACAGGATTGTCTGGTCCAGGCTCGATGATTTACAGACCGCCGTCATATAGCTGGAATATTGCTGAGTGCGGCGTAAAACAACAAACATATACAAACAAGGGTTTCAGGTAACCCAAACCTGTATCAATATTTAGTTTTCACTGTAAATATAGACACCATATTCTGATATAATGTGATTTGTCTAATAATTTGTCGCCCCACCCCCTACGTCTCTCTCTCTCTCTCTCTCTCTTAATAAAAGAGGTTTTATCGTCTGTGCTTATTGACATTGAAGCACGTCCTATTGTTATCACATGGATATTACCCAGGTGCAGTAACCGTGTTCGTTCTATATATTGACGCCCGGTAAACTGCGGCCCGTTTTTTTTTTTAAAGTTATACACTCGTGTTCCAAAAGTTAATCGGGTACACGGCTTTCTCCGTTATTTCAGTGTGGCACAGGTCTTTTTCACATCTGCTGTTTGGCACGGGTGGCCCAGTCGTCTAAGGCGCCGCGATTCGCTGTGCAGAGTTGCATTCCTTGGGCACGCCCCAAAACCTATGATTGTGGGTTCGAATCCCGGTTCGACCCGATTATGTTTCTAGGTTTGTCAGCACCATACCGTGGCTCGTGGGTTTCACCGAAGTGGTAAACGTCTGAGACGCCGCCATATAACTGGAATAATGTTAAAAGCGGCGTTAAAATACAACTCACTCACTCACTTCATTATATAAGACGGGATGAAATGCTTCTCGCCATTGCGATACATGTAACTTTTGTTTGATGTTTCCATGCCTTCTTTTACTCCAGTTTTGAACACTCATTTTAACCCTACTGCATACCAGTTGGAAAAAAAATATATGATATTCCATACGTTTCGCGATTACATTTTGTTTTACATAACGTTCATTGTCATCATTTAAATAAAACCAAAAACAGGTACACTTTAATCTATGTCAAGTATGTAATGAGGTGGCATTGTGATGAAATGCTAAACGGTTGCAATTCGAGATCCTCCGATCCCGTAAACTTGGCCCCGTCCCTCATGTCGCAAGTTGACGTAGCGCACAGGGAGCTGGGAACCAGCTTAAGCTTTCGCCGATCTATGACGTAACGTGTCTATGACGTCATTATATTGTCGCTTCCGAGCAGAGGTTCAACATTGCGCACACGGACTTGCATAGTTAATGGTATTGTTCACGGGGATAAATCAGAGACGTAATCGTAAGTATGCACCGAGCGTGTTCCTTTCACTAGAAGTTTCTAGGGACATCACGTCGAACTCTTAATTAAAGCCATGCATCTAATGAAACCAATGTTATTGACAGCTGTACTGCCCCTTTTAAACCTTTGTAATCAGTCCAGCAGTCTGCGGTCTAGTTGTACAGTATTCGCCCTGATGTTATCTTGTCATGCCCCGATAACAGGTTACCTTTGTCGTTATCAGTAACAGACGACCTTGAGAATGAACTAACCTATTGAATCTGAATATACAATGACCGACTTTCCCTGCACATACACGTGTGTACTGGCATGGGTGTTATATACCAATTTGTTGACTTAGGCATTTATTTGTATCGATGTATTCACAGTTGATCAAAGAACGAACGCAACAAAGTGATCGTGTAGTTATGCTTGGGCGCACAAGTATATTAGAACATAAACATGCAGGAGACATATTAAGTTGTGTGACATACTCCCAAAAGACTTTGTATAACTACATCTTTTCATCAGGCTCGCTGAGTTGGTTGGTGCATGTCTTCGATCCCACTTGGGTGGATCGATGCTCATGTTATTAATCACAGGATTGTCTGGTCCAGACGCGATTATTTACAGACATCGCCGTCATATAGCTTGAATATTGCTTAGTATGGCGTTAAACAACCAACAAAAGCTACTACTACTACTTCTTCTTCTACTACTACTACTACTACTACTACTACTACTACTACTACTTCTACTACTACTCTACTGCTTCTACTACTACGTCTATTACTACACTACTACTACTCTACTCCTACAACTACTACTACTACTACAACTACTGCGGCTACTACTATTACTACTTCTAATACTACTACTGCTGTTACTACCACCACCAGTACTACTATTGCTACTACTACTACTACTACTACTACTACTCTACTACTACTACTACTACTACTACTACTACTCTACTGCTTCTACTACTACGTCTATTACTACACTACTACTACTCTACTCCTACAACTACTACTACTACTACTACTTCGGCTACTACTACTACTACTACTACTACTACTCTGGTACTTCTACTACTACTACTACTACTACTACAACTACTACTACTACTACTACTACTACTACTACTACTACTTCTACTACTACTCTACTGCTTCTACTACTACGTCTATTACTACACTACTACTACTCTACTCCTACAACTACTACTACTACTACAACTACTGCGGCTACTACTATTACTACTTCTAATACTACTACTGCTGTTACTACCACCACCAGTACTACTATTGCTACTACTACTACTACTACTACTACTACTCTACTACTACTACTACTACTACTACTCTACTGCTTCTACTACTACGCCTATTACTACACTACTACTACTCTACTCCTACAACTACTACTACTACTACTACTTCGGCTACTACTACTACTACTACTACTACTCTGGTACTTCTACTACTACTACTACTACTACTACAACTACTACTACTACTACTACTTCGGCTACTACTACTACTACTACTACTACTACTCTGGTACTTCTACAACTACTACTACTACTACTACTACTACTACTACTACTTCTACTACTACTCTACTGCTTCTACTACTACGTCTATTACTACACTACTACTACTCTACTCCTACAACTACTACTACTACTACAACTACTGCGGCTACTACTATTACTACTTCTAATACTACTACTGCTGTTACTACCACCACCAGTACTACTATTGCTACTACTACTACTACTACTACTACTACTACTCTACTACTACTACTACTACTACTACTCTACTGCTTCCACTACTACGTCTATTACTACACTACTACTACTCTACTCCTACAACTACTACTACTACTACTACTTCGGCTACTACTACTACTACTACTACTACTACTCTGGTACTTCTACTACTACTACTACTACTACTACTACTACTACTACTACTACTACTACTACTACTACTACTACTTCTACTACTACTCTACTGCTTCTACTACTACGTCTATTACTACACTACTACTACTCTACTCCTACAACTACTACTACTACTACAACTACTGCGGCTACTACTATTACTACTTCTAATACTACTACTGCTGTTACTACCACCACCAGTACTACTATTGCTACTACTACTACTACTACTACTACTACTACTACTACTACTCTACTACTACTACTACTACTACTACTCTACTGCTTCTACTACTACGTCTATTACTACACTACTACTACTCTACTCCTACAACTACTACTACTACTACTACTTCGGCTACTACTACTACTACTACTACTACTACTCTGGTACTTCTACTACTACTACTACTACAACTACTACTACTACTACTACTCTACTACTCTACTACTACTACTACTACTACTACTCTACTGCTTCTACTACTACGTCTATTACTACACTACTACTACTCTTCTCCTACTACTACTACTACTACTACTAGTAGTACTACTACAACTACTGCGGCTACTACTATTACTACTTCTAATACTACTACTGCTTCTACTACTACTTCTATTACTACACTACTACTACTCTACTACTACTACTACTACTACTACTTCGGCTACTGCTTCTACTACTACTTCTATTACTACACTACTACTACTCTACTCCTACAACTACTACTACTACTACAACTTCTGCGGCTACTACTATTACTACTTCTAATACTACTACTGCTGTTACTTCAACCACAACTACTACTAGTGCTACTACTACTACTACTACTACTCTACTACTACTACTACTACTACTACTACTACTACTACTACTACTACTACTACTTCGGCTACTCTTACTACTACTTCTATAACTACACTACTACTACTCTACTACTACTACTAGTAGTAGTAGTACTACTACAACTACTGCGGCTACTACTTCTAATACTACTACTGCTGTTACTACAACCACCACTACTACTATTGCTACTACTACTCTACTACTACTGCTGCTACTACCACCACCACCACCACTACTACTACCACTACTACTAATACTACTACTACTATCATCTTTTTGTTGTTGTTGATACATGTTATCAGTGTACACTTTATGAATATTTTCTATCACTTACCTACTACCAGAGCTACTGATGCCTATACCACATAACGATGAAGCGTGCCAGAACCTATATATAATCGTAGGTTCGAATCCCAGATTTGTTCTAATTACGTTACTTGGTTTGTCAGCGCCATTTCCGTGGTCGTGGTTTCAAGTCAGACCCACACTGCTTCGGGATTTCCCCCTTATGGGAAAATAGCACGAGTTATGCCGTGAGATAACTATGGAGTATCGCGTGGGCCATAATCAAAAGGTCTAAAAGTGACGTGTGACGAACCCCTGCATTTCTTCATTCCAGATGTTGACTGCGATAGAGACTCAGCAACGCCGGGCTAAACTCAACCGGAAGACAACGAGCACTCTGAGCGTCACCTCTCAATCTGAACTTGATAATAATAATAGCGCCCAAAACAAAAACAAAGTAAAAATTAAAAAAACAATCCAGCCTAAGGCAGTCCCTGCGAAAAAGTCAGGGAGCGCAAAAAAAGAAGTCGCAAAAGACGAGAAGAAGAAGCCAAAGAAAGAAAAGAAGAAATTTGGAAGATTCTCTGTATCACTCCCTTCGGGTGTGCCCAAAGTCATCAAAATCAAGGGGCCAGGCCTTGTCCACAGAAAGAAGAAGTACTTGAATAAGGAACTCCAGGTTGAACCAGCTCAGCCCTTCACCGAAGTCATAGGAATGGAGGAAGTGTTTGTCAACAGGGTTCATCTCTATGACGAAGAGGCAGAGAAGAAAATTCAGTTGAAATCGCCGGGGCCAAAAACACCCGAAAACTATGGCCGCAGTGTGGAGTTTTACAGGCATATCAACGAAGCGCGAGCCATCTATGTTGGAGCTGCCACTCGGTGTGGGGTCCAGCTGCTGACGGGGCGAGTAGTCGGGGACATTGATGATTGGGAGAAGTACTGTAGTGAGAAGACAGAGATGGAGAAACAGTGGAGGAGAGAATGCCGGGAACGCGACAATGCGCGGGAAAAGGAGAGTAGGAAGGTCGATGAGGGGGAGGGCACCTGCTGCTTTGCTGTGGGAAGGTGTGGACAGTGGGTGAAGGCACAGTTTAAAGATATCTTCCCCTGCTGTCTACCCGGGTGAGGGTGTGGTGGAGTGTGTGGACTACCCATGTGTTGGGAGGGCCTTGTGTCAAGTGTGTGGAACATTCTAGTGTCCAATGTCTGGGAGAGCCTTGTGTCAAGTGTGTGGAACATTCTGATGTCCAATGTCTGGGAGAGGCTTGTGTCAAGTGTGTGGAACATTCTGATGTCCAATGTCTGGGAGAGCCTTGTGTCAAGTGTGTGGAACATTCTGATGTCCAATGGCTGGGAGGGCCTTGTGTCAAGTGTGTGGAACATTCTGATGTCTAATGGCTCGGATACCATGTGTCAAGTGTGTGGAACATTCTGATGTCCAATGGTTGGGAGAGCATTGTGCCAAGTTTGTGGAATATTCAAGTGTCCAATGGTTGTGAGAGCCTTGTGTCAAGTGTGTGGAACATTCTGATGTCCAATGGTTGGGAGAGCATTGTGCCAAGTTTGTGGAATATTCAAGTGTCCAATGGTTGTGAGAGCCTTGTGTCAAGTGTGTGGAACATTCTGATGTCCAATGTCTGGGAGAGCCTTGTGTCAAGTGTGTGGAACATTCTGATGCCCAATGTCTGTGAGAGCCTTGTGTCAAGTGTGTGGAACATTCTGATGTCCAATGTCTGGGAGAGCCTTGTGTCAAGTGTGTGGAACATTCTGATGTCCAATGGTTGGGAGAGCCTTGTGTCAAGTGTGTGGAACATTCTGATGTCCAATGTCTGGGAGAGCCTTGTGTCAAGTGTGTGGAACATTCTGATGTCCAATGTCTGGGAGGGCCTTGTGTCAAGTGTGTGGAACATTCTGATGTCCAATGGTTGGGAGAGCCTTGTGTCAAGTGTGTGGAACATTCTGATGTCCAATGTCTGGGAGGGCCTTGTGTCAAGTGTGTGGAACATTCTGATGTCCAATGGTTGTGAGAGCCTTGTGTCAAGTGTGTGGAACATTCTGATGTCCAATGTCTGGGAGAGCCTTGTGTCAAGTGTGTGGAACATTCTGATGTCCAATGTCTGGGAGGGCCTTGTGTCAAGTGTGTGGAACATTCTGATGTCTAATGGCTCGGATACCATGTGTCAAGTGTGTGGAACATTCTGATGTCCAATGGTTGGGAGAGCATTGTGCCAAGTTTGTGGAATATTCAAGTGTCCAATGGTTGTGAGAGCCTTGTGTCAAGTGTGTGGAACATTCTGATGTCCAATGTCTGGGAGAGCCTTGTGTCAAGTGTGTGGAACATTCTGATGCCCAATGTCTGTGAGAGCCTTGTGTCAAGTGTGTGGAACATTCTGATGTCCAATGTCTGGGAGGGCCTTGTGTCAAGTGTGTGGAACATTCTGATGTCCAATGGTTGGGAGAGCCTTGTGTCAAGTGTGTGGAACATTCTGATGTCCAATGGTTGGGAGAGCCTTGTGCCAAGTGTGTGGAACATTCAAGTGTCCAAGACCAGTGTAAAAAGTGTGTTTACTGTGTTTTACGTATATTTAGTATGCCGTAAATTCAGGGCCCCTTGTTTGGGAGAACATATAAACGTGTCTGATATATTCAAGTATACTTAGAGTACAATGGATGGCATTTTAAACGTTACGGTTATGAAAGCTTTGATGACCGAAAATAAAACATCTGAACAGAAAGCTCTTCCTCTTTCATTGTCTCATACGTTGCATGACGTCTTAACCCTTTGCAAATAAGTCATTTCATTTAATGTTTCCTACCTATTAACTGCGAACATATGACACATATTTTAAGGTAATGGACGTTTCGTCTCATTTTTTTCAATTCACGCGCTGTGATAGCGATATTAGACTTGTACAATTCACACTTCATATATACCGTAATGTTATTTTCTTTCTAGTGTTCAGGTTACCAATGGTCGTATAAGGCAGTTCACATACAGCATTGTCCAACGCAATTACCTCCCGCTGGGTCACTTTAGGTACATGTTCATCGCACAGATATATAAACTGCCGGACAAAAGAAAGTCTATGCTGGATTTGACTAAACAGTTTACAAACGTTATCGAAACGTTACTGGGCCGAAACACAACTATGATACTCGTATGAAATACATCTCCACCGAATAACCAGTTCTTGTCTGTTTCAATTTTGCCACCATCAAAAATGGGTGTATACTTTATTTTGCCCGGCAGTGTATTGTATATAGAACTCAGTCGCATGCACCGTGAGTTGGCCAATGTTGTTTTATGTCGCCCTAAAAGCATTAAATGTATATCCCAGCCTACTTGAGAGGTTTGGGGTGGACAGGGGCAGATCCTGGCACGGCCAAGGGGGAGCAAAATGCAAAATACAGTAAACTACGGTTATAACGAACCCGCTTATAACGAACTGACGGATATAACGAACTTACTTTTTTGGTCCCGACTATTTGCTGTAGTTATGCTGTATATGTGCTTATAACGAACTACGGTTATAACGAACTAAAATTAGTAGTCCCTTTGAGTTCGCTATAACCGTACTTTATACTGTATACAGGAATATGTATACAGTTTTTACCATAAACATGTTACTGTGATGAAATGAGATTGAAATCAATATAGAGTTGTTTACGATTGGCGCAGCATCATGGCATGAAAGTGGGACTATATTTCTCATATACTTTATTTCAGAAAACGTAATCAATTGTTTCATGGTGTCACTACAGTCTATAATGACGTCATGGATTCTACAAAGTATTGATATTCCTCTCTTGTCCCCGTAGTGTCTCTTTTTCAGAAATCGGATCTACCATTACCATTACCCTAAGACGATTAAACGCGCCAGGAAGAATTATTATAATTATTTAACTGTACTCAGACTGAATCTGTCAAAGACAAACAAGTGGTCGATATCATGATAGTATAAAACCTAAAGCAGTCTCGCGACCATACCGTATGCTGTTTCCTGTGTAGTGAAATACTTCTCATTTTGGGTCCAGATATATAGGGGCTATGCTGTATTAATATTCGCTGAAATCCTCTGTATGCTGAAGGTGATTACACTTATCTGTTAGGTATATCATGACATTTTGCTACTGTGTTCGAAATTGCCTCTGCCCACAATTCCGAACAGAAGATGTTGGTGCAAACTTTCTTGCAACAAACAGAATTGGTTTCGAGAACCCAAGGAAGCCGAGAATACAATCTGATTTCTGATTCGTCGACCGATAATAGTTTAGTGCCGTGTACATGTTAGTGGGCGTGGTAGAGCGCTGCATAAATACGCCGCTAGTTTGTTGTTTTTCGACTTAGTAGGTAATATTCCTGATATATCAGGGCGCCAGATAGGATAACAACAAGTACCATCTTTTAACGTCTTTTGGTATGACGCGGCTTGGGATCGAACCCCGGACCTTCCGCTCGCCTGGCGGACTCTCTACCAAGAGACCACGGAGGCGGTCTGTTGATGATGATAATAATCCATACAGATACTTATTATCACCCCAATGTTGTTGTTGATGATGGTGATGTCGATGATGATGATGGAGGAAATCAGATCACAGGATGAAACAAAGAGTCATGTGATTGTTCCACCGTACGGGATTAAACTACATATATATCTAGTGAAGTCCACTCCGTGAGTCACGCGCCCATACACTCTATCGTGTTACTGATGAACATATCTTTGTAGGATAATGCCCTGATACACATCAGCTGACTCGCTGTTCTGCCGCTGTTGTCGAATCACGTCCAGGGCTTGTAGATGTATACATCAATCTGTCTGGCTTATGCGGGCTATTTCAGTCACACAAATCCTATTATATCAAAACTCTGACGTTGCAGAATTTACATGGTTATGTACATACAATCGTGAATGAAGCGTATACGGGCATGGGTTAATACAAAGAGGGTTTATTGGTGGTTGACACTGTTGCCTGTACCGTAATTCCTCTATTAGAAGCCCGGGCGTCTATCAATTTCGCGCAAGCAGTTGACCCGGCGTTTATCAAAGACATGCGTCTATTAGCGGTCCAGCGTCTATTCTGTTTAATGCGCACACAGTGGCAACTCAATACCCCACCGAATACAAAGTGTACATAGTCAGTGTGGGATAATTAAATTCATCCAATGGCCCAGGCTTATATTTGTTGGACCAGGCTTATAGTTTTGGGACAGAGCGTATGACTCGGCGTCAATTAGAGGCCGGCTTGCGTCTGAGGCCAGGCGTCTAATAGAGGAAAAACGGTATGTGAATGACTTTACAAGTGGAGTGAGTAAGCCGCGAGCGTTTGCACATGTGTTACTCGTGACTTTATAGGATAATAGGATTAGCATTGTCATTAAAGTGAGGCTCGCCAAGTCGATTAAAGTCGGTTCAGTTCCACGTGAGGGACATGTATATTTCCTTCAATAACAACAGTGTACGCTGTCATAATATTATTCTCCATTTTAAGCAAAGGCTCAAAGATAATTTACAGCAACTCTGGAGTGCTTCTGTAAACTCTTCTCCAAAATGTGATCTTTATAAGCATTTTAAATCCATGTTAAATGTTGAAAGGTACTTGTCATGTCAACTCCCTACGCATTTAAGAATTGTTTTTACTAAATTCAGATGTTCAAATTTTAAAATAGCTTTAGAAACTGGCAGATATAGTAAAACAGACTGTTCACTCAGATTCTGTAACTATTGTAGTAGTAAGGGAGATAATGTCATTGAGGATGAATTTCATGTACTCTTTGATTGTAATTTATATTCTGCCCTATGACAAAACTTCCTTGTTAATCTTCCTATGCCTACTCATTACAGTAATTCTCATGTAATAAATATTCTTAGTAATTATAATGAGCAAACATTATTTCTAGTTTGTAAATTCTTATACTATGCTCACAAAATAATTAATGATAAATTCTGTGCCCTGTAAATGTCATGCTCACATGTCTGTATTTTGGGCCATTGGCCTTTTACTGAATAAACATGTCTGTCTGTCTGTCTGTCTGTAATAACGGTGTATATCCACTTTCTGACAATATCGTGAGAAATGGTTAAACTAGTCGGATATGTCCACTTTAGCTCAACGATAGTCGGGGCACGGGTGTCCCAGTCGCCTAAGTCGCCGCACGTCGCTGTGCAGAGTTGCGTCCCTTTGATCGTGGGGTCGAATCCCGGTCAGCCCCGATTATGTTTATAGGTTTTTCAGCACTATACCATCGTCGTGGGTTTTACACGAAAGAGATAAACGTCTAAGACCTGCATCACTTCGGGCTTTCCTCCCATATTAACCTGACATGCCGTGATATAACTGGGATACTTTCCAAAGCGGCATAAAACCCAACTCACTCACTCACTAACTCCACGACAGTCTTATACGGTTAATAATTGGCTATTGAAGCGAGTGGTTGTTGTTAAACGCCGCATCAACACTCTTTCAGCTACTCGCGGCGAGATTGAAATACAAATGCAAAACGTCAACGGCATGTTGAAGGGAAAGAAATCCTGTTGAACCCAGCCATCACCTCATCCTCAAAATAACAAATGGATCCCTAAAACACACGTGCCCCGCCTTTAAATGACCCCAGATCCGCTTTATTCAAATGCCGAGTTGAGTAGTGTATAGGTTACACACGACGTGTCAGATTAGCGGGGGAAACGTCCAACCATTCATAACAGGTAAATATGAGATCCAGCCCTGCGGATTCTTGGTACTAAGGGATGCGTCTGTGACACCAAAACAATCAAATATATTAAAAATGCATGACCTTCATTTTGATAGTAAATATCCATTGTAGGAGAAACACGTTTGGACATAACAGGGATGAACGCTAACAACGTTCACCCATCTGCGTCCCCATCACTGTTCGTTGTGTGTGGATTGAAACATACCATCTAACATGATCAATATGTAATATCGTATGCGGTATTAATAATAAAAGAATATATTGAGTCCCTATAACATATGCACATGTGTGCCTGCCTTTCTAACAGCTGGCAGAATCAAATATTCTAAAGGCAGGATAGTCATACTGCTGATATAAAGAAAAGAATGATTCAATATATCAACGACGTGCGCATACGTTTGCTGCACCAACCAGACATGGAACACTCTGAACAGACACGCCAGATGATCAAACACCAGCTGGGCCCACTTGCACAAAGCGTTCTTAGCGCCAAGATGATCGTAACTCCCATACTTTAACATAGGCTTACAATAGTCTTAGCGCTAAGATCACTTTGTGCAAGTGGGCCAAGCTGGTGTTTGATCATCTGGCGTGTCTGTTCAGAGTGTTCCATGTCTGGTTTGTGCAGCAAACGTATGCGCACGTCGTTGATATATTGAATAGTCTTAGCGCTAAGATCACTTTGTGCAAGTGGGCCCTGGTTTCATACGGACAACACCCATCAGACCTAACTTGGTTTTAGTATAGATGAAAAAAAACCCAACCCAATTTACAAGCCACGTTTTTTAAACTATTATTTGATATGGAACAACAGTCGTATAAATCTGGTATTTTCACTCGTTTTCAATCAATCTATCTGCACTTTTGTATCTTTTAGTCCAACACACAAACACACGGGGTTTTGTCAAATGATTTCATTTAATGATTTTCGTCATGTCACTATAGTAGACCGTCACATCTCGTTGTGACGAATTGAGTCCCTTAGCCGTGCCAGGATCCGTTACTCGTGGGTTCAAGTCCAGGATTCGCCCCATTTATTACCCTTTGTGACCATCCTATACGGTACTCTGTATTTTAATAACGCGCAAAACGTCTTTGGACTTTCCTTCTACGTAAGGCGAATGCCATGTATACTACATATA